AAAAAATATAATTTTTAAATATTGGACAAAACAACTAAATACTGATAATAAGATTTTAAAATGTTGTTTACAGGACCAGGTTTCTAATAAAAGTCAATGGATTACAAATATAAGGAATGAATTATTTCAAAAAGGTTTAGGCTATATTTGGGAAAATAGAGAATCCTGTAACTCATCATATTTCAAAACCATTAAGCATAGAATTTTAGATAGTTTTAAAGTTACAATTTGATATTTTCTAAGAACGTCAAAACATAATTATTTCTATGTCTTTTGCTCAATAGGTTGTCAACTCACTATTATACGATCATAGGTTATCGTTATCACACTTAAAAACATTCACACCGGAAATAATAACACAATTACCTCCCTTGTTTTCCTATTCCCCACCATGGAATAGTTATCTTCAAACGTTTGAATTTGAAGATGAAAATGATATTTTTGCCAATTTCTCAACTGGCAATAGTGAATTATAGGATTAATAGGATTATTCTTTAACAAGGTAGGGCTGTTTATAGATACCATTTATTTTAAGGCTTTATTTTAATACATTTTAAAAATATAACTTAAAAATATGAAATTGTAACTTTAAACAATTATGTATCGAACTTATTTGTAATTCATCAAAAGGTCTCTTTTATCAGCATTTCATTTTAACTTAGAGTATTATTTGTCCAAATCCATTCCAAAGAAATATGCTAATTGTATTTCAAAATCCGTTTATCTGCCCATACCTTATTTATAGAAACAGGTAGATACAACAGTGTTGCTAAAAATAAAAGATTTTGAAAATATTGCGATAATGACTCTGTTGAAGATGAGTACCATTTTGTATTAATATGTAAAAAATATAAAGATATTCGTTGTAAATATATTAAACCATATTATAGAATTAATCCAAGTGTATATAAATTTATTCAACTTCTGACTACATAATATTAAGGAATTGACAAATCTAGGAAAGTATCTATTAATAGCTTTTGAATCGAGAAACAAATTACTCCAAAATCTAACAATATAAATTGACATCTTAAATATTTGTAAAAAAAAAATGCAATGTCTACTCTCCTATAAATAACAACCCTTAAAAAAAATCTAAATTGTAAATAATTTAACATTTGTATTTTTGCATGTTCTGTATATTGTACTGTATATAGACAAGCAACAGAGGTTGGATAATTATGTTTTATTCGGAGACTGAATGCTGTAGACATAATTAGACTTGGATTAAATATCCAATTGTTAATAGGTTACCAACCAAATAAACAATTGGAGTTTTAATCCAAGTCTAATCATTTCAACAGCATTCGAGTCTCCGAACAATACATAATTATCCAACCTTTGTCTTTTTCTCTGCTCATAGTTATCTGGCTTTGCGTTTCTAATTAAATGTCTAAACTAGTGTTTGTATAATTTAAAGAAGCTAAATCGCTAATATTTGGGACCTAGAAATTAACACAAATGGGTCGCAATGCATATAGTAATGTAATATAAATCTATATAAACTGATTTACATTGAATCGTTTCCGTTTTTACTCTAATTTCAAATCAGCATGGCGAAATAAGCCAGAAGTCTCAATTGAATGACAATCTTTAGCGTCTGGTTATTCCAGTCTACACCGATGGTTTTTATTGCGCATTCTCTCCAGATAAGAATATTACGTCACCATTTGACATGACTTGTGATATTTCTAGCCTCGTTCTTTGAGCCCCTTGTTCCAAATGGCACTGAAACGCATTATGGTACACGATTTTGTCTTGAATATTGGATATCAGAAGCCCACCTTTTCCCCGTAAGATCACAAGGCCAATGTTGATTTGAATTGACAAATAATTCGTGTTTTCAATGTCGAAATTTTTTAATGATATTGAGTTAGAGACTTAGCTACTTTAAAGTAAGTTGTGGATTTGTAGGTATTTTCCTCTACTTTAATATTGTACTGTATTGTATATGATGGGCAGTTAGTCCAAGGACTAAAGAACTGAACTGAATGGTTGTACATCTGAACACTTGTCACGAAAAATGTCGACATGTTAATTAACAGGTAATGAGGAAATATACTAATCATTTTATAACAATCCAATAATTAGACATTACAAACATTAAACCTACCGAATGACCGTTGTCTGATAACTAACAATTTTAAATGACTAGCAAACATTATACATCCTAAAAAAAATGACTTTGGTCTGTTTCTGTCAGAGGGACCGCGGTGGCTCAGTAAGTAAGGGGATTGCTCGCTAAACAGTATAATACTATAGGGCTTATTTTAGTACTAAGAAAAGTGCTCTGTTGAATATAGAAATTCTTTACCTACATGATGTGTGACGAAAACTAGAGTAATGAAGTAGCTTGCATTATGCTACTACTATCTTAGACTAACTCACCGACAGTTATGTCAGTATCCATTGCTGGAGGTAGGGTACCATAGTTCAGTCATCTCGTACACGGATTAGGACAATTAACTAGAATAGTGTTGACGTAAAACGGTGCCTATACGAAACACTTACCCAAAAAATGGTAATTGTCCCGCCCTAATAGATGACGCATTGTATTTTCTATATAAGAAAGAGCGAGTTTAATTTCACTTCAGATATCATAGAGCGGCCCAAGAGGGGAACACCGTAGCCTTCTAGGCTGAGAGGCTGGGATTGAGACAATGTATAGTATTTAACCCGTTAGGTCTGAGTTGTAAAGGATGCTAAACTCAGACCGTAGATATTTTAATAACGCCTAAAGTTTCTATAATAGATGTTGTAGTTTTCCTGTATTTGTTAGATCTGCAAGCCACCAAAAGAAACTTCAGGTTGGAATGTTATTCAGAATAGACGCATCGCATAAAACTTGGGATCATCCGACGTGGTTTCCCCTTGTCAGGGGTGCAGAACGGAGGGCCTGACAAGGACAGCTGTCTAGTCCTTCGGATGAGACGAAAAAAACGAGGTCCCGTGTATACATTAGAATGCACGTAAAAGATCCCTTGGCAGTATGGCGTACGGTCGTCTTCATTAGACCAGTATAGGAGCAGAACAGTAGGATGTTAAACCTCATTTCATTTGCATAAAACTTGCCAAATGTTTTATTGTATATTTGTGACCACATCTCCAACTTTACCTAAGCAATAAGGCTCCTTCCCAAACACAGAATTGAATCTAGGAAATGTTCTCAAAAACGCAACCTGACTTCTGAGAATGTGTTCTCCATGATTTTCATGTAACTCATGCTGCACGTGCTGTTCACCGGGACCAGCCCTATAAAATGCACCCCCATACCTGGTTGAATCATTCACACTACAACGTCAGCAGCATGCCACTAATCACGATAGCTCAGAAGAACCAGGTACTTGGAAGACTCGACGCTGGCCACACTGCCCAAGCCGTTGCCAATCACTTCCAGTTCAATGTTCGGACCATCTACAGGCTTCATCAACGCTTTCGGGCCACCAACACCTCGGATGATCGCAACACCTCGGGTGATCGCCCCCGAGGCCCGAGCTGGTAGACCAAGGGTTATCACAAGACCGCCATGTTGTGCGATAGCACGTGCAGAATCCCTTCACACAGGCATCTGAGAACGTCAGACAGTTGGAACACACGTAAGACCCATCAGTACCGATACAGTGCGCCGACGTCTCACCAGTGAGAACATCCATTGTCGTAGACCTTACCTTGCGACACAGGCAATTGAAAACTGTTCTGTTCACAGATGAGAGTCGATCTCTGTATTGCGTATCAACTGCAGATGGCAGGACCAGAATATAGCGTCGACGTGGCCAACGTTATTCTGACCAATGTGTCATGGAACGAGACTCATGGGGAGGTCCAAGCATAATGGTTTGGGGTGGAATCGGCCTGAACCAGAGAGTGCATTTTCGTGTGGTGTTCCAAAATCTTGGTCCAGGGAAAGGAGGCGGCATCATAGCAGTGCGCTACATCGATCAAGCTCTCAGACCCCACGTCATACCACATTTCGCACGTCATCGAAACAACGTTTATCCAGCATGACAACGTCCGTGCCCACGCTGCCAGAGTTACTCGGGACTTTGAACAACAACCGAACTGTGTCAACCTTATGCAATGGCCAGCCCTTAGTCTAGACCCGATTAAACATCTTTGGGATGAAATTCAGAGGAGTCTTAATAACGTCGTACCAAGACCAAACATAGCCGATGGATTGCGCCAGGCTTTTCTGAGAGTGTGGTTCCAGGTGCCAATGGCGTTCAGGTCCACTCCATGTACAGACGTTGTGTTGCTGTTATTGACACTCGCGGTGGACACACCAGATACTGGTGTATAGACTGTATACAGACTCTAAACCTCGTAATGTCCTGGAATTGTGATGAATTAATCACTGATCAACATACTGTTCACAAAAAAATGCTTTGATCCATTTAGTAAGTCGTTTTCTAGAATGATTTGATTAAAGGGCCTCTCTGATTTTGAAATCGTGCTGGCATTTTTTTTTTCTGTTTAGTATAATTATACGTAATATGCATTAATATGCCTTAAAATGTTATTTTCTAATATAAAGGCCGCCAGTGATCATGGACGGGATTATCGATCGCTCTTATTAAGCGGGCTGCAGGTATCTGATCATTAAAAACGAAACTGAAAGCGAAACTTTTACTTATGATTCGTTTCGTTTGGCGCTAAAAATCCTGATGTTTTTCAGTGTTTTTGCAAAAAAGTTATAGTACATTTTTTTGGAAGTATTAGAAAAATAGATGAAGGTGTTTGAATATATCTGGATATTATTATTAAAATAAGTAAAAGGCACCGTATTCTGCCCTAACCAGTGACGTCTTAGGTAAACAATGCACGCGCCACTGAAAAATGATTGACGCCGCGTGATGTGGCGTCAACTGTTGAAGACAGTCATCTTTTACAGAGATATTAGAAACCTTTTGTAATTTTCTGTGAAACAGATTGACCCCAACCCACGCCCCAGGTCTACACGGTGTTTCCCCCCGTTCCAAAGAGACTGGTGAAACAAGACTAAACTCGGATCAATGTGTTCCATCACGTGACTGCAAGTGTCATGTGATTTAGTTTACAAAGGTAAGTGATTTTCAGGAGATTTTATTCGTGAAATAATTAATAAGTTTCTACATTTATTATAAATATATCGAGTGTCAGGCATGTGTTATTTACGTGTTGATTTGTTGCAATATACCGTTATACGGGAATCTAATATCAAATCTAATATGTTCTGTTAGTGTTATGTTATCGGTGAAAAGGTGGTCGAGTTATGGTCGTAAAGGCCCGGTCCCAGTGGCCGATGGACACAAAACGTATGCAAAAAGGACACCACAGCGGACATCCTTCAATATACCAGATACATCCCAGATACAAACTCTTTGTCCGTTTTGAAAACTTTATATACGAGATGCATATGCTTACATCCTTTCTATTTCTGTGCTACTAACGATGTATAGACGTTCCATGTACCTTATCTTTCCTCCCTCTTTCCGTTTTCAGCTGAAGCGGATGTGAGTTGCGAGGATGCAGAGAGGATACAGTGGACGTTTAACGGATGATAACGGACATGGAACGTTTGGTGCTCGTATATGTCGCGCATTTACATCGTACACGGCAGAAAGTTCATCCGTTATAAAAGTTTTGTGAAGCTCAAAACTTTTAGCGTGGATGAAATCAAAGTGAACGTATGCTCGATGGATAGAGCGTATGAAACACGTATGCAATGAGTACACAACGGATGCATGGCGTTTTCAAACGGACGGCACTTTTTTCCCCCCGTTTTACATCCTCTTTGCATCCGTAAGTGCAGTGGGACCGGGCCTTTAACACAAAGCCCTGTATAGGGAAAGTTACGACAACTCATTTCCAGGCGCCAATTTGGGTCCCAATTATGATGCCATAAAAGCTACGACGTCATGTCTTCATACAGGTTTACATACCAAAATTTGTTTTTTTCTTGCAGTATTAGACTTTGAGGGATAATATAACGTTTTACCCTAAACAAAATGCAAAAGAAACCAATGCGGTTTCGTTCAGTGATAAATATATCACACAAAATCATACTCAAAATCGGGGAACTTTCTGAGAGTGATATCTCGTAATCAGTGTGTTTTACTATTTACTGGTGGGATTACGGCGCGTCGAATTACCCAATAACACCCAATAACTGCCCAATAACACCCAATAACTCCAAAATAACACCCAATAACTCCAAAATAACAACCAATAACTACAAAATGTTGACTTTGGAAACACAAAATAACAATTTAGTTGAATTTAAGAAGCATCAATGCTTTGTGTCCAAATCAGAGTTTCACGCTCACTCGCCTGAAGGGAGATAACTCATATATGTGATTTTTGTTGACAAGAAATTAATAACACCCAATAACTGCCCAATAACACCCAATAACTACCCAATAACACCAAATTGTTGACTTTGGAAATACAAAACAACAATTTAGTTGAATTTAAAAGCCTCACAACGTTGAGCCCAAATCAGAGTTTAACGCTCACTCGCCTGAAGGGAGATAACTCGTGTATGTGATTTTTGTTTACAAGAAATTAATGTATGCATGACGATTTTAAAATGTTAAGAGTGACGATTTTAAAATGTTAACTACCCCCTATTGTGTAATTAATTTGACAAAGTGGTGAAGAACTTTGTACTATGTTCTAAGAATAGGTTGGGGAAAATACCTCCAAGGCGTTATATTACGCCCTACACACAGTGAGTGGCAGTTGTCCAGGACGTTATATAATAACCTACGCACTTAACGGGTTAAGGAAAGCATTTACTGAAATAGGGCCTATATAGGTCAATCTGATATTGACTAATGGGAATGAATCCATCATTTATTTTGCAAAATTATAATCAGTTTACAACGTGGAATTAAAAGGATCCAGTTAATAAAGTCAGTAGATAAAACAAACACATCAGATTTATCTCAATGTCTTGTTGAAATTCAATATAATAGCACATTTAATTCAGTATGCCCGTCATCATTAGCCCCGTCTGAGCAGAACAGCAGGGTGTTAAACCACATTTCATTTCATTCTTACATTTTTTTTTCAGAATCACAAAAGAAAATGAAGATCATAGTTTATTTTACTGTTGCCTGTAGCTTGGCATTCGTCAGCTGTCTTGAAAATGGTCTAGCACGAACTCCACCAATGGGTTGGTTGTCATGGGAACGTTTTAGATGTAATATTGACTGTGTTAACGATCCAGATAATTGTATCAGGTAAAAAAAATAATGATACTCTCAAAATTCGACCAGTCTCCGGTTTCACAAGTTAAGAATTTACTCAACTTTCAATCACTGTTTATAAGAAATATTTTGATCCAGAAACACAAACATTTTCTAATTGATGTATTGATACATTAAAACAACAAACTTTTTATAAGGGCGCTATTTTAGTTAACTTAATTCTGAGAATGTTTTGTGAAACCAGGTTCTGATCCCAATTTTGAACAACTCTGTTGTCCAGTGCTCACAGGAAGTAAAATGCATGTTCTCTTTGTATAACAAGGCTGAGGAAACAGGGCGAGAGACAAATGAGTGTTTTAATATCCACTTGACACAAACTATGTCATTTTGGAGACCATGAGAAAAACCATGAGGTTGGACAGGTGAATCTACTCCTTGTCACCTACAATCTTGGGATCAAATCCAGTGACTCCAGGCTAGAGATCTAGCACCTTAATCACTGAGCCACCACGACTCACCCTTTCTTTTCTTGGGGGTGGGGCTGATGAAATACAGATCTATGAATTTTATTTCTAGAGTAAATCACATATGTTTTGTAGTTCTAGAGTAAATCAAAGTTGGGATCTGTAGTTCTACAGTAAATCACAGTTAGGATCTGTAGTTCTCGTAAATCACAGTTGGGTTTATAGTTCTAGAATAAATCGCTGGAATAAATCACTGTTGGGATTTGTAGTTCTAGAATAAATCACAGTTGGGATTTGTAGTTCTAGAGTAGATTACTGTTGGAATTTGTAATCTGGGGTATGCAGAAGGAAATATTTTATTTTTTTTTCTCCATTTCTAGCGAATATTTATATTAGACAATGACTGTTGTTAATGATAGGTAGTAATCTATGTGTGTGCAGACTGTTGGGTTTCATTAAAAAATATCATATTTTGTATTTCTAGTGAGAATCTAGATAAAGCAATGGCGGATGAGTTAGAATATTATATTTTGTATTTCTAGTGAGAATTTATATAAAGCAATGGCTGATGAGTTAGTAAAAGGAGGTTATAAAGATGTTGGCTATGAGTATGTTAATATAGATGATTGTTGGCCATTAATAGACCGAGATGCGAAGGGATTTTTGGTAGCCGACCCTAAACGTTTTCCGAGTGGAATGAAAGCTCTAGCTGACTATGTAAGTAATAGATAAAATCAAGCTCTCGTAATGAAATGGAGTGAAACAAAACAAAACAGAGAAATTTGACAAACAACACTGTTTCGGCCAGAGAGAGAAAGAGAGAGTTTAACGTCCACTCAACACAAACTAGGTCATTTCGGGACTAACATATGGTTTAATTTTATTTACATAAATCTCTAGCGCGTAGGGGTCTTTAGCAGTGGGAGGAAACCGGAGGCCCCGGAGAAAACCCACGAGGTTGGACAGGCGACCCTTCTCCTTGCCACGTACAACCGGGGATTCGAAACCACGCCAGTTGACTCAATGACAGACTTTATGATACAGCGCGCGCACGCTAACCATTCAGCCATCTAACCCCCCTTTCGGCCACAGAAGTTTCAACCAGAAAAACCAATCACAGCAGAAAGACAATCATCAAATATTGTACTGATCATTTCTTGATTCGGGAGCCACGAAGGCTAAGTGAGTAAGATGCTGGCTTGCTAACTCGAGGTCGCGGGTTCGCTCACAGTGTCAGCCAAGAAAGTTTCCTCAGTATTTTCCGGTGTGGTTTCCTCTTGTCAGTGGTGCAAGACAGAGGACCTGACATTTGGATAGGATAAAAAACCAAGGTCCCGTGTACATATTGGCATGCGCGTAAAAGATTCCCCGGCAGTTGGAATTTGATATAAGAGTAGGTCGTAACGCCGCTGTCCTGGCAAAATTTCCATTATAGCGTACTGTATGGTATATGCCCGTCTTCATTAGCCCAGTTGAAGCAGAACAGTAGGAGGTTAAACGTTCAGCTTTCTAAGTCCATTGTACAGGTCTTTATGGCGTGGGCTGGAAAATCAATATTGTATTAAACATTTCCTCATTCACCTTCTTAGGTTCATTCTAAAGGCAAGGGCCTTAAACTTGAACAGCAGAAAGACAGCCAGCAATTTCTTCATTCACATTTCTAGGTTCATTCTAAAGGTCTTAAACTGGGAATTTATGGAGATTTTGGCACCAAGACTTGTGGAGGTTACCCTGGAAGTGAATTCTACATGGAACAGGATGCCAACACATTTGCTAGTTGGGGAATTGATTCGTTAAAATTAGATGGTTGCAACAGTAGAATAGCAGACATGCCCTTTGGTATATGAACTATTTTTTTTATTTATTTTTCCCCGCCTTTAGAGGAAAGCAGGGGACTATTAAAATGGGTTCGTCAGTCTGTTTGTCTGTCTGTCCATCTGTCTGACCGTCACACTTTTTGGGTCACAATAACTCTCCTTCTAATTGAGCTAGAATGTTCAAACTTGGTGTAGGTGTTTATTAGGTCAATGCCTTGATGGAGTTTGAAGATGAACATTTTCTGCTTGGGGTAAGCGGAGATAAGCAGTTTGATTGGTTGATGCTTTGGGACACGATAACTTTAGTTCTAATTAAGTGAGAGTGATGACACTTGGTGTATGGTTTTATCACATCAATACCTTGACTATGTTCGATAATGAACATTTTCTGCTGAGAGTAAGCAGAGCGATAAGCAATTTGATTGGTCGAGATTTTGGATCACAATAACTCTCCTTCTATTGAGGTAGAATGTTCAAACTTTGTGTTGGCGTTCATTAGGTGAATGCTTTGATGGAGTTTGATGATGAACACTGTCTGCTTACGGTAAGCAGAGATAAGCAAGCTGATTGGTTGATGCTTTGGGGTACGATAACTTTGGTTATAATTAGGTGAGAGTGACAAAACTCTGAGTATAGATTCATTATATCATTACCTTGACTAAGTTTGATAATAATAATTATATTCTTAGGCTAAAGAGTGATCATAAGCATTTTGATTGGTCAAGACTTTGGAATATAACAACTCTGTTTTTAATTGAGGTAGAATGGTTAAACTTGATGCAGATGTTCATTAGGTGAATGTGTTGACTGAGTTCAATGATTAACATTTCGAGCTAAAGCTAAGCAGAGCTAAGCAATTAATTATTGGCCGATGCTTTGGGACAAGATAACTTTGATTCTATCTGATAGAGAGTGACGAAACTTAGTGTATAGTTGATAGTCAGTTTGATTGCTTGATACTTTTAAAAAAAATAATTGTGCGATTAATTAGTATGTGTCATCTATTTATTTTGGGATTTCAGCAGGGGGACATCAGCCTCACTGTTGGCTTGTTTATTTTTAAAAAAATACTTTTACTGTGAATTAAGCCTGGAAGTAACTATATTTTATGCGTGCCTGACAAAGAGACATAATTCCTTTTCCAAATGAAATGAAATGTGGTTTAACGTCCTACTGTTCTGTTACAACTGGGCTAATGAAGATGTGCATACGCCATACAGTGTGCTTTGAGAGAATGTTTCCACGGACAGTGGTGCTACGGCCTACTCTTATTTGAAAGTCCATCTGACAAATGTGTACACAGGACTTCAGCTTTTCATTCCATCATAATGACTAGACATTATTCCTTGTCAGGCCCTTGAGAAACTTACTTAGCCAACACAGGAAGAGAACCCGATACCTCCTGGTCAAGCAAGCCAGCGTCTCACTCATTCAGCCACTGTGGCTCCTTTCTTTTTCCATGATATACCAATTTTTGTATCATTACTTAACCACTATGAATAACAGTAATATTTGGAAGTTGATTGAACTATTTATACCAACAAATGCCACATCAAATGGATTATCTCAGATGATAGGAATTTATTGTTGATTTCATCTGTTTGCTGTTTATTTTAGGCTACCCTATCATGGAATTTTACCTGAATCAAACTGGACGACCAATCCTTTATTCTTGCAGCTGGCCAGCGTATACTGCTACGGTAATTTATGTTTTCGCATATGTATGTATTTGTACAGTGAAATCACAGTGGGGTTGCTCTACTACACTATGACTCCAACCCTGGCAGTGTATATATCTCCTACACTATGTCTACAGTGTACTTTGTATTTGAAAGTTTAACTTAATGTCATTAAACCTAAAGTAACAATAACAAAAAATTAAGGTCAATTTTACATTGGAAACAGGAGCCAGAGTTTTGATTGGGGAGGGAGTGGGGGTATTGTTCTATATATAAGATAGGCTACTGTAAAAGCTTTATTATAAGATAGTCTACTATAAATTCTATATTATAAGATAACCCACTATCATTGTTATGTTAGATGATAACCCACTGTAAATACTATATTATAAGATAGCCCACTGTCAATTCTATATTATAAGATAATCCACTGTCAATGTTATGTTAGAAGATAACCCACTGTAAGTGTTATGTTAGAAGATAACCCACTGTAAATAATTTATTGAAAAGTAACCCACTGTAAATTCTATACCCCACTGTAATTTCTATATTATAAGATAGCCCACTGTGAATTCTATATTATAAGATAGCCCACTGTCAATGCTATCTTATAACATCACACACTTTGAATGCTCTATTATAAGATAGCCCACTGTGAATGCTCTATTATAATATAGCCCACTGTGAATGCTATATTATAACATCGCACACTGTGAATTTTATATATGATAACCTACTATAACATAAGATAATGCATGATGGATGCTATGATCAATAGATATTGTGTGTTTTTCAGCCCGACTATAAAGCTATCGCTAAAAGTTGTAACATCTGGAGAAACTACAATGATATACAAGATTCATGGGACAGTGTATCTGGTATTGTTGAATTCTACGCAGCTAACAAGTTGAATTTTAGTCAAATTGCTGGGCCAGGTCATTTCAATGATCCGGATATGGTGAGTGCTGGTGTTTGTGAGCATGCAAAGATTCTACAGGGGGGTTGGGATGGCCTAGTAGACTAGAGTGTTGCATTTCGAGCTCTAGCTGGACGGTCAACTCTGGCTTGCAGTTGTGGTTTCGATCCCTGGTGTGAGCATATTGGACTTGGAGATAGGGGGCACCTTTTCAACCTCGTGGGTTTACTCTGGTTTCTTCCCACAGTAAATACCCTGTGTGTGCACTAAGCATAAAAAAATAAGACAACTTGGCTACAGTATCACCATCGGTGGAAGAAGACGTTAAACACTATAATAGAAGAATTCTACAGTAATGAGAATCTGAACAATGTGACACTGAATGTGTTAAATCTTCAGTTCACAGTATAGCATGTGGCATTGGCTTTTGATCAGATCCCATTTATGTGTCAGCAGGGAATGCCACATGTTGACAAATTAGTTGAATACATCATCACTTTGTAAATACTGATCGGAACTGAACCATCTCTGGATGTATAATCCTTTTAGAAATATATGGGGTTAAATGTCCTTCTTTTCTGCACCGACATGTCTAACGAAGATGGGTTCACGCCCAGACAGCGGCACTAGACTACTCTTATTTCGCATTCCAACGGTCAAGGGTTCTCTGTGGTTTTTTATCCTGTCCTAACTACTAGACACTGTCATTGCTAGGCCCTTTGTCCTGCAACACCCACAAGGGAAAACCACATCTGGAGCAAACTCAAGATCTCCTGATAAGCGAGCCAGCCTCATACTCACTGAGTCACAGCAGCTCCGATCAGACAGAGACTTTAACTTTACTTTGAAACCCCATTGCAATATTATGGCTTATTAAAGTAAATTAAAGTATTTTTATTAAAGTATTAAAGTATATTTATTCCTCCCTGTTTCAGTTAATTATTGGTGATTTTGGATTAAGTCATAACCAAGAGAGATATCAGATGGCGATGTGGGCCATCATGGCCTCACCACTTTATATGTCCAATGATCTTCGTAGAGTGCCCGAAGATTCAAAAGCTATTTTATTAAACAGAAATGTTATTGCTATTAATCAAGATCCACTTGGTGTCCAAGGAAACAGAGTAATTAAGGTATGGTTCACTTTTATATTATATAAATCGTTTCAGTGGCATTTAGTTATCGAACTGGAATATTCAGGTCACAATTCTATGGAATACACTGAATTACTGAGCAACGTGTTGACTAGGCTTCTCTATTCATTATCAAACAATGAGAACATATGTACACAGCAATACTTGATTAATGATGACCAACCAGAAACACCCTTCTAATTACCATGAAGGAAACCTAACTTAATTACTAACATTTGATACTATACCGGCATCTCTGTATTAAGAAAGTTAGATTGTTATATACATGTACGTATTTATCCTATGTATTTCCTGGAACATATGTGACATTCACATTCTATGAGAGTCAAAGTAAAATGAAATGGGGTTTAATGTCATACTTTTCTACACCAATTGGGCTAATGAAAACTGCCATATGCCATGCAGTTTTACTCTGAGCTGCACTACAGCCTACTTTTATTTCAAATTCAGGCTGTCAAGGGTTCTTTACAAGAGACCTCGGTTTTTCTTCCGATACAAATGACTAGACACTGTACCTTGCCATTCCCTCCGTTCTGACGAACTTTCTCAGCCAACACGGGGAGCGAACCTGACCGTGTAGTTGTTAAAGGAAATAAGATCCTTCTAATGACGATCACTGGCTTTATGAAGAGGACAACATAAAATGTCTGACAAGAAAAATTTTGAAATAGCAACTCGGCAACAAACTATACATGACTTGAATATTATATCTATATCTTAGATGTAGCGCAAAAGGAAAGCCATGAAACATACTTTTCATTATTCTGCATGTCTTTTATGGAACAATCTACCTTTTGATGTAAAAATGTTTAAAATGTTAAATTTCACATGAAAACACAAATATATTTAGAACTGAAGAAACCATAATATTCAACTGATGTCATACTATTTGTTTCCTCTCATCGTGTGCTCATACAGTGGTTGAAATAATTATTACTATTGATAAAAACATCGCCCTTTAAATCACTATTGCATTTTATCTTATTTTGTTTATAAATGGGGTGGTTGAGTGACTGAATGGTAAAATGAAATGAAATGAAATGGGGTTTAACGTCCTACTGTTTTGCTCCGAACTGGGCTAATGAAGACGGGCATACGCCATACAGTGTGCTATGAGGGAAATTTTGCCCGGACAGCGGCACTACGGCCTACTCTTATATCGAATTCCAACTGTCAAGGGATCTTTTACGTGCACGCCAATGTGTACATGGGTCCTCGGTTTTTCGTCCCATCCGAACGACTAGACAGCTGTCCTTGTCAGCCCCTCCGTCCTGCATCACTGACAAGGGAGAACCACGCCGGAAAATCTGGATGAACTTTCTCGGCCAATGCAGGGATCGAACACCCGACCTCCAGGCTAGCGAGCCAGCGCCTTACCCACTTAGCCACCGTGATCCCCCTGAATGGTAAAAAGCATGCACGTTAAATCACAAGGTCTGTCATTGAGTCGTCGCATGGTTTCGTCTCCTGGCTTGTACGTAGGGTCGCCTGTCAAACTTCGTGAGTTTTCTCTGGTTTCCTCTCACTACTAAAGACTGCCATGTGGTAGCAAATTATTGAATGAAATTGAACTGTATGTTAGTCCTGAAATGACCTAGTTTATGTCGAGTGGACATTAAACCCCATTTCTCTCTATCTCCCTCTTGTTTATAAATAATAGTATTCCTCCTTAAGATTACTTGTACAAATATGTTACATCATTATTATGTTTATTTTTCATTACAGCAAGGTGACATAGAGATATGGACACGCCCACTACAGGGTAACAGCGTTGGCGTCTTGGTTTCATGCACAGGTGGTGCCACTACTGCTCAGGTTAAATTTCAGCTGACAAACATAGGATTAAATAATCCAAGTGGTTATAATTTAACTGAGGTATTTGAAGGACAATTTGTCGGAATATTTAAACCTACTGAAACTCTTAATATTTCTATTGATCCATATGATGTGTTCTTAGTGAAAGCCAAGCAGTTATAAACCATGAATTAAATAAAATGTATATATTGACAAGGGATATATAACAAAGAACTTATAATGAATTTTTATACTAAGATTGTTAATTAAACACAACCTAATATTGACAAAGAATTTTTAATACCCAATAATACATTCTACAGTAGATATCGCTTGTGGATATATTTCATAATCTACTGCGATATCTCAGTTGAAAAGGAACTACAGTTTTTTTAATTTTAAAGAACAGTTCATTTCTTATTAAAAGTAACTTTATTAAAATGAACTATTGTTGTTCATTTGACCTTGATGGAAACACTGGGTCAATATAAAGGACTTTGCAATGGTTGAATTACTGTCAAAAAATGATTTATCACTACGCGGTAATGTTCAGTAAAAGTGAAATCTACAGCAAAGAATTATATTTATCTATTTGTGCATGTAAGAAGGGATTGGGTGATAAATAAAATCTCCTACTCGTCTTTTTTGATATAAAAAATATCAACACTCATTGATAAAGTAAAAAAAAAACTTGGCAGAGCCTCGTTTTTTCTTACTTTATCAACTTGTGTTGATATTTTTTGATATCAAAAAAGACTGGTAGGAGATTCTCTGTATAACAAGGAAATTATTTGTTTGTTAACGGAACAAAGTCCATAGTGAGAAGTGATGTATAACAAGGGACTTACATTACAATGATTATTTTATACTAAGATTGAATGAAACAGGGATTCTGTTCCATTTTATACAAAAATGTAGATATTGACAGGAACTTATTATGATTTTTCTAGACTAACTTCAAATTAATTCTAACAAGTGATGTATAACAAGGGACTTATTCTGATTTTTTTGTACTAATATTGGAAGAAATGGGATTTTTGTTCCATTTTATACAAAAATCATTAATTAAACAAAATGTACCAGTTGACCAGGGACTTATTATGGTTTTTTTCTGTGTGGAATTAAAATTATTTCACTCTTAACAGCATGATATAATACTTGTAAAAAACATTGTGCTATATGTGTACAAACCAGTGAATGCTTGCCTTATAAATTATGTTGTGTTTCAATAATATGATAATGGAACAGAAAGGGTTCTTAAACATCTCGCCTAAATACAACCAAGATGAAATAAAAAAATCCAAATGTATTGATAATTATAACACGATATCATATTTATATATATATATGGTAGATCTTAGGTTAATTTGCCTGAAATTAGTTGTGCTTAACCAGTCTATTGACCTTTCAGGTGCTGATTGACAGGTCTGCAGATTATTTTATACAAAACATTATTAATTATTAACAACTGGGGTGGGGGGGATAACAATTCAGAAGATTGAGTGTAACAAGTCAACAAAATATATATATATCTGTCTTAAATCCTATGGCATGTTCGGGTGCTGGAGAGGTTAATATATATTTCAATTACTCATGGTACAAATACTCAAGGTAAATTATCATGGTCAAACTAATTTAATATTTTGATCTTTGGGTGTCATGATTAATAAATAGCCACTTTAACTGTGTCTCCGTATCTATGTTTGGTTTAAAATTTCAAAAACTAATTTAGGATTTAAAGATTTTGAGATTAGCAAGCCAAAATAATTTGAAGCAATTTTTAAATATGACTTTCCCAAGATCAAAACATCAAATTAATGTGACCTTATTTAAGGACATTTATGTATCTATACTAATATGTGTGACTGTTGTTTGTCTGTTCAGGGTTGGCAGCTACACTAGGTCTGTCCCGAGGCTCAAATTTGGTGTATAGGGGTAGCTCGTACCAGGGAGTAACATAGGCCTGTTGGCGTTGGCCTACCGCTTCCAGTTTCGGAGTTATAGACACAACCCCTGCAACGCCGGGTCATATGCTTCTATTCCATTATTCCTGTTGATTTCTATCGTTTATTGACTTTAGACTTACAACTTATTAAGTACTTATATTTATTTTATTATTAAAGATATTATGAATATTATATTCCTAACATTTAATAAGAATTAAAATCATATTGTTGAAGATCATATTTAATTATTATGTTCATATTTATGCTCCTGTGTGTATGGTTGTATACTGTCACATCCTCGGTATCCACAGTGGCATCGTTCTCTTCTACTCCACTAACCCCTGGGTCCATTGACTGGGGAGGCATATATTCAAATTTTTGACCCTTTATAATTGTACTATTTTTATCGACCAATCAAAAGATAGAATGCTAGGAAACAAAACAAAACATACACCCACAGCAGCTAAATCGTCCAAGCAGTCGATAAGGGTTGTCACATATTTATTCTTTAGTAGGAAATAGGAGCTTTTGCAAGACACTGATATCAATTTCAAACAGATCGAATGATAAATTTAGTTGTTAGAGTGTTCACAAGGGGTACAACAACGTGAAACAAGGGCCATAACCTAATGCTTATAAATTTTATACAGATTGGATGAGGACTTTTGTCGATAAGAGCATTCAAACAGTTCAATAAAGTGAAACAAGGGCCATTAAGTAATTAATAGGCTTCTTACTTTGACTGATCTACATAATGCATATAAATTTCACACAGATCGGATGATAACTTATCTTGTAATACACTGTTCGAGTTCTACATCCTGTCCGTAGGTCCATTCACACGATATTGTAATACACTATATAGTTAAGTTTATCACTCCGTCCGTAGGTCCATTCATACAATCTTGTAATACACTTTTCCTTTTAACCGACCTTCACACATCTTTCAAAGACTGTTACAATAGGGGTAAATATCATCGGGTTTGAGAACTTTTGATTCTGGCATATTTGTCAGTATTGACTGACACACAGTGAAATTGTAGCGGGGTAGGCTGGTGAAGTGGATCGTGTTATCTATAAATGTCATAGATTTCATCCTGGGATGGTATGTAACAGAAATGAAATGGGGTTTAACATTCTACTCCGACTGGGCTAATCAAGACATAAAGTGTGCTCTATATGTTGTCCCTTGTCGGGCCCTCTGTCCTGCACAATTGACAAGGGTGGGGGGGGGAATCTTGATGAACTTTCTCAGCCTACTACCGGGATGGAACAAGGGAGCTCTCTGAGCCACCATGGCTCCCATTGTATGTAACATTGTGCAGTACATGCTTACGGCTGACCCCCCCAGATCCATTCACTAAATTTGATATTTGTTGTTTTCTTACAATGTCTGTGTAGCTTGTATCTTGTCCACGGGTCTGTTTTTTTGAGGTTTGCATGTAGTGCAGCCCCCCACATTTACTAATAGACTATCAATTGAAATTGAGTTTGGCCCATAAAAGACAAAAATCAGTATCATCAGAGCATTTGTGTTTACTTCAATCTGAGTCAAGTGGTTTATTGTTAATAGTATGGTAGCATTAATTCATATTTTACATATTTACGGGGATCTGGTAAACATGCACCTTTACCAAGAAATAATTTCTATATTTAAATAATGTACAGCAAGGATCTTCAATTTAGATCAAATATTTTTACAGCGTTTATATTTTAAATGTACAATAGTATAAGATTAGTCACAATAAAAATATAACTCAGATTAACATCCTACTTTTCAGCATCTACTGGGCAAATGAGGATGGGCATACTCTTATTACGAATTCTAACTGTAAAGTGTTCTCTTACGTACAAGCCAATGTGTACATGAGATGTTTTTTGGCCCATCCGAACAACTAGACACTGTTCTTGCTAGGCCCTCTGTCCTGCACTACTGACAAGGGAAATCCTTCTGAGGAACTTTCTCAGCCAATGCTGGGAGTGAACCCGAGACCTCCTAATGTGTGATTCAGCGTCTTACTGAGCAACAGAGGAAACAACAGAGGAAACATTATTGTACACAATAATGTATTAATATATTCTAATAAGAAGCTTAACCTTGCTATAACTCTTCCTTAATAAACTTATATTAAATTTACCATTTGAATTATATATATATATTTATATATATATATGCACCAGTATCATACAAATCATTAGTTATCATTGCGGTCATTTATTTATTTATCACGATCCCCGAAGAACTAAAAATTTAAATTGTTTTGGCTGTATATATAACAAACATCTGTCGAGTTAAAACTACATAAATTACATTAGCACTAAACAAATGATTTGAATAAAATAAAATGTCTTTTTTTATTCTTATTAACAGATACATCATTCACAGTCAACTCTTAGTACTTTCAAAATAAAAATATAAATTGTTCAAGTGGCATTTAGTAAACGACTCAAAATAAAACATGGCACTGTTATATGGGATATGCGTTACTTGGACGTTTATTTCTAGCTTCATTTTCATGAGAGTTCTCTAGTAGTTTTGGCTACATCTCATCTTCTCTTATATTTTTGCTTGATATAGGAACAGGAGAACCCTTGTTCTAAAGAAACAGGTGAATCCTTGCCATATAGAAACAGGAGAACCCTTTTCATACAGAAACAGGAGAGAACTTGTCTAAACCTGGTTAGATATAAACATCCAAGGAACATGTATTCCATACACTTGTGTTGTGTTTCATGAAACAAATTATATATTTGTAGGTAGACTAATAATAAAAACTTATAAAACTTTGTGAAAACTGAGTATGTGCAATTTCACTCAATTGTGGGAAACAAAAAACTTAAAAAGTTATAAGAATGATGTTATTGCTATCCTATATTGGAACTCTTGTGAAAATTGAGCTCGCATGAAATTCGAGCTCTTGCGAAATTAGGGTTTAATGATTATCAATCAAATTCTTACATCAACACAAAAACACATTCAATTTGAGGAAATTAAAAATTCCCAAGTTTAAATTGTTTAATGTCATGGTATAACAACTACTTACTTACACAGTATTTAAAATAACTAAATGAAATTCTGAAATAAATGATCTTAAATTAACAATTCAAGAGGAATCTTAACAGCTCCAATTAAAATACAAGCTTTTTTCTTACCAAACCAAAGAATTATAAAAACAGTTGAATTTGTGGTTATTTTTCTTTCATATTCCTAAAAGTTTATATCAAGAGGAAGACATAATCCATATTTTGGTAACCATAGTTTCCAACTTATAATTCATAACAAAGGTGAAACTGTCACATGCCTGAAGAACCGTGTTTCTTATTTCAAGAACACAGACATAATCAGAAGAGCCATATCTCTCTCATTCTCAACATAGCTATAGTGTGAGGTTTCAAATACCATCATAACCATTCCTGACATTATTTTCATAAAGATTGTATTTGACTAAAAGATTATTTATTTGTACATGAATAACATTGTTTGAATACCTACATATATTTAATATCTCTATAAGTTTATAATATATTATATCATAGGTTATTTGAGCAAGGATATATGGTTAAATATAAATTTTCAATAGAATTCATCACAGCAAGTCCTAATCTATAAGATTACAGATACAAAACAAATGATTCTGATTTATTACATAACCGAAAGGCAGATATATGTAAGAAATATTAACTCTCTAATTTTGAAAAACAGGATAAGGACAGTGGTCGGGGTATCCTTACTCAACTTATCTGACTGTCAAACAAGAGAGTTGTATTCCTTGAATCAACATGACACTATTAAGGGAGAGTCAATCTTGAATTAATGACACTATTAAGGAAGAGTGCATAGTCTGGTTATGGAGGTCAGAAGTTCCCACAAGAATTAAATTTAGTGTAATTCTGGGGTGGATCTACGATGAAATTAATAAAACTTAAGCATCAGGGGCCCATAATCCTGGAGGGGCACCAGACGCATCTTTAGTTCGCCTTTCTTAAATTTTTGCTAATAACAGTTTAAGACTCAGGGCCCCCAAAATGTAGTTCTACAACTGGCGTAATTGTAACCCCCATCTTACCCAAAATTTTTAATATGGAAATTACCTCCCCGACCCACCTGAAGATTGCCAACACGACTAATAAATGATATTCAGCAGGTATATGATATGACCAATATATAAACAAGTTTATCATCACGTGTATACATTAAAGATACATTATGTAAGTTCTTGCTATAATAGATAATGATATTTAGCCGGTATATGATATGACCAGTATATAAATGAGTTTATCATTAGGTGTATATATCAATTAACTATCATAATTACAATTACATACAACTTAAACCTCTTAAAATGTCACTCCCTAAAATTAGTTATTTGTTTGTATTGATATTTTGGTTTGGTTTCTTTGAATACATTTTAGCATGGATTAAGCTGTTTAAAACAAGATGTCTGAAAAATGCAAATAATGATTAATACATTATCTTTATTTGAATCTTGATTGGGTTGTATCTCGGCAAAACAATTGACACTTCGACCCAAGTTCTCTTTAAAATTAGATGGATTTTAAGAGATTTCAGTGTTTTTAAATAAGAGACCAGATTCATAAATTATATATCCTCCTTTTTGTCTGTCAGAAATAAATAAATTACCAAAGTACTGTAATAATAAGGGCCAAACACCCATATAAAATGAGATTTTATCAATTTTTATATATCAGTTTAATTACCTAATTAAATAAGTTATAATATATATGTAAATATATGTAAAGAGATTGTTTATAAAACAAGATATCCAATCTGTAACATAGTTTAACATCCACTCGATACAAACTAGGTCATTTGGGGACTAACATATGGTTTCATTTTATTTTCAATATTTCACTTGCATGTAGGTGTGTTTAGCAATATGAGGAAACCAGAGAAAACCCATAAGGTTGGACAGATAACCCTACTCCTTGTCACATACAAATGGGGAATCAAAAACATGTCACTTGACGAAATGACACACGTCATAATCCAAAGCGCATATGTTAAAGCATTTGGCCACCTACCCCCCCTACTGTACAGGGTTTGTTCCTGGACCTAAATGACCAAAGTATTCCGACATTAAACCCTATCCTATTCAAGGGAGATAATCTTTTTTTTGCTATTCAGACTCTTCCCATAATAGGCTATGCATTTTATAACCATGTTTTGTTAGTCTCAAAACACTTCAAGGGAGATAATCTTGTTTTATAATCAAGCTGTTCACATATAGGGTATGTATGATATATTGGTATATATAAATGATATATAACATGAGATCAATATGATAGGAATAATGTATAATTTGTATCAGATACAGTCTGGTTTCTATCCTGTAAATGTGATAGGAATAATGTATAATTTATATCAGATACAGTCTGGGTTCTGTCTGTCAATTGTGATAGTAAATAACCTTTATTCTATATCAGATAATGTCTAGTGTTTATCCAGTCAATGTCAATAGGAATAACATATAATTTATGTCAAATATAGTTTGATTCATACTGTGTTAATCAATGCCAAGCATAGTTCTGAGGTGCCAATTCAGTATTTTATTTTTCCTACTATAACAGATTCTTCACATTTACTAATAAATTTACTTGGTCATTAGATGTTGAAATACACTGGAGGGAGGGGGGTATGGAGGAGCATTCACTAGATCTTAAAGGGGGATGGCAATTACCCTCTAGCCCCCCCCCTCCCCCCAAGGGCTTACTTGTTTGTGGCCTAGATTTGCAACTACCCAATCAATATCCCATTCCAAAAACTGTGCCCCCCCCCCACCAATGTACTTTAGCCATCTACTACCCTGTATGCAACCATGGCAATTCTTTTGGATGCAAACCTAAAATTATTCTGACTTTAGCAACACTGAACAAATCTGTGATAATATTCAGAATTTAATGATATTTTTATAGAGAACTAAATGAAAGATAAGAAATTATGAATGAAAATAATTAGGAAAAACACACTTGCCACAAAATGTCTTGGTTCAGACAATGACGTCACTAAAATACAGAGACCCCCGATATCATAACTTGTTCGTTTACATCTACAGTAAAACAGAAAATTATTTTCAAAGGTGCAATATTTTCATATGTCATTATACATATTTACATCTTTTCAACTTGCATCAGAAAAAAAAAAACCCTTGCGTTCTTACCCTGCTTCGAAATTTTTTTATGTAAGTAGATTCAACAATATTTGTATACATATTCTTAGAATTTACAAACCGAAATAGGCAAGAAATTTACATCATTACTGCTTTCAATATTCAATTAATTTCCAAGAGGTGGAATTATTTTGTTCAAAATAGTGTGCAAAACAAATTGATTTCCATAAGAAGAATTATAAAGATTTTTGATCACTTTCAATATTTTTTTAAAAGTTATTCAGAATAAAAAAAGGTAAATTTCTGGCAAAAAATATATCGATTAAAGTGCAAAGTGCTTTGAGCATGGACAGAAAAAAGATTTGAGTGTCAATTTTTAGTTCGAACGACAAATTCCACCTCCAGGAAATTAGGCTCCCGACAAAAATATAAAACTGGGTATTCTCAAGATTAAAAATTATTTCATTTAAATGAAGTTTGATTAGGTTATGGCTACCTGCATTACACATTGACAGATGCTGGGATGCACAATTGCCAGCCGGAACGTCCTGATTATTGATAGAATTGAAATCGAGTGACGTGGAATTGAGCCCTGTCACAGTTTCTTAGTCAAGACAACGGAGATGGTGTGAGTAGAATCATTACGTAATTAAACACAACTAATATGTTTCAGCTGTGATGATAGGCTGAGATATTTTCTTATGCAGTTGTCGCTCACTTGTTTTTCATAATTTTTGGGATTAAATTCTGTAACGTTAATCAAGTATCCCAAAAGGGCCATAACTCTTAAGTGTACCAGAAACAATACAAAACATTCGATCAGTCTTTATTTTTTAACTGGTCAACCATTGAGTATGTGTATTTCCGTAGACCTATTCTATTGTGATGTAAATTTAAAATAAACTATTTTACCGATTCAAAGTGTCTTTTTATTGGCTGAAAACAAAAAACCCTATCATAGATTTTAACTCTAGACCAATCAAGTTTCTCTATACTGTATATTATTGATTTTGTATTATTGCTGATTATTAGTCATGGATCTATCCAAATATGTAATATCTGAATATATTAAATATTTCATGATTGTAAACAATGACTAGATGACATCTTTATGTATTATATTACTTCTAAATATAAACAGCTCTTTTCTAACACGCTATAATCACCATTCAGACCCTTCATTAATGTTCAAAATCATTTTTATATTCACTGCTCCAATCTTAACACAAAACGAAACCGTCTTCATTTGAATTTTTTAAAAACATTGAAATAAAATTAAATCATTGTTTTTACGCAAATCTGATATAGATTGAACGTTTAACAAAGCCAATGATGACCGACATACATAGTCATGCAGATATTTTGATTACAAACAGTCAGGGGAATCTTAAACGTGCAGTGTGTGTTATTTGCAGGACTTTGGTTTTCGGTCCAATCCAAAGGAATAGACACTTTTTCTTGCCAGAATCTTTCTAGACCAACACTGGGAATGAAACGAGGACCTCCATGGTAGTGAGCTGGCTCCATATTCATAAGGTCGAAATGAAATAACATGGAAAATGTCCTACTGGCCATACAGTCCTATGAGGGGGATTTTGCCCAGGTTAGTGAGCAATTGTCTTACTCACTGAGTCACAGTGGCTTCAATTTCTAGAAAAAGGATTTATAGTGTTTTAGAAAAGAGATATTTATATTTAGGACTAGCATGATATATGATTTATATAAGAGATGTATATACTAGAATAAGTATTGGGACATTCAATATTAGGCAGTAGATACAAGTATAGGATTATATTAGACATAAAAACCCATCGTATACAACCATTAAATAGACTTCTTCCGTATCTTTTCCACAGCAGCATTACATTATCAAATTTTAAAATAAGTCTTAAAACTCATTTTGTTTAGGAGAGCTTAAAACTCACTTGTTTAAAAAAGCTCAAAATTAATTATCCGTGTCATTTTATAATTGTATCCTATTTTTAACAAATTTTGTGAGTGACAATTAAGATTCTAACATTTGTGATCGTTATACTTATTACATCCATGTAATATAATTTGTTTATTGTACATTAAAGTTAAAGTGCCCTTGTGCACTCTACTCTTTGATAAAATGGCATTCTATAAAAAAATATTAATAACTGAACTACAAAAGGCTTTTCATGTGACATTAAAATCAATTTATAAAACCACATCATCTAAAATGCACTAGTTCCGATGACTCTATTTGTTATCTGATTGGTTTTAATATCATAAAATAGCACATATTAATAGACAAACCACTATTTCGATTCAGCACGGATAATTCTCTACATTATATTTATTCGGTTTGAAATAGTCAATACTGTATATCAAACCCCGATAAAGAAGTCGCGGCTGGATACTAACACACATGGTTATTTATCAATAGTAAGGCCATTTCACCATAAACCAGTTAAACATTGCAATCTTGTATACATCTACATTTAATTGCTTAAGTTTTCTCTTTAAATAATTTCAATCTCAATCAATCCAGGTCAAATTGTCTCTACTTTTTATACAACAAATATTGGTCTGGCTGATCATGTCTCAGTTCACCCATTAAAAATGCATTCTACATGCAGATGAACGTCAGTATGACTCTCACCCAATCATAAGATGTACAGAAATCTGTTTGACCTTTGTCAATGTCTAGACAACTTACACGATTTTGCTGACACCAATATCATCATAGAGAAAGGGGAGAGAATTTAGTGCTGAGTGATCAAGGCTACTGAGTCTAAAAAAAAACCCCGAAAAACAGATGTAAAAAAACTTAAACCAGAAAATATGTTTTCATAAAACTTTCCAAAAACCAGTTTTGGAACTTGTTCATTTTTTTTTTTTAGAAACACGTCTGCTTCAGGTTAATGTTATTTTGTCAGTAGAAGCAAACCAGTCTAATATCCTGTAACTATTAATAAGTAAGCATTATCCAATTTTAACAGGTCACCAAGCCTGGAAATAAGACTTGTGTCACTGATAACTCAGGTTTCATCACTCACAATTCTTTCAGGCCCTCACCTCCAAAGCCCCTGAGACACTGATAATGTCGAGCTCAAAGTTCTTCTAGGCCCTGTCATTCTATAAGACAAAAGTTTCTTCTTTCCTGTAAAACTTCAATTGCACACAACATTTGATCAGGAACGCGTTATTTCCAGGTGTGACTTGTTTTATCAATATGTAAACATCACTCTGTCGTCTGTTACTGTATTTCACTCTTACTGGTTTGGCACGAACACTATAAAAAGACACGACTTATTTTTCGATTAAAAAAACAAAACAGCAGAATAAAATTCCCACCTCCATCTTAAAAAATAAATATCAAGTCGAACTGTTTTGTTATCACTATCAAGCTTATAAAAACATCCTTCGTAATGCTCGTCGTCGTTAGCAACGTTTTTACACCCACGACAAGTCTTGTTAAAAGTTTTGCGGTAATATCTATATATACATATATTAAAAACATCCTTCACGCCAACTGTCAGCAGCTTCTGAGTTAACGTTGGGACGTGGAGAGGGTATATTTGATCTGAAATAATCAATAAAATATGTTAGATTCCTATTTTAATACGTGCACATAATTGGTGAAATAATTTCAAAATGATTTAATGATGTTAGAAATTTGTTTTAAATACAGATGTGACGTCATTCTTTTATGTTTGATATGCTCTTTTGATCGACCTACTGAACATAATTGGTGAAATAATTTACTAAGGGGGTTGGTTTTGGGCGATCTAAATGCAAACGGGTTAATTCAATAGTAGTAAATATTTCATAGACAACAACAAAAAGAGAGAACCAATTACGTTAGTTTTAAATAACAGCAAATAACAAATACTAAAAGGTCTATTGGAATAGCCTTATAAAAACTATTTGAATTCGAGTATTTGTGTGAGCTCTAAAAGTAATCGAATGAAATGAAATGAGGTTTAACATCCTACTGTTCTGATCCAACTGGGCTAATGGAGACGCCACACAGTGTGCTATGAGGGCAATTTTGCCCAGACATCCTTGTCTTAAATCAAATTATATCAAGTTCTTTGTCAGGCCCTCTGTCTTCACCATATGACAAGGGAGAGCCACATCGAAAATTCACAATGAACTTTCTCAGAGTAATCAAATAAATTGAATGTTTCAGCTGTGGTGATTAGTTGAGAATCTAATCAATAGATGTAATTGATGCAACTTACCTTCTGGGAGATGGTAGTGACGATCGTCCAGCATTAGGACGAGGTATTGTTCTACGCATCATAGGTTGAGGAAGACCACTTCGAGCAGGGGACACAGCCCTTCGTAACCCCGAGTTGGGTTGTTTTAAACCGAAGCCTGGTGATGGGGCTCGTATTGATGGTTGCTGTAGGCGTGTAACAGGGCGTGTCTCTGGTGCCAGGTTGGCGTCATCGCTGCCGACAGATTGATGATCAAGACTAGAATCACTGGAGTACTGTTGTATTCTACTCATACTTGGTAAACTTCTTTTACCACCATTTTCTATACAAAAAAAAACCCCAACATTTATATACTGATTAAAATAGTATTAATCATAACTAAAGCCTATCACTACAACTCAGATATCATTTAGTTGTGCTGTTTTAGTGGGAGTTTCTGTATTTAGTGTTTAGTTTCAAACCATTGTTAGAAAACTGTTCAAACTTGTTGAGAATCATAGAAAATTAGTGGGTTTCTACTGTCACATAGTTTAAAATGGTCTGTCTAGATTAGAGAGAAAGAGAGAAATGGGGTTTAATGTCCACTTGACACAAACTAGGTCATTTCGGGATCAACATATGGTTGAATTTTTATTTCAATAATTCGCTTGCGCGTAGGGATCTTTAGCAGTGGGAGGAAACCGGAGGACCCGGAGAAAACCCAAGAGGTTGGACAGGCGACCCTACTCCTTGTCACGTACAACCGGGAAACCAGTTGACTCAATGACAGACTTTATGATACAGCGCGCACACGCTAACCATTCAGTCATCCAACCGCCCTGTCTAGATTAGATGTGTTGGGTTTATATAACTGTTTAGTTTCCTGGAGCAGTGTCGAGTAAATAATCAGTCTGTTAATTAAATTACTGAACATGTCACATTGATAATTAATTACCATTTATCCATCCAGATAATTTGAATAGGTGTCTACCCCATGGATGAACTCAGGGGTTAGCAGAGTGGAACCGAATAAGACAACTGGGGTTACCGAGGATGCCATTTATCTTACCATAATTATAACTATGTTGTGCAGCATGTGGACTATCTGGAGGACTACTACCATCAGAATCTATACTATTTCTATATCTCTCTAACACACCACTATCTGTAGATAATAAAACACATAACATATCAACAAAGTCATTCAACATTATTACAAATTGTTTACATGTCATCTTTGACCCCTTTAGATATTTAGTCTTTCGAAACAATCCCTTCAGCACCAGGTACAATACTGACTACCCCAGTTCCCTAAAAAAAAAAAAAAATCATAAACTGCAACATGATCTTTTACATCCATGCTAATGCGAACATTAGACCTTACATTTGCGTGCCATCCGAATGACTATATAATATTATGTTTTTTCTTGCCTGGTTCTCTATCTAGCACAACTGACAAGGTGAAACGAGACTAGAAGATCAAGATGAACTTTCTCGGCTGACACTAGTGAGTCACTGTCATTCTAATTGAACCACTCTGATTATGCAATGTGCAATGATTATGGAATTGATTGGGATTACATGTAATTCAAATTTCACCTGGTTGCTAATTTTTCTAAAGTTAATGAATAAATATCTACCACAGTTATTGTCTAAGATGAGGAAATATCTACCACAGTTATTGCCAAAGGTGAATGATAATTCTACCACAGTTATTGTCTAAGGTGAATGAATATCTACCACAGTTATTGTCAAACATGAATCAATATCTACCAGTCTAAGGTGAATGAATATGTACCACAGTTATTGTCAAAGGTGAATCAATATCTACCGGTCTAAGGTGAAGGAATGAATGTGATCTACTAGATGAGAGAAATAAAGGTAAAGATATGAAACGAGTTTATCTACTAAAATATGATCTAAATTAGAGAAAAGTGGTATATTAATACTGGTACATTTCTGGACAGAACAAAACAGCTGTTCTTTAGATCGACACAAATGGCCCGAGATATGTGAAAAGCTTTCCGTATTATAGGCCAATTTTGTGTGAACCTCAGCTGTTCACGTGACATGATGGTTTGGGGCAGTCTACGGATCCCTAATTAGGGAGGTTTCGGGTTTATATTTGAAAGAGATATTTCAGATGAATTATTTGTGCCTGAATTTGACTATCTCTATAATACAAATAGAAACGTAATAGACTTTTGGCATGATACTTCACCTCAAGCTTAATGTTAGTTTTGAAAGGAATTTTCCATTTTACAAAAGTGTCTGTGATACCAGCTGATTTCTGATAACTGCATCAATGATCAACTCACCACTACCCAAATACAGAGGTTTGTCGATCTATTTTTAAACATCTAAGTTAAAGGTGAGCGAACTGTCTCTTTAGTTATATTAGTTAATGATATTTGTTTAGCAAGCAAAAATGAGGAAACATTAATCTCACAAAATCTGTATAATTTATTATAAAAACCATCCCTACAAAATCTGTAGAATTTGTCATAAAAACCACTCCCACAAAAATCTGTTAAATTTGTTATAAAAACCATAACCACAAAATTTGTTATAATAAAAAACATCCCCACAAAATTTGTAGAATTTGTGATAAACCCCATCATGCATCATGTTGAATAAAGTCACAAACCATCAAATCTTGCTGGACTGGAACGTGCGGAACCAATCGGTGAACCACTGTTTTCTGCGTCGCTAGCCCCGAGAAAACCAAAACCTTTTCTATTTAAGCCTGGTGAATAGTGATATACAAAAACATAGATAGATAGATAGATAAAGACCTCCACACAAAAAAATAAAGAAAAAATAGGCATAATTATTAAAATCAAACATGCATAAGGCCCCACCAATTTGAATTTTTGTTCTTCAGAAAAAAAGATTAAATTTTTGCTTCTTACTGCCTGGGGGATTTTTTTTTGTTTTTTTTTTTGTTTTAAATGTAAAGTGTGCTTGTTTGCTCTTCTCCAAAGCTTTGAGTTAATTTTGAAATTTTAAGCAAAACATTGTTCATAAGAAATGAAATGAAATGGGGTTTCACATCCTAATTTTCTGCACCGACTGGGCTAATGAAGACGGGCATAGGCCATACAGTGTGCTACAAGGGAAATTTTGCCCGGAGAGAGGCGCAACAGCCTATTTTTATTTGAATTCCAACTGACCAGGGTTCTTATCTATGCATGCCAATGTGTACACGGGACCTCAGTTTTTCATGCAATCCGAAGGATTAGAAGCTGTTCCTTGTCAGAAGATTGATTCAAGAGGTTATTTATTTATCAAGATTACAAAGAACTAAAAATCAAATTGGTTTGGCCTTACTAATGGTGATTACAATAAGGTTTTGCTAAAACACTGTGTTATAATAGTGATTACAGTAAGGTTTCGCTATAACACTCAATTATAATAATGATTACAGTACGGTTTCGCTAAAACTTAAAGGAGCTCACCCTCTTTGATTTAGGTAAAAATAAATTATTGATCTGTTGCATCTTATTTCAATTAGTGATGAGATTAGCCTAATAAAGCCTTATAATATGGTTAAATTTTGGTTTCAAAAATTTAAGCCAAAGCCAGTTTATTTAATTTTCTGGCTTCAGTTCAACTGTTGACAGTTTTACACTAAATCAGTTATATTCGCTCTAACTGAAGACTTAAAACAGATATACATTTTATCAATCAAATAAACTTTCTTTTATAAAGTCTCTAGATGTAATAAATTTCGTAATGTTCTGCATCCTCTGCAGGTGATATAAATGACATATATATATCACTGTGGATTAAGCCTTTTAGAAATTTGATATTTTCTGACAAATGTTAATGACGCACAAACTTTAAATCAATATTTTCACATTTTTCTCAAATCAAAGAGGTTGTTGCCAATGTTCCCTCTAATTTTTATTAGTCAGTGTGTACAAAAATGTAATGGTATGCAAATTTTATTCCTGAGAAAAAAGTGTATGTATGTGCAAGATATTTGAACAAATGTAAATTTGAAATTGTTTCAAGATAATTTTGACACAGTCTCCTATCTCATGAGTCTCACTCTTGCCTAAAAAAACTGTTAAAAATGTTAATGTTAAAATTTTAATGCATCACTCTCTAAGTGATGTTGCGGTATCTGAAATGTGTGTGCATGTGCACAGTTTAGAGGGAATTGAAAGGGAATTGCTAACTACTTTTACTGATGTAGCTAAGGCCATACAAAAAATATATTCTGATTCTCAGACAATCCTTACCAAAATCTGAAGTAGGAGGGAGGTTTTTATTTCGTCAAAGGATCAGTACTGGTCTAAATGACTTATAAAAAACATCAAGTTTCAAGACAAGAGAGAGAGAGAAATGGGGGTTAACGTCCACTTGACACAATCTAGGTCATTTCGCGACAACACATGGTTCAATTTTATTTCAATAATTAGCTGCGCGTAGAGGTCTTTAGCAATGGGAGGAAACCGTAGGACTCAGAGAAAACCCACGAGGTTGGACAGACGACCCTACTCCTTGTCACGTACAACCGGGGAATCGAAACCACGCCAGTTGACTCAATGACAGACCTTATGATACAGCGCGCACGTGTTAACCATTCGGCCATCCAACCCCCCACAAATGTTTCAAGGCACTAAACATCTTACCATGTTGTTTATAGGAATGCATGACCATCTAGTATCATTTATGATTGTCAGTAACATTCATCAGGGTTGTGTACTTTTTGATATATTTACTTCCTGTAATTCATTAATTAATGAGACCATGTTTTATTTTTTGAAATATTAAAAGGTCATGCAGCCCTATTAAATTGATGTAGGATTATCTGAGAACCAGAACATTTTTTGATGTGGCCTAATCTATATATAGAAAGAAACTATAATAAGGTGGATATATATGGGTGGGTATTTTTTTTATATCTTGGGATGTTATTTTACCTCGTCGTGGTGATGGATGATGGGTTATACTCTGTCGTAAACCTGAAAAAATAAACAAACAAAAGTAGATATACAATTTAAAGAGAGAATTGGGTTTAATGTCCACTGGCATATCCATTGGATTCTGTGCAACCATAGTCTATCTATGCTTTACCTATCCTATACTTGAAATACAGAATTTAAAGCAATCTCTTGACCTCTTATTACCAAGTAAATGGGGGTTAAATGGCATCTTGACACAAACTAGGTCATTTTGGGAATAACATAGTATGGTTGAATACTATTTTAATAATTTTCTTGCAGGGGTCTTAAGCCGTGGGAGGAAAACACAGGACCCAGAGAAAATCTACGAGGTTGGACAGGTGACACTACTGCTCGTCAGGTACAAACTGGGAATTGAAACTATGCCACTTGACTTAATGACAGACCTTATGATCTAATGCACACATGTAAAACCCCTCTATATAATCTAACCAATGTCTTCAACGGTCGGACTATTCTTCATGATTGGGATTGTTTTTGGCGATGGCATCATGTTCAGTTTCTCATCAACACTATACTTCTGCCATACTAAGACTAACATGGTTATTTTCATTGTAATGCACATGCACACAATGTGATGGGGAGAATTTCTTCTAGACAGGGACACCTACTCTTTGATCAATTCCAACTACCAAGGGCTCTTTAATGTGCTTGCCATTGTTTATATTATATTTGTGCACTAAACACACTCTCCTTGATAGCCCCACTGACATCAAACTTGACATATGATGAGAACCAAGCTTGAAAAAATTTGATGATTATTCTTGGTCAAGAGAAAGAAAACTCCAAATGACTAGACACCGTTACTTGCAAGGCAATCTGTCCTGCATGACTGACAAGGATAAACCACACGGAAAAATCCCTTGGAACCTTCTCAGCCAACGGGACTGAAGTCGTTACCCCCTTCTTGGTCATCTAGTGCCTTACTTTACCAACATGGCTCCCAGAAAGAGAGAAAGGGAGAGATGTGGGGTTTAACATTTATTGAACACAATTATGGGACTGACATATCGGCCTTAGACAGTTGGAGGAAACTGGGAAAAAACACATGCTATGAGACTGGCAACTGGCTTCACAAAGCAAATTGATATGACATGGCATGCATGTATATCAAATTGAGCAGCCATATTTGAGAAATTGCACAAATCTTACTTTCTTCTTGTAACTTAGCAACAGCCTCTATATCACTAACAGCAGGTATTCTATCGTCGCGGTAATCATTTTCTTTCTCCGTACTATGTAAACGACTTCTATCTTTATTTTTCCGTGGTCTGGTAAATGTTCCGGTATCCACTCTTCCACCTCCTAAAATACAAAATAAATCTAACACATTCTAAGACATATTGGACAATAGTACAAATCAAGGACAAAATTAAGGTCAAAAGCATCTTAAAATGAGTTCTGCTGCGATTCTGACTGTCAAAGAAAAGTTTTTGTTTTTTTATATTTTAGCCATTAAAATTTTAAGTTATATTATCAAAATCTAAGTGGAAATGGAATAAGTGACAATTGTTGAATTTCTTTAAGTTAAAGCATTAGGTATGATTAGATAAAGAGCTGACAGTTCTTGCTATATATATAATAGTTAAAAAAAAATATAATGAAAACAGAATATGCTGAAAATTTCAGTCAGATTGCTTCATTAAACACTTGTAAATTGGACACTCATTATCAAAATTGAATGGTCAGCTTTAAACTGGACAGAAGTACAAATTAAACGATTTATGGTGATTTTAAACAGTTTTTTTTACAAATTTTCAAACAAAGATTGGATATTAAACGAATGTGAAAGAAATTAGTGCTAGATACTCAAGATTAAATGGTATCTGGGTTACAGTGACAGGACCTCTAGGTTTGCAAGTCAATGTCCTACTCACTAAGCCACTGTGATCTCGAATCAACCCACCAACCTGCCGATCCGCACCCACGGAGCAATAAAATGTTGACACAGATGGATTTGGATGTACATGTAAGTGAAAGACTAACGAGGGGATGTCCGGCCAGATACGCTCACATTTTGCAAGCGAAGGACAGAACAAGCTAAACAAAAATGTTATTTTTTGTTCAATTAGGGTCCAAATTCCAGCAAGTTATGTTCGGATATGCGCAAATAGCGAAAGGAACCGAGATCTTTGGGACATAAACATATATTCTAAGTTTTATCAAAATCTGTCTTCTAGAGGGTCCACAACCTTGATATACCATATTTCTGCACAATTTGCATACCAAAGCGTTTCACTCTGATTTTTATCAATCAATCAAAAAATCCTATAACTATACCACGAGTGGGTGATGGGAGGTAACTCGCATTTTGTTGAAACTAAGATGGCCGAATCATTGTTGTAAACTTTGTTAAAATACTTTATGACATCTTTTTGTATGCATGTCACTTCTTTGATATTAATAAATTTCTTTCCAAGTTTCTCATAATCGAACATACAAGCTGCTGTATTGTGGTGAACAAAAACAATGATGCTAAGACTGGCATGCAATCTGTTTTTTGATTGGTTCTTAGAATCAACCTACGTAGCCAATGAAATCATCAAGGGAGGATAATTTGATTTAGTAAATACCCTGTGAATGGACCCATTGGTTAATGGAGTGGGAGTACCAGAGGGAATACCGAGGATAACATAAACCATATACCAGATAGATAGGCAATCCCAAGTATCTAGAATTGTGACCTCATGGGAGACAATTCTTTAATCACGATTGTGAGGACCTCTTTTGCCATGACAAAGAATGCCTGTCCTAACTTGTATACAATCTTCACATACGCTGTTAAATACTGTACATGCCGATATTATTAGTGCTATAAAATAGAGCATGAACTTGATTCATTCTGCTCATTTAAATATATATCTTCCCACCAAATCTATTATTACCATAAATAAATAGTACTGATAGGTTGATAACCATGTTATATTATTAAATATTAGTAATATCTAAAAGGGGTGATGGCATTATTCTGATACCTAATATAAACACGAAATAGACTATGAAGTCAGACCTGTAAATAATGGTTTTACATGTACCTGACATTTTCAACTTGTTAGTGCCAGACATGTATTAATAATATCAATAAAAAGACAAATCAGTGCCAGACAAAATGACAGGCACCAGATTACTAGAGGTTTAGTGCCTGACAAAGCCTGAATCTGTGCCTGAAATTGTCAGTGACAGGTGCCATATTTCCAGGCTTGGTTACTATGGAACATGATACAGAAAATTCTATAAAATCTTTGAAAGATTTTTATTACCAAGCAATTTGATTAGTTCTCTCACACTAATCAGCAGTGAATATTCGCTAAGCCGCTACAATCACTGAGAGGAATGACATCGGTGTGAATTAATAAGTTCACAATATTATTTATTAACTTTTTTTTTTGCAAATTAAATTCTAGAATATTAGAGTATTAGAGAAATAAATAAAGGTTTTGAAGCATAACTGGATAAAAAACATTTCCTATTTAGTGTAAATGGGTATATAAAATGAGTAAAACGCATCAATCTGCCTGCACGCGCCATGGCACCAACATGTAGAAGGCATTTGAACTTATAGTTATAAAGGTCAGTCAGAATAAAAATATGATCTTAATCAATTTTGTATCTGTATTGGATACTAGAATAATGCTATCACCCCTTTTAGATACTACTAATATACAGTTAACATATGGTTATCAAGTTCATGGTCTAGTATTACAATCTGTTTCAGGGTTCGATCACGGTGATGGCCGAAGAATTTCCTCAGACGACCCTACTCGTTCTCACATACAAGCAGGGAATCAAAACCATGCCACTTGAATCAATCACACCCATTAAACCATTCAGCCACCCCTTCACCCCTACAAGATTTTATGTAAATCTGTCATTCTCTTTTGAAAATACCATACCCAAAGAGAAAATACATATATCATATATAATTATTATAATTATAATAGATGTGAAATAAGTGTAAGTAAACATAGTTTCAATGGTGATAATCATCTTTTATAAAAGCAAAAGCTCTTCAAATACGTGTGGATGATTATAATATTGTAATGATTGTGATTATAGAGCCTCAGGATAAATATCAGTGTTTATACCATAATCTCATCATGGTGATAAATGATTAGGAATTGATCAGCTAAACTACCTGGTTATAATAGTGTTTATACCATGATCTCATACACATGTATGGTGATAAATGATTAGGTATTAATCTAGAACTAACTATAATATTAATATATAAGATACTACATGTATGATAAATGATTAGGAACTACCCAACTAGAAATATTTCTAAGAAGACACTATATGATGATGATCACTTATTCTACAACTAACCATGTAACCATAAACTACTATTTCTCTAACAGGTAAGAAGTCTACATTTGATCATAACTTTTCAATAAGGCTAAGAAAAACAAATACCTATGTTTACGGTTACTTGGCCCCCCAAAATAGGATTGGTCAGTCGGAAAATCTTCTTCCCGTGGGTTTTGTAAAGCCTATTTCCTAGCATTTCTAGTCTAATTACTGAGTAATTAGCGATTTTGGTTAAAAAAAAAAATGTTCGATCAGGTAACCGTAATCATAGGTATTTTATATTTTGACCTTCCTTAATTTAAAATACTGATTTATTTTTCTATATTTAACCATAAATTTTCAATTAAATTACTGAATTATTTTTCTTCTATATTTTATCATAACTTTTCAATTAGATTAAATGAATTAAATTACTGAGTTATTTTTCTATATCAAATCATAAGTTTTTATTATTATTAGAAGCAAAGAGCTAAAATGTTTCAATTAAAAATACTAAATTGATTTTTTTTAAAAATTTGGTGTTAAAATAATTATAAAATCTATTTGGTTCATATCTAATATTATCAGTTTCATTCAAAAGTGGAAAACATTTATTACAATATCAATATTCTGATGATAAAAAAATAAATTCTATGCAAGCTTACATAACAAATTATATTTAAAAAAAATTAAAAAAAAGAAGAAAAATATGAAACTGACGATAACTTACAATAAACTCTCTCTCTGTGCTAGCGTACATAAAAAATTATTAGAAAAAAAAAAGAGAGAGAGAGAAAAAAATAAAATAATAAGAAATTAATAAAGTGTGTAAATTAGAACTTAACGATAAAATACATAAAGACTGAAAATTGCAGTGTGAAAGACCACTACCTAGCCTGTACCCACCTAACGAAGCTAATAGTGATTTCCTAGATAAAGGGTGCATACCATAAGGGGTAGTATTTTCTGTTGATCTACTAAGAGGGGATGATTGTGAATTGGGTTGTGAACTACCGAGAGTAGGCGTGCTGCAACTTCGATTCACTGAAAAGCAAAAGATGATAGGTTAACGATATGCAAGAGACAGTTATGTACATATAAGGAGAGGTACATACATTGATGATGTTCATCAGGGCTTTCAATTCAAAATCTTACCAGCCAGTCACTTTTCATGATTTTTTTCTCTACTTTTTTTTAAAGAAGGACAATATTTAAAGTTATCTCAATTTTTCAAAATATATTATTTCTAAAGTGTTTTACACATAAAAACTATAAATATAACTGTGGTGTCATATTCTGTGAAATTCTAATTTTATGTAAATGTACAGACAGATCAGTTGACTGACAGGCAAGATCTCCAGCTGGTCAGGACTGGTGAATATGATTGAATTGATAGCCCTGAGGTTTTTGTACAACAAGACAAAATACAACAAGAACAAGTAGATATGTGAACTTCCCAGATACACAGGAAGTAGTATCAGGTGATTTAAAAATGATATGCATACCCTACATTGTACATGATACCTGTCAGAACAATGCATGCCTCACATAATACATGTACGATACAATATATCATGATAACAAACACAAAGGCATAATACATCACATTGTGTACAGGGAGCACAATAAGTACAGGGGCGTAATACACATCCATCACACAGAGGAATAATACAATACCGTGTGTACAGGGGTGTTTTACATCACAATATATACATGAAATACATAAAAACTTGAAGTTTATGATCAACAATGGCATTGTTCTAAAATATTTGGTGCATTTTTATAAAATATGCCCTATATGGGCACGGTCGATCATAAAATTACCTACTAAAACCATTTGAAAAAGAAACAGGAAGGCGAGCCACGAGACCATAAGTACGTTGACAAGTGATTTACAACAACACTTTCTTATAATGATACGATAAGAAATAAAATAAAAGACCACTACCCAAGGTGATAAAAATAAAATATTTAAAAATTATACCAAATACACCAAATAACTAACCTGATGATACCCATTGTAAATCTATAAATTACAATCATTATATAATTATTCATCAATATTTTCAAAAAATTAAAAATAATGCAAAAATTGAAATGAAATAAGCTGATGTTCATCTGAAAACAAAATTTGTATTCAACATAATAAAAAAAAAACCAACTAAAAAAAATTCTCCAATATATCTCCAAAGCCACTGCATGCAACTGATATGTCTAACATATATAAGTTGTGTGATACGTTTTACATGACAAAATCTGTGACAGGTGCCTAATGTCCAAGCTTGTATGTATTGTTAAGTTGATTTAAAAATACTTTTTATAGCATGCATGGTACCGTCGTATACTGAAAGATGTTGTAACCATTTTATAGATTTAATCTGTACATAAAAACATTGGTAATACAGTACCATGATAAAATACATTGCTAAATATAATTACTAGTACACATGTTCATCTACTATAAACAAGGCTCACGCTGTCTGTTACCAAAGTCGCAATTGATAAAATATAAAGGTAGCTATTAAAATTTGATTTCAGCGATAAGTTTTGGGGTGCTGGGTATTCTTTTTGAGAACTGGCGAAAAAATTTTCTAAAAGGCTAATTGTATATCCTAGATTGACCATTACATTGAATGTTAATCACAATCATGTGGCGGTGCACTATAAATTAATTAACTCACTGATAATCCAGATCATGTCAATAAGTAATACTAACCAATTGTCTCGGATTAATAATTAGTTGATTGATAATTGCCATTATTTAATCCTGATAATTAATCTAAGCAGTGAATATTTGATGTTTCGTTTCGTCTTAAAAAAAATACAAATGGAAATAACCCAAAGGCCGACAGTTCTTTACCGAGAAAACTAAATATTTTGTTAGTTGAATTTCGTTTATCGTGGCGTCATATAGCATGTAGAATATACAAGCATGCCTAACTGGATGTTATTATTTCAAATTATATTATCAGCATCGGTCAGAAACGAAAGAACAAGTTGTACAGCGACAATTCTCGAGTAAGAAAACGGTCTGCCTTTTGTTTCATTACGGCCGCCAAAATGCTCTTAAGTGAACGATGAGTCTGATAGTAAGCATCTCTTACAAATGAAATTGAAAATCCTATCATTTTATCATGGATTCTGAATCTGATACCTGAAAATAACAACATCCCTATTGTACACGCAAAACATAAATTTATAGAAAATTGGCAATCCTTGGATGAGATTTGACAAGTAAATACTAAAAATATATTGTGCAATACGGTGTGCGAAAAATAAAATCTGGGCCCTGTTTCACAAAAACTTAAATCTCCTTAAAATCGTCTTACACTAAAATTCCATCCTAACTTAAGATAGATGCGTTTCACAAAACGATTTTAAGCATTTTAGATAAAATCCACAAAATAATATTGTAAGTTAAAATTCTATCTTAACTTAAAATAGTGGAGTTTAACATACTATTTTAGGGACAATTTTAACTAAAATCAATTTTAACTTAGGACAGCCGTCACTCTCTCCTAACTTAAAAATCACAACATTAACAAACATTGATTGAGCTACGTTGTGGGATCTATTGCGACATATGGATATATTTGGAATAATGATATTATTGCCAATGGCCCGGGTTGTATAATTTAAACATACATTCACAAAAATAATTTTCATTAATTTTATTGTAAGGCAATATAAGCAATTAGATGACGCCCTAAATTAAAACTCCAAGAACAAAAAAAAAAAACCTCAAAACTCCAGTAAACAAAACTCTTTGTTACTATTTTATATATTACCATGATTCAAGTATAAATAATATTATTTTCAAATAATTAATAGACCAAAAAAAAAAAAAAAAAAATCCTAAAAAAATCTAAACCCACTTCATATCTAATGTCGAAAAAAATTTTTTTTTGTAGGCCGACAATTGTTTAAAATGAGAGAGAGACTGAGAGTGAGAGTGAGAGTGAGAGAGAGAGAGAGAGAGAGAGAGACTTTTTGGGACTAACACATGGTTCAATTTTATTTGAATAATTCGCTTGGGCGGAGAAAACCCAAGAGGTTGGACGTACAACCGGGGAATCGAAACCTCGTCAGTCCTATAATACTAGATACGCCATATGCAAAGTATTTATGGCTTTGGGGTTATGAAGATTTATATAGGAGCCAAGGGTATTTTATATTGGGAAAAAATCATTTTAATTTAATTAGATAGATAGGCATTATCCAATAAGGAGTGTGGCACTTTGGCATTTTCAAATTATAATTGAAAGGGTCAATGGGACTGGAATTTCAAATCTAGGCATCGCCGGAACATTAGTTATTTCGTGTATTAGTTTAAAAGTTATTAAATACTTTTAAAAATCGACAATAGTTTAGTCTAGATTAATCGTTTGAGTCAGAAATATCACATGTTTGTGACAATTTCTCAGTAGTTTCTGTTATCCAAAATACCATAAAACTACGAAATTCAAGCGATTTAGTTTATCGATACACATTATTTCCATTGAAGCCTGCGAGTAAATCAAATGTCAAGGTCACGAAAGCGACATGCAAGTTCAAGGCCAACCAACTGATACATTTCAAAACAAAAAACACGCAATAAACTTATATATTTCATCTTTCTACGATTGACTGACCATTTGCAGACATTGTTACAACGTATGAAACCCTCCTTATTGGTATTGTAACGGTTAGTTCAAACTGGCAACAGTTTTCAGTTCCGAAGCGTGTACGCTCACACCCTATGTGCCCTCACCGGAATTGTGCACCACGCGAGCGCAAGCAATTTTAACTAAAATCTATTAAAATTGCATTTTAAGTTACAATCGATCTTCGGGAAACGCTTAAAATTTAAAATTTCAGTTTGATTTTAGTTAAAATCTATTTTAGTGATTTTAGTTTAAGTTTTTGTGAAACAGGGCCCAGATCTTAGTAAATCATCTCAAAACTGGGCTAATGTATTATGTAAAGAGAACTTTTGTTGTTGTACATGTATATTGTATACTGCTAACTGTTTTGTACATGTAATAGGTCTACCTGAGAAATGTTACATGTTATCACATATTTTTGGCAGATAAAATATTCCACCTGGCGGGAAAAAATATGAACATTTTTTTATATAAAAATTATCCATTTTGGCGTGACAAAAATTATCCATTTTGGCGTGACAAAAATTGAAAGCCAGTGTGAGCCCCAACTATTAATATTACAGTACTCATTGAACAGATACTGGGTGAATGAAGTGTAAGATGTCTAATTGTCAAATACAGTATTATTATTAAAAGGCGATCGCACTTTTAATTTGACATGATTATTCAGTTTTATCAGGAATATTCGCAAAATTGTCTAATACAGTTTTAAAAGGCAATGGCACTTGTGAGGTCAGAAAATAATTTTTGAATTTGACATGATTATTCAGATTTATCAATTATTTTGGCAATATTTGAGAAACATTTGGCAAACTATCACAGACGCATAAACATTTTAATATTCAATTTATTTCTAATTTCTATTTTAAGTCTTACATATCTTTTTAGTTGTAGGACTTACATTAAGATTTGGCACTCATAATTTGTCAAACAGTGTTATGCTTTCATGAGGCTTAGTCGAGATAAATTCAATTTGATTAAAATCACAAGTCATTTTTATTTAATGTTGCATCATAAATGTGCATCAATTGATTAATCTTATATTTCTCTTCTAAAATATTTATTGCTACATTTATTTAAATAATTCAGAAACTGTAATAAAGGATTATTTAGGTTGCTAGGGTTTCGAAAATATTTTGATGAGTATTTTAGGATTTATTTAGTTTCATCGTCCTATTTCTGATTTTAAGTGAATCGCTTGACTGATCATGAAAAGGATTTATTTGAGATAATTCTAAAGCTTGTCACAGTGTTTATATGAATTTATTTTACAAATAAATCATGTCCTCATGCTTCAGATTTATATCTCAATAACTAGTACAGGAAGAGGACTGCATCACACACAACAGTAAAGCCAATCAACACTGGAGAAATATCTACAAAAACATAGACAACAATACGACAAAACACAGACACTGTAAGCAAGGTATTACAATCAAGTGATTGGATTTATAAGCATCCATTGGCATTGCTCTTAATAAAACTGGTATCACTCAATAATTTGTAAGCTTTTAAAACAACTTTCTGATGTCATTGTTTCATAATATGCATTGTATAATTTCTTGTATCGGAATTCCGTAACTTGAAAAATGAGACTACAGTACATGCACATACATACATGTACTAGTAACAATCCAAAGTCAGAAAGAGAGGATGAATTTTAACCAGTCTAGATCTCATCTATATATCTTATTATTTGTTTTGAAGTATTGGCATTATCATTATCTTTGTGCTGCAAACAAATCAGTTTCAATACCGTCTAAGAAGTTTTATTGTCGTAATTCGATTTACGATATATATTTCAAAACCTCAGTGAAGTTAATTTCAAAATTGATATGCTCAGTATACTGTGAAAAGGTAAGTTTTGATACTAATTTAAAAGCTTTAATGATAACTTAATTTACAAGATATATTTCAATACCTCGTGAAGTTCATTTTAATATTGATATGCTTGGTATACAGCCAAAAATAAAATTTTGATAATCATTTACAAAGTTTAAGTTTGATACCAGTTTTCAACATCTCGGTGATAAACTATTGCAACAAGTATACGATGCAATACATTGTACTTACTTCTAGCGACTTCATCCATCTTTGAAAGTAACGACTTTCTTCCAGATATCAGCTCAGGACTTGGATGATCAAACTCCTGTCTAACCCATTTATATGGACTAACTTTTGTTTGTTGTGGGGTAGGGGCCTTAGGGGAACTATACAACCTAGAAAGAAAAAAAATAAATAAATGAAAGCAAAACATAAGCTAAGGTTAAATTTTATAGCAAATGTGGTAGAAGCAAACATAGGGGAACTATACCATACATGTATCTGGTTGATTTTATATGAGTACTGTAAATGTTAATGTATTACAGTGTTGTTACAGTACCAGTAATTATGTTGTGTTAATGGAGGTGTAAATATAATATATCACACTAAGTGAAAGTCAATAACATTTTATGCTACCATATGATTTCTACACTTAATGGACAAATTGTTGCCTTATGTTACTACCTGTATAATATATATCAACATACACCCCATCTGTCGACACATTCTTATATAATAAACCACCCAATCAATACAATAGCCATTACAGGATTAGGGTTTTCTTGAAATGAGACTATTAATCTCAAGTTTTGTCTTTCAAAAACACCTACCCACATGTATTAACATTTTACTGATTATTTCTTGTGGGTAAAAATAATTTAAAGGGAAACAATAAGGCCACAAATCTAACAAGAAAACCCAAATTCATTAGTGTTAGTATTTCAAACGTCAAAGATTTAGAATCAAAAGATTTTGTGAAGAACAAGCAAGTACATTTTTCCCCATTCCCCCAAAAATATAAGACATAAGATTTTAATAAATGTTCCTGAAGAATAAAAGTTGCAATTGGTCAGGCCTTTGACACCTGGTAATTAATGACAAGATCAAATCAGACAGTACATGTCATAAAACTGATTCATGGTTTTAAATAGACTTACTTGTACATTATAAAAATCATCATTATAATCATACAGGTATATAAATATGGATGTTACTGACACTTAAAGGGTCGCCATTATGTCATAACAGAGTGACCATAACCCTGGCACGATAAATAAGATCCTGTGGGCCATGAGGACACTATAATATATAGTAATATGCAAAATTTATATTGTAAGAGGGTGTGTGTGTGTACTCATGCCAAGGAATTTGGGGCTGTATGTAACCAGTAATTTGGCTTCCGGTACATGTAAGCAAGATTATGAAGCAGATGGCTTAAAAAAACGCACTGAAAATTGAAATTGCATTTTTTGCAAAAACTCAAGGGGAGCACAAAAACTGCACCTCCGCCCAACTAATTCACATGTGAAGAAATGAATTCAATTAGGTAACAACAGAAATCTAAAGCCATGTTTAACGTTTTTTTGGAATCAGGACCAGAACAATGAAAGAAGAGGGTTTAGTGTTTAACCTACTGATTGTGGGTCTGTAATTATTTACACAGTAACTGCACTATATCAATATAAAGAGCTTGAGGTTTAAATCATTGTTTACATCTATAGTTGTTGTACACCTAGGAAAGACCAGCTTTCAAGTCAATATTATAAAGGTTACACACATGTACTTTGTACTAATACAGTTGGTGAATACTAATTACTTAACACAGCTACATGTATCTTACTCTCCCAGTGAATTTTTAATGAGAATGAATTAAACATACAGTGTAGGCCTACATGTACATTCATTTTTACAATAACATTAGCCTGCTGTGTTTAATTAATTGCTCGTTTCTCATGACCTGTGTGTGAAAAACACATGTAACATGAGGTAATAAATAATTATTGAGATAGAATTTTAAAATTTTGCGTTTAAATAGGTTAATAGGATTAAATAATTGTCATTGTTGTTCTTGCACGAAATGCCAACTTTCATATATAGCCAGTGAAGATTTGGAACAATGCTCATTCTTTAGGGTAACGATATCTAAACTCAACGATATCTAAACTCAATGACAATCCAGTCTTTTTGATTTTTGACAAAAACTTCAACTTCATACAAATCCGAATAAGGATATAACTTGAGAGTTCAAAACATTTTGTATCGGTTACTTAGGCAATTAAAACCATATGGTAACCAGTGATTTATTCAGATCTAATAAATTTTTATAGATATAGGTATTGTTTTACAAACTTCTTCTGATGAATCGGGACCAAATAATCAGGAAAATGGACGGATCATGAACAAACATTTAACTAACCACGACCTTATAATTATAGAACATGATCCAAGTCATTTCTTCCCATAGGCGAGCTCAGTCTGCGTTGTTTCTTTTTATATCAATAGTAGTATTATTGACATGTCATTTGCATTTTCGCTAAAAAAAATATCAAATTTCTCACAGCTTTTAAATGCTAAATATAGGCCCTATTGTCAGATTAATTATTAGGCCTAGGACTGTGGACTGTACAGTGTTGTGGAAGCTTACGTCTAGCCCTTGGATCCATTCACTGATCCCTCCCTCTCCCCTGCAATTGCTATTAACATTTAATTAAGAAAACAAAATCAAAGTACCAACACTAGATAATCTCTCGACTTGGATTCAATCTGATTTAAACTAGGCCCTTCAGGTTTCTCTGCTACCAATAAAAGATGGTGGCATATTGCTACGCTCTTGAAAGTAACATAGATCAATGAAATTTCAAACCTCTAGACACCCTAGAGTAGTGTAATACAGTACTAAAAATTGGGTATTGGCTACATTATCACAAACTTGACCACATACGACAGAATTGAACCACCTTGTTATCAAATCCAAAATTGACATGCATACAGGAAACAAAATTAGGTCCAAAGCAGAAGGTCCCAAAACTGACTAGGTTATATTTCTGTGGAAAGATCGTCTGTGTAAAATTATTGAGGAAGACAGAAGTATATTAAAAAATATATGATCAAATAAAAACTACATGCAAAGATATTGTTAAGCTTATATGTGGAGATTTTAACAGGACTCAGCACTCCACTTGGAGCTCCCCCTTTAATATTAATAAATATCATTTGATACGTAAAATAACAAATGTTTTTTTGTTTTTGTTGACTGTTACAACTAAATTTTTTGGCCGTTATATCCATAACCCATCTGTACTTGAATCCATGACCACTTGGACCAAAGACCACTCGGACTGTCGGACCAACTGATAGACCACTCGGACCAAACAAAAAGACTACTAGGACCAAACAAAAAAAACACTCGGACCAATAATAAAGTTTTGTTTTAATAAATTGTGTTTGTTTTAATATGACTACTCGTACCAATATTAAAGTGTTGTTTTAACAAAATAATTGTGTATGTTTTAATTGACTACTTGAACCAATAATAAAGTGTTGTTTTAATTGTTGTTTGATAATTGTGTTTGTTTTAATAGCGAAGAGTGGAGCACTGAAATCTTAATCTTCTCTTACCAATTGGTTATGCTGTATTTTCGAGCAAGACGGAAGACATCGGTAGTAGAACCATTTCTACCGTGTTACAAGCTAATCAAATTGATGAAGCACATCAAAGAAAAACAATTATATTGTTGATGTAATAAAGATGACTATTTGCTAATATGTACTTACCCGTAACGCACATCTAGTAACGAAGACATTTTTAAGTAATGTATATCCTCACCTATAAATTATTCGCATCTTTATATTGTGATTTAATAATAAATAATATATTGTCTGTATTTTATTTTTAAAATGAATAAGTCAAGCCTTATAATAAAATTTAATTGGTCCGAGTGGCCCTTTGAGTTTGTCTGAGTAGCAAAGATAAATAAATTGGTCCGAGTGGTATTTTCGTTTGGTTCGAGTAGTCTTTTGGGTTGGTCCGAGTGGTCTCTGTTTTGGTCCGACTGGTCTTGGTACGAGTGGTCTTTGGTCCGACTGGTCTGGATACCCTGTACTTGCCGTCTGTGTTTATGATTATGAATGAATAAAATGATGTTTAACATGATAAATTTCTGTGCCAACTGGGTTAATGAAGACCGACGGGCATACATGACATGGCAATGTGTGTAGGCAACAACTACAAGGCAATATTCCTTACATTCAAGCCCCTAATAAAGCCTGCTCAATGGCAAGGGAAAACCATGATGGATAAACCCTGCAAACTTTCTTGACCAACACCTGGAGCAAACCTCGAACCTCCTGGTTTGTAAGCTTGTGCTTTACACACTGAGCCACCTTTCTTCCCTGTTTCTAATGCTAATGAAACTTAATAAATTACTACTTAACTAATAGTAATACTATTACTACTAGACCTAGTCACCTACTATTCAGATTTTAGGGTTTCATTTCTACTTACCAGCTTTCATCTTCTTCATTTTTCAGAGACAATTCATCGACGTTCACTATTTCTACTTCATCTAAACCTTTTAAACAATCCTTAGTCAGTTTAGATTTATCGTTAGATTCCGTGTGTTTTGTAACGACTGGTTTGTTATCGGGATCACCATTTGAGAGATGGGAATCAATCGTCTGTAATTTTTGTTTGCTTCGAAGTAATTCGTTCTGTTTCTCGAGTTTCTTCACTAAGTCTTGAAGTTTTTTCACTTCATCTTGGGGATCGATTAATGAGTTTGACTGCTCCATATTGTTGTAAACCATCTGCTAACACCAAAAACAGCTATAACGTAAAATTTAAGACATTCTTCTCAGACTTGATCACTTCGACGCCATATTTACAACTTGACACGCATGCGCTGTGTCATTTCCTGGACTGATGACAAAATGTTATATTTTTAATTAGGCTCCCGCCTATCCTTGAAAATCTATGTACTTGCCAAACAAAGAATATTACTTTTTTACTTTGATTTTTCCCATAGACATTTCTAGCAATAAAAACTCAAAATCGTTAATAGAAGAGGCGGTTTTTGATAAAATAAATGACTTTCTTGAATGAAAGTTAGAAATAGAACAGAAAAGAAAGAAGTCTTTTGTTTCAGTTTTACACTTTGGCTTTCTATTTTTGTCAGTCAACAAATTTCTGAACAAGTCAGGGCCATTTCTACCAAACGGTTTTATTTTCATTAAACTCTAGATTATGTGCTTTGATATAATATACACAAATAATTATTTTGAAATTTATTATAAACTCGACTGTTAACTGAAATTAAACCGGGCTAAAATTCTCATCAAAAAGCAAATTGTAATGCAAGGGAACTAACTCGTCAATTCTTTTGTATTTGAATATCCAGCTAGAAATGTTTAGGAAAATACCCTTTTTGATAACCGAGACAACAATAATTGCCGCCCGGAAGCTGTAGAAAACGAAATAAGCAGCGTACAAAGTGTGTATTTCTGTAAGGAAACCTGTTTTATGATTTTTTTTACATGCTTTGCCTAACATCCATAGAAATAACGGTATATATAACGTTTAACAAGCACTTGTTCAAAATGCACTATCGTATAGACAATTCCAAATCACTTGAAATTCCAATATCATATCCCCCGTGTGTGTGACATGTTTAGAAAGGGATGTAGTATTTGTCGACATTGACATTCACATTGTAAACAGTCAGAAATTAACATTTCCTTGGATTTTATTTTGAATTTTTTTTTTGTAAAGAAATCTAAGCTAACTTAAAATCAGATGTAGGTTTATTTGGCCCTATATAAACTGACTTTAGTTTTATTTAGCACCACATTTGGTGGGCACTTTTGACTGGAGTAGTATCTTTATTGAAGGCATGAACATAACTTACTTAGTGAATATTTGACTGTATCACGGTTTCATTTTATTTTCGCTATTTAGCCGGAACTTAAGTCTGATTTTCGGACTGTTTCTGCCGACGATGGCTGTACGGCAACCGTAATACTAACCCTAGCATTTGGTTTGTCTATGGAATGAATATCGATGCATTTTTATAAGTTTTTTTTTCTGTGCAGCAGCAATCGTTCTCGTGTCACTCTCCATACGAAAATAAAGAACTGTGCATGTCTAACGGAAGTTCCGACTAAATAGCGAAAATAAAATGAAACTGTGAGACGGTCAAATATGTAAACATATAGCGCTAACTTAATATTATTTTCCATAATATTTAGGCATATTTACGAGATACCGATTATGGCTAATAGATGTGCAGATCCCATTCAATCATGTTCACGGCAAAAATTAGCCTAATTGGTTTCACGTAACTGTCATATTTACCACAAAGATTTATCAAATCGATTATGCAAATCTTCTAACTTGTTTGCTTGCCAGATTAACAATTCAGTTTCCAAGGGGGCGTCCCCCACAAGCGTCACAAAGTGCCTGACGTTACTTCATTTTCTTTTGAATTTCACATTAAATATACATATTATCCTAATACGAATACAGGGCATTTGGGAACAGTCAGCTGGTACAACTTCTTGTTTTTATTTTTGGGTGGTGTCTTCAAGAACAGAATAAAGTAAAATTAATTTTTTAATATTTTTCCTTTTGTCTTTAGTCTTTAGCCATCTTGCCAGGCAACTCATCGTGTTTACGAGAACCAATTCAAATACCAACTCAAGACTTACATCATGTATGCGAGATAGGGAATTGAAATCAATTTGGTTTCTCGTAAAAACGCCTCTAGACATTAGAATTTGATATTGGTCCATTTCAATCAACCTGGATGTTATCTTACTGTGAAAATATATAGTAATCCAATATTTAATAATAATATGCAATAACAAATTTAAAATCAGCTCCCTACATGTGAGTGCTATGACAAGGTTTGATGAACACATTACGAAGCATAACAATGCATTTCAAGTCAATGCAGAATTAAATGAATTGCTAATCCACAAACAACAGAATGAAAATAGATAAACTTATAGACTAGATTAACCAGACTCAAAAGACTACCATTCAATGCTTAAATATTTCACCAAACAGAACATAACTACCGGTAATTAGAAATTGCAGAAAAAGTTATTAAAAAATATAATGTAAACTAGTTTTTTGATGTTTTGATGTGCTTTTCGACCATTTTGGTTTATTTTAAGGTCCCAAAGAAAAGAGTTATAGCCTACACCATTAAAATTTAGGATGACAAAATTAAACAAAATAGTTTGGATATTGTAAAATAATAGTTTATATCGACTATTGTCACTTGGCCATACTAATTTAAAATCATAACCATGTTTGAAATCAACTCTGACAAAATAAAATCCATTGTGCATTATAAAAGTTACTGTATATTGTAAAATATCACCCTCTTGTATTTTCAATATTGTTCAACACCAAATGGCACCTGTCACTTGAAATTTTTCAGTATAAACATGAAATTTTTCAGTATAAACTTGAAATTATTCAGTGTCAATGTTTCAGTATAGGTTTGTAATTATTTAGTGTAAATGTTTTAAAACTTGAAATTATTCAGTGTAAACATTTCATTACAAAATTATACAGTATAAAAATGAAACTTTTCTGTGAAAACTTTGAACTTTTCAGTATACATGTACATGTATACAATTCAGTATGAACATGAAACTTTCAAGTATAAACATTTCAATATAATTTAAAATTATTTAGTATGAACTTTAAATTTTTCAGAAATTTCTTGATAACGTCTTAAAACAGCCAATTTGGAATTGCTAGTGGGTTGGCTCAAAGGCTACAAATGGCGGGTAAACAAATCATTTTCATTGTGGCCTGCACAGTAGCTTTGTACAGTCATAACTCATAATATATGTAAAATGTATGTTTCTCTACATTAGAGAATCTGTCCACTGGTGAGAATCTGGGTTACCCACAGGTCTGCGAATGGTCTAACATGCACGCTTTAGCAAACAGTAACACATACACTTTAGTTCATAAGGATCTGTCATTGGGTCACCTGGTGTGGTTTTGCTTCCACGATGACAAGGAATTAGGGACACCTGTCCAACCTTGTGGGTTTTCTCTAGGTCCTCCCATTGCTAAAAACCCGTACGCCATGAAGCGAATTATTGAAATTCAATTGATCCATATGTTAGCCCTGAAATGACCTACTTTTAAACATCTGGATTTTGTATAGCGTAACATTCATACAGTGAAATCGTTAGTATAGCCTTAAAAGAATTGTTGGACAGATTCTATCTAATATTACTCCAATCATTTTGTAGTGTAATAGCCTTAGCTTGTTGGTGCATGATAATATTATAATTACATCCCCTTACCATTATTTACCCTACTAACAAAGCCTTTTGTGGTATGATTATATATGTATGTTAGTGCTGGCACAATATATAGCGTGGAATCGATGTATCGCAATTCACCTTCTCACAATTCACGTGTTGAATCTCAAGATGCTGAATCGATTTTTCACGATTCTTATTTGTCGCTTCAGTAAGTTACCTGTCACTCTTAATATCGTAGCACCTGAATCACAATATGTATCTTATTGTGACTGCAGTGGCAATGCCCAGCACTAATGTATGTATATAGAATACATGTATATAGAGCCCAATATTATAATATGTGATATGAATAAAAATGTTAAAACAGTCTAAAATATTTTTTTAATGATAACACGAAAGGTAAAAGATTTCCCAATTTTATCATTTTTAGCCTATTTCAACATTTTTGTTCATATACTGCAGTATTGTTTATGTAGTAACCATGGTTTTAGCTGTGCCTGTTATTAATATTATTATCACCTCTCCTCATATACCTGAACAAAGTTTTAATACACCTACATTGTGTAAGACCTACACATTTTCTTTAGAATCAGAGAGTTTTAGTGTCCCATCAGAGAGTTTTAGTGCCAATCAGAGAGTTTTAGTACTAGTAGTGTCCCATCAGAGAGGTTTAGAGTCTAATATTAATAAAAGAGCATATGTTGGTATTTGTAACCAGTCAATAGAATTGTACATACACTTGTAGATGAGAAATATTTTCATGAGAAGCTATCGGAAAATCCTTTACAAGGGGCATTGAACTGCCATTCATCCATTTCATTTCACTGTTTACTTAGCACTATGACCATATAATAATGAACATGAGAAATTTATGAATGTAAGTTTTAAATTACTATGTAAACTTTAAAGAATAAATACAACTTTGGCTGTCCAATTAACCTGCTGTCTAGCAGTAATCAGATGACTCAAATAACTGTCTGCAAAACATATTGTTAATTTAACCCTTCGGCTTACTAATTGTCATTTTGAGCAAATAGTATTTACATAAAGGCCAAAGACAAATGTGCACCTCAGTGAAGTGTTTTGTATGCTCTACATCTTGATTTGATTCATGTGTACCTTACATGTACCTTGTGAAGGTGTAAGATTGCTCCATATTGTGGTTGATAAAATTTTTGCTGTGTTCCCCCTTTTACAAAAAATGAATTCTCTTGATCTCAAGGACTTGAGTCCTGGAGAGGACAGTGTATATGTATGTGTTTTTTGGGACACAATGGAAATCTGAGGTTGTGTGTACACCTTGGCAGAGGCCTACATTGAAAATAATCCTTGAGTTGGCGGTAATACTACTATCTGTGCAAATTTTGCATATTTGATAAGCGTGACTAATGCCGAAATGGTAAACACCATTTTTTAAAGTAAAGTGATCGAGGCGCTTCATCCTTAAGTGTTCTTTTTTGGGAAACTGTTGTGAGCATGGGAGATAACTCTTGTCTATTTGTAAGCTCGGTATATTTGACATGAAATATCTGTTTGTTTGCATGTAATAATTTAGATGTATTATTAAGTATTGTCACATCATTGTAATGTTTAAATAGTTTGATACGTGATATGAATAGTAATAAATACATGTAGTATCTTTATCTCTGTCACAAGATTTATAGAAAAAAAAAGATTCGAGACAAAACATGTCTGTCAATTACAGTTGCCAGATCTTGAAACTACTGATCTTCATCTGAAGGATTGTGAAGGTCTTAGTTACAAAATACAATATTGTGAATCTCAAATGTTTAAAGATATTTCCTAATATGAGCATCCCTTGCATTGCAGACAATATATAAACAAGCCAGCATTCAGTAAAATCTTTTGATTATATACCATTCTTTTCTTTTTCAAGTGAATTTTAGCATGGATAAATCTGTTAAAAATTTGATACATTTATTGTCCGAAAAAAGCAAATGACAGTGGGCATGTTGAAGGACAGTCTAATTTTTAAACATAAATATATCTCTATATGGAGAGTAAACATTATGCTTGAAGTCGAAGGCCACACCAAGTTGATTTTCTGTTTTTTCTTTCTTATTTCTTCAGGAAAAAGACTAATTTAAAAATCTAAAGAACATGGTTGCACTGTTCTAAGATTATAATAAAATGTCATTCCCTTTATTTCAAGATACATTCCTGTGTAAAAACTGGGTGATTCTATGATATATTTGGACTAAAAACTTACTTAAACTAATTAATCGACATGTATCAAAGTTTTGCTTCAAATCCTTCTCAGAACATTGAATTCGCCAGGGAACACCCCTGCTATAAAAAATCTTAATAAAAGAAGTCATGTTTGTGTCACGTGACTTAACAGATGCGGTACCTAGAAATGGGTGCGAACCCGGGGGGAGAATTCATTGCATATACAAGATGATTTTGTCTTTAATGGCTGTTCATTTATCATAAATATTGAAGCCTAATTCAATTCTTGGATTGATTATCCACTGCCCACATCTTTTTTCCACATTTTTTATCTCAGAAAGTGTTGTACTTTAAGTTCACCATCAAGTTTATCAACTCTACATGCAACCTTTGACGTCAATCGAGCAGACATTCCTAATCGCCGGGTTGCCGGTTAGGGAAACACTAACGTGTCTGTCCTGCGCTGCATGGGTGTTTTTCAGGGAAACAAATATCTATCTAGTAAGACTGGATGTTTCTACTTTCCATACATACCAAAATTGCCATACTTTTATTGGGGATAACCACCAGATAAATACTTTTGTGGGAATGTAACTTTAAGTGGCTATTCACAGAAGCACTGAAAATTAAATTGGTTTGACCTGAAAAATTGATGACATGCATCTGTCAATGTATATTTCTCTAACAGATATTTTAATCTTGACTCGTAAAATAGAAAATTCTGAACAAATGAGAACGGCCTTATTATGAAGAATGAATAGTTAATTTTCAATTAGAATAAGTTAACAGTAGAATGTTAAATCCCATTTCATTTCTTTCATTTATTTTAGCAGATAACACAAGCAGCATGGTGATGGTGGATTGTACAGCGTGTGCTCATCCAATAAATCTAGAAAAACACAAAAAACTTCGAACACATCCAGAATTTAATGTGGTGATCTGTAAGGTAATTTAATCAGATTTTTAAACATTAGAATCATAATATTATATGTAAATGGAAGTAAGAAGTAAGATGTATTTCCTTGACATAATTTGCTCGGGTGTAAAAATTGCATAAAAATTGCTTTGTGTGCTAGATAACTGACGACTTCTGATGACCCAATTCTGGCATCTATTAACCCTGACTAATTAACCCTGACTAAAAATTTTGAAACATCATCCCTGGTGTGTGTCCTGGTACAAATACACCAGAAAACAGCTTAGAATGACTGTATGTTGTTCATCCTTTTGTAAGGGACAACGTATAGTCGTCCAGATGTGACAGACCCTTAACAGTTGGAATTCGAATTAAGAGTAGGTCTTAGTGCCACTATCTGGGTAAAATTTCCCTCGTAGTCCATTGCTTGGCATATTCCGGTCTTCATTAGCCCAGTCGGAGCAGAACAATAGGACGTTAAACCCCATTTCATTTCATTAGGCCAGTTGAAACGCATTTCATTTCATTTGTTCACTCCTTCACGCATGTGGTGTTAAACATTTACAATTGACTTCAGAAAATTATTCTTATGTTACAAACTCTAAATAATTTAGCACAATCTTATATGTCACCTTTTACTACTTTATTACTTTTATTACATATATCTGTGGATCCTTATCAGATGGGTTACTGCTTCGTCAAACAAAAACACAACTGCATTGATATGGTGAAAGCCTTTCTCTTTTAAGTCTCCCATTTATGGAGAAAACTAAAGGTCCTTATCAGATGGGTTACTGCTTTGTCAAACAAAGGCATGACTGCGTTGATATGGTGAAAGCCTCTCTTTTATGTAATAAGCTCCCACTTTGTGTTAAACAAAGAAAGTGATAGTATACATGTATATATTTTTGTTAAATCATTTTAAAAAACCTGTTTAATTTTTATCATTTTTAAATTGAAATAAATTTCATTTCATTTGTAGTATACAATCGATATATATTGAAACTGTTGACAAATTCATTTTAATCCTAGGTCGTAAGTATACGTTGGCCAGAACGTAGGATTGAGGCTGTGAGTCACCAAAGTTGCAATTCATGATAAGAATATGAAAGTGGCGATGAAAACTTGATTTCCACGATAAGGTTTTTGGATATTGGCGATTTTTTTTTTTTGGGATCTAGCAATAAAAAATCTTAAAATTCTAATCATACCTCGCCTAGATTTACCATTAGATTAAGTGTTAATCACAGTTCACAATCACGTGACGACATACTATAAATTAATCAACTCGCTGATGATCGTGTCAATAAGTAATACTTACCGGTTGTCTCGGTTTAATGATCAGTTTATTGATAATTGCCAATGATATCTATAAAACCAATAAGTCATTATTTACTACTCATGATTAATCCAAGCGTGATTATTTGATGTAAAATATACAAGCATGCCTAATCGGATATTATTATTTCATAATTATATTTAATATTATCACCATTGATCGGAAACAAATGAAAGAGTCAAATAGCAACGATTCTCAAGTGAGAAAACGGTCTGCCATTTGCTTCATATTACAGCCGTCAAACTGCTCTAAAGTGAATGAGTATTATTGTTAGCATTTGGATGTCTTACAAATAGAATTGAAATTAGTATCATTCTATCAGGAATTGTGATTCTGATACCTTTACGGTACATAAAAATAACAATAGGCCTATTGTACATGCAAAACATACATTTTTAGAAAATTGGCAATCCTGGGATAAGATTTGACATGTAAATAATGAAAATATATTGTGCAATGCGATGTGCAAATAGACTAAAGTCACCAAAAATAAAATCTGATCTTAGTAAATCATCTCAAAACTGTTCTAATGTATTATGTATAGACAGATTTTGTAAGTTGTTGTATATTGTATATACCTATAATATTTATATTAGACCTACCTGGGAAATAAATTTGTTAAATGTTGTCTTTTTTATTACACAGCATTTTTGGCAGATAAAATATTCCAGTTGGTGGAAAGAAATATGAACATTTCTTTTATTTAAAAATTATCAATTTTGGTGGAAAAAATTGAAAGCCCTGCAAGAATTGAAAAATTTTGTGGATGGTCTATAGGCTAAAGTTAATATCTGATTAAATTTAAATTTATACACAGTGTTAAACGTCATAAGACGGAGAAGCCTTTTGATTTTCAATAATTTCCGATAATTACAGTCCTAATTTTGGCCCTTGATCACTTTGAAATATATTGTGGACTTAGTTGATGTGGACATATGTTTCATTGCCTGGCAACCTATCTTTAAGCGACATTAAACCCCATATACTATTCCATTCCAGAACTCTTTAATTGTATATTTCAGAAATGTTGGGATTTTTTAAAGAGTGGTGAGATATCAAAAGATGAAGATGGTTATGATGAACAGTGTCGATGGTGTGGGGATGGTGGAGAATTACTTGGTTGTGATTACTGTACTAAAAGTATTTGTAAGAATTGTATCAAACGAAACTTCAGTAAAGATATCCTAGCTTCAATAATGGGTTAGTCTCAATGTAGTTTATATTCTCAATCACTTTGACATCACATAGATATCCTAGCTGCAATAATGGGTTAGTCTCAATGTAGTTTATATTCTCAATCACTTTGACATCACATAGATATCCTAGCTTCAATAATGGGTTAGTTTTAATGTAGTTTATATTCTCAATCACTTTGACATCACATAGATATCCTAGCTTCAATAATGGGTTAGTTTCAATATAGTCTATATTCTTAATCACCATGACATTACATAGTGGTTTTAGTTTTACCTGAGCTAATGTTGAACATTTTTAGCTTTGTGCCAGAAATGAAATACTAATGAGAAGATGAGTACTAATGAGATGGTGGAATAGAAATAAAATGATGTAATGAGATGGTTAAATACATGTACTATATGAGATAATGAATTATTAATGAGATGATGGAATTAATGAGATAAAATACAGAAATTATTCCTGTCCCAATTTTGAAATTTTGATGTAATTAAACATGGTTCCAGCTGTAATCGGTGGTTGAGATATTTTTTTGTAAGAAGGTGTGTGAAAATTGTCAACTTCCACAACAGGCCTGAAAATTGATTCTTCCTTTTGGAAATCACAGCATGTTTCTCGTATATGGCAGAAATTATGTTTTAAATTAAAATATTCTTTCACTTAATTTTATTTCAGATGAAAATGCTAAATGGGAGTGCTATGGTTGTAATTCAAGTCCCTTGGCTAATCTGGTCACAGAAGCTAAAGAATTATTAGAATATGTCAAGGAAAAAAGAACAGAAGATGGAAAGGGAGGTAAGTGAGATTCAGGTTATGTAAAGGGAGGTAAATGTTTGAGTCATTTGGATTATCAACTTAATGAGGCTGCTATCGTCACTTGGCTGTTTAAGGTCCCTCGAGCCTCATTCATGAAAACATATACTAAAATTATTTAAGGATGCTTTGTTTTCATTGGTTGAGGGTTAAAATACTTTTAGCTCTTAGTCAATGAAAATGATGCATTCTTAAAATATTTGAGTATAATCTTTTTAGATTAAGGTGCATGATCTGCATAATGCTCAATTTAGCATGTGTATTTACAGGATTATTAAAGTTGCAATTTCATATTTTTAAGTTATATTTTTAAAATTTATTAAAATATAGCCTTAAAATAGATGGTATCTATAAACAGTCCTAACTTGTTAAAGAATAATCCTATTAATCCTATAATTCACTATTGCCAGTTGAGAAATTGGCAAAAATATCATTTTCAATTTTAAATTCAAACGTTTGAAGATAGCTATTCCATGGGGGGAATAGAAAAACAAGGGAGGTAATTGTGTTATTATTTCAGGGGTCAAAGGATTTTTAAGCGGGAGAATAATACTTATGATCGTATAATAGTGAGTTGACAACCCATTGAGCAAAAGACATAGAAATAATTATGTTTTGACTTTCTTAGAAAATATGAAATTTTTGCTTTAAGATTAAATGTGTTAGTCACTTGGATTGCAGGAACATTCACTGCAAAGTTGGTTAAATGAAATCAAATGAAATGGGGTTTAACATCCTACTGTTCTGCTCCAACTGGGTTAATAAGACGGACATATGCCATACAGTGTGCTATGATGAGGGAAATTTTGCCCCAGACAGCAGCGATATGGCCTATTCTTAAACTGAATCCAACTGCCAAGGGATCATTTACATCCGAACGACTAGACAGCTGTCCTTGTCAGGCCTCCTGTTCTACACCTCTGAGAGGAAACCACGCCGGAAAATCCCGATGAAATTTCTCGGCCAGTGTCTTACACACTTATCCACTGTGGCTCCTTACAGTTGGTTAAGATCTGTTGTTTGTGCAGTGCATGATTTTACCTGCACCTTGATCATAGGGATGTCAATTTTTTATACCCTTAAATAAATATTTCTATTCTTTTACAGGGTATGAAATAAGCCTCTTATATGGTAACCTCAAAATAGGTTACGCTAATCTGCATCAAATTTGAACTGGTAACCTATAGGTTACGATGCCATATTTGTTTAGAGCCGACCCTCGAATTAGCCAAGGGGGATTTGGGGCCAATTAAAAGATTAGCCAGCTACCCCTAAGCTTATTAAATCAGCAGGGCCCATATTCCTAAGCGAATTAGTGGATTATTGTTAATCCTAAAACTCTCTACAAAATTGCAAATAACTAAATAAAAAATTTTTTTATACAAAAATGTACAGATTGTCGTGTTCTTTCCAATGATATAAAATTCAATTGTACAAACTAACAATTACCGGTATATTACTATAAATAATATTGAAAAGTCAGTTCCACTAAAATTATGACTTTTCTCTGTCATAATAAACGTGAACATGTATCTCCTAAGATTTTATTTTAAAAAAAAGAACAGTGTTCAAAGTAAATATAAATATATAACTTTTAGAAAGAAATATCGCCCCAAATGACCGTCACTTCATCGCTATGTGACATTTCTGCCTTTGTTGGATATATGGTGGGAATTGTCGTCTTCTTTGCTTCATAGCATCGAAAATAAAAATATATAGTTGAAATCTTCGGCAATGTAATATTCCTCTATGTAGCTTGTAATAAATCCTAAAAGTTTTGATTCAATTTAGCTTTCCAAACTCTAGAATTATTATCCGTAAGTTTTGTGGTATCGTCTGTCTGGAAACGTATCCAAGATATGGCGGCCGACACGCTTGATCTCGGCTGCTTCGCATCATTCATAACGTCCCCCAAAAATAACAAATAGTTGATTTCTTCGACATTATCATGTTCTACGATATGCCTGGCAGTAAATCATAAAAAATCTGATTCCATTTCACTTTCCATGTCATAAAATTATTAGCCGTGAGTGACAACGTGAAAATATTGGAATAATCCCAAAGTCATTGACACGGTGTGAATTTTCACCTCTGACCTATTACGTAAATACCGGAAGATCCATTGTTGAAAAGTATGTTTTTTATTTGATAATTTGCGAATATAACATTCCTTTTCATTGGGTGTTTTATTTTTATTACTCAATCACCATTAATTTAAGAAATAAAAACAATAGAAATCAGTTGATTGATCTGGCGCTTTCGTTCGCTAAAGAGACAAATGAGTATGTCGTTGCCAGGTATGATGGGTCCGCGAGTTGATTTGCTACCGACAAAATGACAGGTGCGAACTTAACGATCTTTCAGGCATTTATTTATAATTGTAAAATGTTTTAATGTAGTAGTGGAGTGAATGTTTTAACTGAAACCTTTAGTTTATAAATTATAGCTCGGTGGTCGAGAACGGAAGTCCGTTCGCGTGTTTCCAGGTCATGGTAACCGATGCGTAACCTGAACGACCGTTCGCGTGTTATTTCGTACCCTGTTTTAGTGAAATGGTCTTTTACGGCATGCATTTATGCATTAGACTATTGAAGAAGGGTGGGATTGGGTGGTCTAGTGGTTAAACGCCTACGAGTGAAGTGGCATGGTTTCAATTTTCTGTTTGAATATGACAAGGAGTAGGGGTGCTTGTCCAACCTTGTGTGTTTTCTCCAGGTTCTCCGGTTTCCTGCCACTGCTAAAGATCCTTACTCACAAGCAAATTATTGAATAAAACATGAACCATATGTTTGTCCAAAAATGTCCTAATTTGTATTGAGTGGATTTTAAACCCCATTTCTCTCTCTATTGTAGACTGGTGAACCTTAATTTTTTTGTACCAACGACTAGACACTTCCTTTCCAGGCCTTCCGCCTTTACCACTGAGAATGCCAAACCGAGCTCAGAAATCCAGAGAAATTTTATGGGCCAAAAATGGAATCGAAACCTTGACCTGGGTACTTAGCAAGCACAATGACAAATAAACACATGTTTTATTTTTTTCAGATTCAGATTCTGAAGACAGTGAAAAAAAGTCTTTTAAGAATGAAAAGAAAAAATCTAAAGACACTGAGGAAGATACCAAAAAATCCAAAAGTGACAAAACCAAAAAAAAGAAAGCAGATGAAATCGATGAAGATTATTCAGATGCAGAAGTTAAAAAATCAAAGAAGACAGCAAAGAAACCTACAATAGAAAATCGTGGCAGTAAGTCAAAAGATTTAGTTGACACCGATGATGAAGATGATGGTGAAAACAAGCAATCCTCAAAGAAAGAGAAAAAGAAAGATTTAAAGAAAAAGGATAGTGATAATAATGATGATAATAATGAAGATGACAAAAAGTCCTCTCGGAAAACCAAGAAGAAAGATCCAAAGACAGTAAACAGTGATGATGATGAAGATGACAAGAAATCCTCAAAAAAAGATAGAAAAACAGACACAAAGATTGTTGACAATGAAGACGATGATGATGACGATTACAAAAAGTCTTCAAAGAATAGTGAAAAGAAAGACCCAAAGAAAAGAAAGGGAGCAGAGAGTGAAGAAGATTCTGATGCTGAAAACAGTAAAACATCCCCCAAAAAAGCCAAAAAGGCAGATATCAAGAAAAAGAAAATTGATGATGATGATTCAGATGATGATGATGCGAAGAAGACCAAATCACGCAGCACACGTCGAAAAGCGTCAAACGTTAAAGCTAATAAAAAAACGGGTGACTCCGACTCAGATTCTGAGTCAAGGGGTAAAAGAAAAAAGAAGAAAGAGGCAACAACAGACAAAAAGAGTAAAGCTAAAGACAGCGACGGAGATTCGGATGAGGATGTCAAACCCAAGCCACGTACAAACTCTAGGGGTCGACCAGCTAAAAAGAAATCTGACATCGAGGAGGATTCAGATGATGAGGATGCCAAACCCAAGCCCCGTACAAACTCTAGGGGCCGACCAACTAAAAAGAAAGCAGACATCGAGGAGGATTTGAATGATGAGGACGCCAAACCCATGTCCCGTAGGGGCCGACCAACTAAAAAGAAAGTTGACATCGAGGAGGATTCGGATGATGAGGACACCAAACCCAAGCCCTGTACAAACTCTAAGGGCCGAACAACTAAAAAGAAAGCTGACACAGACGCTGATTCAGACGATGAGGACGCCAAAACAAAGTCCCGTAGGGGCCGACCAACTAAAAAGAAAGCTGAAACCGAAAGTGAATTATCAGATGCAGAGTCCAAAAAAAGTAAATCAAAACCGAAAAGATCAACTAAAAAGGCAGTAAAGGACTTTGATTCAGATGACGAAGACAGTCCAAAGAAAAGAAAATCTAGTCGTAAACCAAACAAAAGTAAGAATTGCTGTTTTTATACACCACAGGATTGTAATTGACACTCAATATAATGCTCAAAATAGGATATTTACGATCGCTGCTTTCATATTTTTATCGACTTTGTTGACTGACAGCGTGAGTCCTACCTGATCGTATGAAAAATAAGTTTTTAGCTCGTGGACACTTGAGCGGTCACAATTTTTTTACGATTTTGATGAAACTTAAAACTTATCTTTATTACCCATACATCTTGGTTCATTTTTATATTCGTGCATGTCGGACTGTTAACTTCATGGATTATGGCCCCTGATGGTACAAAAAATCACGTTTTTAGCTTGTCCCTTTGGAGGTATTAATTTTTATCAAATTTTAAAAATCGTTCAAATATATCACCTTTACACCCTAGCAATGGTTGAGTTTGAATTTCCTACAAAATGTGTAAAAATATGGTATATCTAGGTTGTGGACCATCTAGAGGTAACAATTTTGATCCGATTTTGATGAAACTTGGAATGCATGTTTATATCCGAAAGATCTTGGTTCCTTTCCCTACTTGCGCGTATCGGGCCTTAACTTCCTGGATTATAGCCTCTGATTGTACATAAAATTTTGTAGCTGATCTCTGTCCATGCAAAATGTGGGCATATCTTGCATGGCCACCGCTTGTTTAAAGTTCAATCAACTTATGTTCTATAATGAATGAATGCGGTGTTTTAACTTCTCAGTTTTCTGCACTCACCTGGTTGTTGAAGACAAGCATGTACCATGCTGTGCTATGAGCAAAATTTTGCACGGACGCAAATGAGAACATTGGACCTCGTTTTTATTTGTTACATTTAAACTGCCGGTACTGGAAGCCCTCCGTCCTTCTCCACTAACATGAGGAAACTAGGATGGAAAACCTTGTTGAACTTTCTTAGCCAACATTGGAATTTAACCTGGGATAATTATGAATTACCTGTTTATAATTCCCATTAATTGGTCAGGTAAATATGTTATAGCTTTATTATGTATGAGATATGTCTAGGGATCTTACTTGGGACCTCCTGGTCTGTAAGACAGACCCTTACTCACTTAGTCACCGTGACTCCCTAGTTTTTATACGCCCACATTTTCATGTGGACATATATTGTCGTCGCCCCTGTCCGTCCACAATTTGTTTGTGGACACTCTTCAGGTCACAATTCTTATCCGATTTTGACGAAACTTGAAATATAGGTTTATCTCCAAAAGATCTCGGCTGCTTTCGATATTGGCATGTATCCGATCGAAACTTCATGGATTATGGCCCCTGTTTGTACGAAAAATCACGTTTTAAGCTTGTGGACACTATAGAGGTCACAATTTTTATACGCCCACATTTTCATGTGGACGTATTATGCCGTCGCCCCTGTCCGTCCGTCCGTCCACAATTGTTTGTGGACTCGCTACAGGTCACAATTCTTATCCGATTTCGACGAAACTTGAAATATAGGTGTATCCCCAAAAGATCTCGGCTGCTTTCGATATTGGCATGTATCGGATTGAAACTTCATGGATTATGGCCCCTGTTTGTACGAAAAATCATGTTTTTAGCTTGTGGACCCTATAGAGGTCACAATTTTGATCCGATTTTGTTGAAACTTGAAATGTAAGTTTATAACCCAAAGATCTCAGTTCCTTTCGATATTCGATATACGCAAACCATGTCTGTCACGGCATAATTTATTTTTGTGTGCCGTAGTAGACCCTATCATCCCAAATTAGTTTAAAGAAAGATGTATTGGTATTTTGTTTATTTATACTTAAAAGATGTGTAGGCCTAGGTCTATTCATTTTACAATTATTCTACGTTCTGTATATTTGTTTATTTGCCGTAAATAGGTCACCCAGACCAATTTAGGTCACCCAGACCAAGTTACGGCACTCCAATGTTAAAGGTTTGAATGTCGTAATTGTCCAACACGTGCCTGCAAATTTTCATGATGTTTCTTATTTTATTTCTTACCTGTGTTGACCGTGGATTTGCTACGGCACGAGAGTAGGACTAGGAGGACGATGAGAGCTTTCTCAGTTTCTGCCTGACCTGATTCTCATTCCACCATAATAATAATTAATATTCGTGAGACACGTACAACAACTTTACAAACAAGTCAAATAATACAACGTGTTTTAATTATCAATATCTACCTGTTGTCATAATTCGTTGTACTCAAATAAAACACAAACACCGTTTTAAGAATCATTTTAATTTTTAATCTCAAAGTAATAAAGTAATATTTGAAAAAAAAAACCCAACAAAACAACAAATACCGGAAGGTCCTCAACTTATCTATCCAGAGAAACAGAGTGGGGCGGGACAATTTTATGCTCAGTCGGGTGGTGTCAAAAAGTTTTTAGATCCCTGTATCATTGATGAAAATTAAGTGAATTTGGTAAAATTTGAATATATAAATGGAAATTTGATTTGCACTGAACCAAATACAAAAGGCAGCAGATGCTCTGAAAATACACCCCTGTGTTTCAGTATGACCCTGTAGGCACATTTTCAAGTGTGTGCGCAGGCACACTCAACTTTTATAGAGCCCTGTCTATAGAGGTCACAATTTTAATCCGATTTTGTTCAAACTTGAAATGTAAGTTTAAAACCCAAAGATCTCGGTTCCTTTCGATATTAGCGCATATCGGACCGTAACTTCCTGAATTATGGCCCCTGATTGTACGAAAAGTCACATTTTTGGCTTGTGGACCCTATGGAGGTCATAATTTTTATCCGATTGAAAAAAACGTATTATTATATCACTGTTACACCCTAAGGACGAATGGGTTCGAATTTCATGAAAATCGGCCCAAAATTGACAGACAAAATGACCGCCATTTGTTCTCAAATAGCGTAAAAGTATGGTATATCAAGGTTGTGGACCCTATAGAGGTCACAATTTTTATCTGTTTTTGTCGAAACTTGAAATGTAAGTTTATAACCCAAAGATCTAGGTTCCTTTCGATATTCGCCCATATCGGACCGTAACTTCCTGAATTATGGCCCCTGATTGTACGAAAAATCGCGTTTTTAGCTTGTGGACCCATTAGAGGTCATAATTTTTATCCGATTTAAAAAAACGTATTATTATATTACCGTTCCACCCTAAGGACAGCTGAGTTCGAATTTCGTGAAAATCGCCCCAAAATTGACAAACAAAATGGCCGCCGTCCATTCTCAGTTAGCGTAAAAATATGGTATATCAAGATTGTGGACCCTATAGAGGTCACAATTTTTATCCGATTTTGTTGAAACTTGAAATGTAAGTTTATAATCCAAAGATCTCGGTTCCTTTCGATATTCGTGCATATCGGACAGTAACTTCCTGAATTATGGCCCCTGATTGTACGAAAAATCGCTTTCTTTTTAGCTTGTTCTCTATCCATCTCTCGAAAATGTGGGCGTATCCTGCCTGGCAGCCGCTGGTATAAATATCTTCGTACAACATAATCTCGGGCCGCTGGATTGTTGACTAGAATGTCCAGGGGCCTTATTCACAAAAAACTAAGATATTTTAGGAATTCAGCTCTTTCAATGGCCAAAAGCTTCTAGGATCATCCAATGAAATAGCTTCCTCCTTAAAATATTTTATATTTTAGCTAAAGTTTTCGTGAATTACGCCCCTGGTTTGAATCCTGGTATTTCAGAACATTCAATTAATAGAGTATCCACCACTCTTCCTTGGTAGAACATTCAATCAAACAAGCTATCCCCCACTCTTCCTTGGCAGTGCATTCAATCAACTAGAGTATCCCCACCCTCCCTTGGCAGAACATTAAATCAAATAGAGTATCCCCCACCCTCCCTAGCAAAACATTCAATCAATTAGAATATGTTGACTTACGGGTTTGGGTGGTTGAATTGTCTTAAAGCGTGTGCTTTAGATCATAAGGTCTGTCATTTAGTCAGTGGCATGGGTTTCGATGACCAGTTTTTACGCAACATGAGTTTTGTCGCCTATCCAACCTCATGTTTTCGCCAGGTTCTCCAGTATTTCTGTCGGTGCTAAAGGCCCCCACAAGAGATCTATTGAAATAAGATTAACCATATGTTAGTCCCAAAATGATCCAGTTTGTTTCACAAGTACTTAAACCTCATCTCTCTCTCTCTCTCTTTCTCTCTCTCTCTCTCTCTCTCTCTCTCTCTCTCTCTTTTGATTGACTTAAATTGACTTCTGGAATTATTTTAAGGTAAAGAATTACTCGATAATGATTCTAGTGATTCAGAATCTCAAACCAAGAAAAAAACAAATAAGAAGATGGATGATAGTGACTTCGAAATGGAGGAGGAGGAGGGATATGCCAAGCGTGGAAAACAGAAGGACGATTCCGCAGAAGAAGTTGATTATGAAGATTTCTTGAAGGAAGCAAAGAAAAATACGAGTAGATCAGCCAGTAAGCGGAAGATAGGTATGTTTTAACTGTGTGCTTTAAATTAGGGCTGGCACTGACTACCATTAATTGAGCGATTATCGGTATTAAAGCATTTTGATGGTAGTCGATACAGATTTGAAATATCAATTATCATGCAATTATATATGATCATTTGTAAGAAGAAATCAGTCGTTGTTGTTTGTATTTTAGAGGAGAACCGAAAAAAGCTCCCCTTAATCAACAAATTGAAAAAAATCGCTCCCCTAAAAAAGCTCTTCCAGTTTCGATAGGAAGAGTGATTTAGAAATTAAGGAGAGTGATCAATTGCAAGGAGAGTGATTAGTTGTGTGTATGGAAAATGGTTCTGAAGATCAATAACTGCATGTTAGAGGGTCATTCCTGGGTTTATAAATGATAATAAACCCTCCATGACTTTGTAAAGGAGAGCGATTTTCAATTTTAAGGAGAGGGAGAAAAAGCTCCCTCGTCGACATTCAAGTGAGCGGCAGACGCTTGAGATTGATCGCTCACCTTAAAAAACAATGACTGAGAAATACATGAAAGATAATCCTTATCACAGTATTTATGTTTTTATCCTTATTTATGTTTTCAGCCACAATTACTGCAAAGAAATCTACACCAGCATCAAAACGTTCAGGATCTAGTAAAGGTTGGTACACAGTTCTATAATTGTCTGCAGCTGTTCCATTTAGGAGCCTTGTTGGCGCAGAAAAGTAGGATGTTAAACCCAATTTCATTTCTGTTCCATTTAAAGATTTTCTGCATTATTTGAGAGATAGATTGGGTTTAATGTCCCCTCGACACAAACTAGGTCATTTTGTAACTAAAATGCAGTTCAATTTTGATTTAATAATTGCCTTGTGCATAGGACGAAACCAGAGAAAACCGATGAGTTTGGGCAGCCGACCCGATCCTTGACACATTCAAGTTTGGTATTGCAACCACGTCACTTGGCTTAATGACAGACCTTATGAGCTAAAGCTCATGCATTGGACCACTTGACCACCCAACCTCCTACTCCTCCACACACACAATTTGAGTTTTGCTAACTATTAATTTATCTTTTCATAATCTTGAAAAACTTTAGTACATCAAATCTTGCTTTGTTTAATAGTATATTTATGCCTGTATTCAAACTTGTGATGTGACGACCAATTTCAACATGGGGCACGCACACACTTAATTTGAGAGTTAAGTGTTGAATGTGAACAAATTCTATAATGTCAATGTAGCTTATATAAATCATCATATGGCGGGGTGGGATGTTATTATAGTCAGAAATATCTCTCTACTGACAACAAGGCTTTAAAAATCATTTCTGTATCAACATTTCGAGACAAGAAAATTTTCAGAATATATGATAATGTTTTATTTATTACAGAAACTCCTAAAAGTCGTAAAGATCGTTCTGTGTCAGGTATAGTGATTTTATTTTAAAATACTTGACAAATTTATAGTAGCAATAATAGTATTGATGATTTATAAAAAAGAGCCACATCCAACATTTGTACGCAGGTAAAACATGCTATGTTGTCATCTGCAAACTGGTTGAATCTTACAAACCTCAACTGTTCTTATAATACAATGGTTGAAAACTCTTAAATTGGTGGGCTACTGTGGTTCTGTTGAAGCCTGTGGAGGCCATCTTGTAATTTCAACTTGTCACAGCTAGGAGTTGGGGCGGAAAGTCGAGGGGCAAGTATTTTGAAACGCATGCTGGTTGCAGGAAGTTAAGATTACAAAAAGGTTGCAACCGGTTCCATAGTTTACCATAAACAACATTATAGAGAGATTAATGAAATGGGGTTTCACATCCTACTAATAATGTATATTGAAATAAAATTGAAACATAAGTTGGTCCCAAAATGTTCCAGCCTGTGTCAAGTGGACATTAAACCCTCTCTCTCCCTCTCTCTTTTTTTAAAAGTACTTTTTTTTATTCCACATTTTGGTAATACCATAATTTTTAGCATCAATAAAGGTTTTGTTTATATTTATTCTGTTTTTAGAAACCCCAACACCTAGATCAAGATCTCAGAAGACTAAAAAAGGTACTTGAAATATTAATAGATCAGAAAGATTATAAATTTGTGTTAAAATATATTATGTAAGAGCTAAGTCTGCCTATTGCAGGTCTTTATTTTGGCTTCATTTAGACATTCAATCACATGATGAGATCTAAATGGATTTGAATACCCGCAAGATTTAAAAATATAACAATAAAATGGGTAATCAAGACTTAAGTATCGTAACGCTACAATAATATATGATCTGCACTATGTCTTCCAAAAGTCATACTTTTGAAGACTTAAAATAGTAGATGTGCTTTGGTAAATTCTGTATATTATATTTTGTAGTTGAGCCGAAACCGAAATCAACGCCCAGATCAACAAGTAAAGATACTGGTGGTGAGTATATTTTGTACAGTTTATTATGGCAACTGCACTGACTGAGCGAGAAAGACGTGGACTCGATAACCAGGCACTGTTGTTTCAACAAGGCTCTTTAGGATTTTTCGTTGTGATTCACACTTGTCAGTGTTAAAGGACTGAGATACAGGGCTTAGTTGAAAATTTCTCTCATAGCAAAAAGCATGGTGTATGCCCTTCGTAAGTCCCCATTTCATTTATGTCTGACAAAGTCTGTGACAAGTGCCTTATGTCCAGGCTTGTATATAGAAGTTGTGTGATAATTTGACAATGTCTGGTGCCTTATGTCAAGACTTGCCACAATAATTAGGATGAGAATATTAATCATGTTATGTTTGTTTTGTAGGTAAAAAGACAAGTTGTACGGCCTGTGGATCCGGTATTAACATATCTAAAGATGTACCATTTCAGCATCCAGATCTAGATGTTGTCATCTGTCAGGTCAGTATTTATAACACTTACTACTCCATTTGACGTTTGGGGGCTTAGGTGGCCGAATGGTTTAAGGCATCATGGAGTCAAGTAGCATGGTTTCGATTCCCCGCTTGTACATGACAAGGAGAATGGTTGCTTGCCCATCCTCACGGGTTTTCTCTGGGTCCTTGGGGTGTTGGGTGGCCAAATGGTTTAACGTGTCATGGAGACAAGTAGCATGGTTTCAATTTCCACTTGTACACGACATGGAGTATAGTTGCCTGCCCAACATTGTAGGTTTTCTCTGGGTCCTGGGGGAGTTGGTGACCAATGGGTTTAACTCATCATGGATTCAAGTAGCGTAGTTTCGATTCCCGTGACAAAGAGTATGGTTGCCAGTCCAACCTTGTTTGTTTTCTATAGGCCCTCTGGTTTCGTCCCACCGCTAAAGACCCTTAAACTAGGGGTTTCAGGTCAAAGTTTCAAATGACAGAAAAAAATTTTTAAAAAATATTTTGTGAAAATATACATAAAATGCTACCCAAATTTTTTTATTTCATCAAAATATTCTAATTAGATCCAAAGTTATGGAATTTTAAAATCCGAGATCGACGTCAATGTAATCAAAATGCTCTATACCAGTCAATGCGTGGCATGGCACCAAAATAGGTGCTTTTCAGTCATATTTGAGTGACGTCCTAAGCGGTATTTTCCCTTCAGAATCGCTAGTACCAATTTTAAAACTGAAATCCGCACGTTATTGTCAGCTAAAATTTATTAAAATCGTAATAATTTGAATGATAATATGTCAAATATTTATAATCTGGATGATACCTCAAGAAAGTTTTTTTATATTTAGTCGAAATTTGGCAATTTTCAGTCATCAAAACAGATAAATCCATTTTCTACGGGTCTACTTATCTGATCACATGGTATCAACAACCATAATAACCACAAAAATGTTATCTATCGTTTGATTGGTTCTATATCAAAATCCCCCGGTAACTAAGGTGCGGATTCACCAATGAAGTGAGTCGTAGCAATGGAAAATCTCAGGCCGCGTGACGTCAGAGCGGTATTTTCCCGCGAGCGTCTCATGTAAACAAACGGTAATTTCGCTTACATTTCGATAATTTTTTAGCCCGAATCTTTGCAGATATTGAGATTGATATTAAACTATTGCAATACAATTGCTAGTAATGCATTTACATAAAATAGTAATTCAGAATCGTAGATTGAAGTGGGCTATTTTTCAGCCGCTGGCTGTCCGATTTCACGCTAAAGTCACATGACCTGAAACCCCTACTTAAACGCAAGTGAATTAATGAAACTCCCGATATGATCTAGTTTATGTCGTGTCAACACATGTTAAAATTTATTTCTCTTTCTCTTTACCCATTTGACAATTACGAGCCATGGTGATTAAGGCTCTGGTCTTCCGGTCCAATCCAGATATTGATCCGAGAATCCCCCAGCTTTGTCTCCCGTTGTCAGTGGTTACTGACAATACACATACAGTCATTAATTACTTCCACTCCAAAATTTTTTGCATGCAAAATTCAGCAAATTCATTGATTGTAATGACATAGGCTTCTGAACATGCCAGAATTCTTCTACAGCCCAGTCAGAGTAGGAAGTTAAACCCTATTTCATTTCAGTTAAGGATGCATTATTCAAGAGCTAAATCTGCCTATTGCAGATCTTTCTTGAGGCTTTAAATGTTATATAAATTATTAATTATATATAATTTATTAATTTGCCAAGACCATAATCAACCCTCAGTGCCATGGGATGCTCTAGATTTTTAACAGATTTAAATACGATTGGCAGTTAATGATTTGATTTAAAAATGGATAATTACGACTTTTATCGTAACAATGTTAACAATGACAATCGTGACTACACTACATGTCCTGCAATGGACGATAACTCCACTCAGAATGAAGTAATTTGACTGAAATTTTCAACATATTCCCTTTTCATTATTGAGTTAACTATTATAGCGAGAACAGTCAGCTCTATTAAATATTACATAATGCATCTGTGATATATTTTAGGACTGTACTGAAATGGGTTTTCCAATATGTGAGTCGCTCCCTCAATATCAGTCGCTTGTCGCAGGACGTCATTTTGTGCTACGGGCACAAAAGCATTGTTAACAATGGATTTTGGTCAAATTGTCGATTTTGAGATTGAGGTTGGAACATCAAGAAATACAAAAAAACTTTGTTATTTGAGAAGGATTTTGACGATCTGAAAACTGGAAATGGTGTTTTGGGGGTATTTTATGAGCCTACCTGATTAAAAAGGCCCAAGAAATGACGTCTATTCTGTGAAAAAATCGGCAAAAGTAATCCAATGTTTTGAAAACGCACGCGGTGCTTGATGCTAATCTCCATACGTCATTTGAAAGGTCATGAACTTAACTTTCCATATTTGGAGTAAACATAGGCAAATTCTTTGTCAGTAACGAATCAGAGTCAGTTTAACAAGATCAACCGTAGGCCTTTTCGTTGCCACGAATGGCCGACCTCCCGATGATAATACGCGATTTCATTGTCTTAAAGCTCTTGCACGCGCTCGATGTGTAACATGGGCATGCGCAACGAGGATGTTAACACAGATTTGTTGACTTGCCAATCTGTCAAATTCATCTTTTGTTCAATAGTTTTATGAATGAAAATTTCGTCATTTCGTATTAATATTAACTAAAAAGTTTGAAAAATGTCATCCAAGTCTAGACCCGCTGCCCATGTTGCACGACTCCTGAATTCAGCCAAGCAAATCGGTATTTAAGACGCCGGAATGATGAATTTCTACTCGGTACTACTACTAGTACTACTGACACTGTATAGTAGTGTATCGGCGATGGCGGGTTCGATTTTTTTTAAAGTACAAAACCTTCTATGTGATATTTAACATAACTATTTAAAAAAAACAAAATCTTTATGTTAGGCCTATATATGATATTTTATTGCTTAAATGATTGATACTGTTATAACCCCGCCCAAAAGGTTTACGCCGTGAAAGATCTTGTTTACGTCACGTGACTTCAAGCTCACTTTTCCACCCGACTCAACTGATTACCGTAAGAACTATCCCTGCTTCTGCTCAATTTCTATGCATCTTGACAAATTTCTTATACAGATACTTTGATTTTCCAAAGGAATCATTGATTTTCTTATTGAAATACATTTTAATAAAGCAGAAGTATAAATAATGCCAACTAGGACATGAGAGATCCGATAAGTCGGAAGTGTCATTCAATTGTCATGTGGTCAGTGAACCGAAAAAAATCGCTACTTCAAGTATTTGGCTAAATAAATGGATTCTTTTTGGCATAGTACGTATGTTCTATAGTTAAATTAGTATTCTTGGACTAATGTAAATGTATTTTCAAGGAGGTATACACTCGAATGAGTAAACACGAGTTTGCACCGGTAAATATCAGATCATTCCCGTAGCTAATAATAGTAATAATTAGTATACGGTACATGTCTAAGAAAAGAACCCTATACATCCAAGTGAAAGTATTAATAAAAGGAAATGTTTAATGCCTTCTTATTTATTTTGCTAAACTGATTTAAATCTTTTTCTTAAAATTAGAATGAATTTGATTTGTGTCAGATACACTTATTCTTTGGTGCTATAAAATTTGAGGCTTATATTAAAAATAATTATGTGTCATACAATGTAACTGAAATGTTATTGACCATTACATGATTTTTGGAACGTAATTAATTCTATTACTCATTACTTTTGAAATCTCCCATTACTCATTACGGCCTTTACATTCCATTACCATCACCCCAGCCCTGGCATACAGCTTAATACGAAAGAAATTTTGCCAGGACGGCTTTCTCTTATATTGAATTCCAAATGCCAAGGGATCTTTTACCCGCACGCCTATGTGTACACAGAACCTCGGTTTTCCATCCCACCCAAACAGCTAGACAGTCCTTGTCAGTCCCTTCATCCTGCACCACTGAAAAGTGAACCCTGCCGGAAAATCCTGATGAACTTTCTAGGTCAACACCGGGTTTGAGCCGCGACTTCCAGGCTAGCGAGCCAACGTCTTACTCACTTAGTCATCGTGGCTCCCATTATAAAATGGTGATATGTCTAGACTTATACCATGTTGAAGATAGGCCTATACATTAAATGTTCTATTAATGAGAGTGATACAGATTTTATGGTTAGTGTAGATTTTGATAGTTTTGTGTTAATTTGTGATACAAGTAAATTACTTGATTGTAATTGTAGATTTCAAACATACTTCAAAAACATATTAGCCTTTGACGGTTTGATAAGATGGGTGCACCGATTGCAATCACCGTACTTATTTTTCGAGGCTGAGCCTCAATTCACCGTTTTTAACTTAATTCATTAAATTGTCGAACAATTTTTACATGTATGTACTGAAAATCTGACCCATAAAATGGCATCTAGAGTTGATTATGGTCTGGTCATGTAAATAAATATTTTATTAATAGTTTTTATAACACTTAAGGCCTAAAGAAAGACTTGCAATAGGTAGATTTAACACTCCCATAATACATGTTCTAAAAAAAGATCCACAATAAATGGTTTTTAGTTCACAACATGAATTTTGCGTGAAATATCTAAATTAGAGTACCCTAACCCTAGTCCACATAAAAATAGTCGTCGCCCCTGTCCATCCAGAAACATAGGTTTATCCCCCCAAGATGTCGGTTTCTTTTGATATTGGCATGTATCGGACCATAGCTTTGTGGATTATGGTCCCTGATTGTACGAAAAATCATGTTTTTAGATTGTGGACACAGTATGTTTATAACCCAGAGATCTTGTTATTCGTGCATATTGGACCATAACTTTCTGAATTATTGCCCCTGATTGTAAAGATAATCACGTTTTTAGATTGTGGACCCTATTACAATTTTTATCCGATTTAAAAAAAAAATTCAAATATATCACCGTTACACCCTAAGGATGGTTGAGTTCGAATTTTGTGATTATCAGACCAAAACTGCTGGACAAAATGGCCGCTCTTGTACGCAGATAGTTTGAAAGTACGTAATACCAAGGTTGTTGATCATCTAGGTCACAATTTGTATCCAATTTTGATGGAAATTAAAATATACGTTCATATCAGAAAGATCTTGGTTCCTTGTGATAATATTGCAGGTCAAATGTAACATACTTGATAATGACTCCACATTGTACGAAAATTCACTTTTTTAGCTTGTTCTCTGCTAATCTCTTGCAAAATGTGGGTGTGTCTTGTATGGCAATCACTTTTTGATAAAAAAAAAAAAATGAGTTGACTTTAAAATGCACAAAATGCATAATAATATCTATATTTTAACACTATTGACCATAATGATTATGGCGTGTTTTTTTTTTTTATAAGGTTATGACGTCAAACATCTGGGTCTTTTAAGAGTTGATCTGTGATTAACGTCATGATATCGCCTCATGACATCACGTCATGATGTCGGTCACAGAGCTTTGGCCTAAATACAGCCCCGAAGCCAAGGCCACATGATTTTGGGAATGGGCTATTGGTGATTTGTTATGAGGTTATGACGTCAAACATCTGGGTCTCTTAAGAGTTGATCTGTGATTGACGTCATGAGGTAAGCGTTTTTTTCCATCCACTGGAGCCAGGTGTTATGACGCCATATGGGGATTGTGGGTTAGGATAAGGGTTAGGAATGGGTTAGGGCTAGCCCTGTCTACATCTCGAGACTCTGACGAAATCTGCAGGCCACAGCCCTCATACATGCCAACTATTCCGATTTTGTCGGAATCATTCTGATTTTCTGAGTCTAATTCTAAATTCCGATTTTACTCTTTATAATTCCGTTTTTTAAAATTTATTGGAAGAAATTTATTATATTTCATTCCTGACCTTTTTATACGCCCACATTGAAATGTGGTTGTATATTGTCGTCGCCCCCGTCCGTCCGTCCGGCTAAAGGCTAAAGTTAATATCCGATTGACTTTAAATTTATATACAGTGTTTAAGGCCATGAGACGAAGAAGTCTATTGATTTTCAGCGATTTCCGATAATTACTGCCAGAGTTATGGCCCTTGATCACTTCAAAAAATCTTGTGGACGCTCTAGAGGCCAAAGTTAATATCCGATTGACTTTAAATTTATACACAGTGTTTAAGGTCATGAGACGAAGAAGTCTATTGATTTTCAGCGATTTCCGATAATTACTGCCAGAGTTATGGCCCTTGGTCACTTCAAAAAATCTTGTGGACGCTCTAGAGGCCAAAGTTAATATCCGATTAACTTTTAATTTATACACAGTGTTTAAGGTCATGAAACGAAGAAGCCTATTGATTTTCAGCAATTTCCGATAATTACTGCCAGAGTTATGGCCCTTGATCACTTCAAAAAATCTTGTGGACGCTCTAGAGGCAAAAGTTAATATCCGATTGACTTTAAATTTATACACAGTGTTTAAGGTCATGAGACGAAGAAGCCTATTGATTTTCAGCGATTTCCGATAATTACTGCCAGAGTTATGGCCCTTGATCACTTCAAAAAATCTGGTGGACGCTCTAGAGGCCAAAGTTAATATCCGATTGACTTCAGATTGATACACAGAGTTTAAGATCTTGAGGCGAACAAGTATATTGATTTTCAATGAATTTTTATGACTTGGAACAGCTAAATCCATGATACAGTATTAAAAGTTTTGTATACAAAACGTTAGCATGGGGCAGAACTTTATAAAAACCAAACAAATTCTAATGGTTTTCTGAGTTGTTGCTCTAATCAGATTTTAGTGTATTATAAATGTTCCATTACCGAAAAAAGTAAAAATATGCGACAACTCTTGTTGACTGCCCGGACGATTTAGCTGCTGTGGGCGTATGTTTCGTTGCCTGGCAACCTATCTTTGATTGATAAAATCCCTCTCGTTTTATTTTTACATTGACGACTGTCTCGGCATTCTCGCTGTTTGTTGTGAATCTGATGGCCATACTGTTTATCGTAGTATGAGTCGGTAAAACAACGAAAATAGTTGAGAACATGTGTCATGTTTTCCTTATTATTATTAATATAAAATGGAATAAGCTATTATGTCTGGACTAATCAAGATCAAAATGTCATGTGGTTATTTCCGTCATTTGCCGTGTCTAATTTGCATAATTCGCGGTAAAACGACGGAAATAGCCGAAAACATGTCTCAAGTTTTCTCGATTGTTATTAATATAAAATGGAATAAGCTAATATGTCTGGACTAATCGAGATTAAAATGTCATGTGGTTATGTGTCAAGTTTTCTCGATTGTTATTAATATAAAATGGAATAAGCTAATATGTCTGGACTAATCGAGATTAAAATGTCATGTGGTTATTTCGTCATAGGCCGTGCCTAATTTGCATACTTCGCGGATATTTTTTGCTTCGCGGATATTATTTGCTACGCGGATATTATTTGCTACGCGGAGCCATTCTTGCAGACACTCGTACAGTACACGGTGGGTTTACCGTTAGTTGACAGTAACGTTGTTGCTTCTTCCTTAGCCATATTTCCTTCTGACTTGATAAAAAATGTTTTCAAGCTGTTTTCCATGTTTGAAAATAACAAATTACAATTATAAATAAAACCCAGTATAAATAATTTACGACTTCTACTTCCGTGTCGGTCGTCAAGACAAACAAAATGGCTTCCAAAACAAATGTCAGATAAAAATACCGGGAAACTTACGGCAAAGAATTATCTAGGTCATGCCTACATGTAAATGACCAAAAGCATATATGCATACTTTCGTATATAAATAGGTAAAAAAACCTCAGATGCATGGACCTAAATCACCAGCTGTTTTTATCCAATAATACAAGGTACTGCTTTAAATAGGTGCTAATTTCTCCAAATTTTCTTCATCCTCTTAGGCGGGACCCAAACCCCACGCCCTTCAAGCCTCAGGCGCCTGCAGCACCTCCAGCGCTCACGGTGCTTTGCACCGATCGAACTTGGACCTGCGGTCTCGCTCTACCCTCAATACAAGGCATTTTGATTTTCAATCTCCTCAGGTTGGCATGTATGAGCCCTTACCCTAACCCTTATCCTAACCCACAATCCACATATGACATCATAACACCTGGCTCCAGTGGATGGAAAAAAACGCTTACCACGTCATGACGTCGCATCATGATGTCGGTAAGCGAGCTTTGCCCCTAAATACAGCCACGCAGCACAAAACCACATGATTTTAGGAATGGGCTATTGATGATTTAATACATTCAGTGTACATAAAATAACTTACAAAAAAAACACCATTTTGGCCGCTGTTACCATGGCAACCAACATGGTTAGATTTTGATGGGCACATTAATTTCAAATGTGTAATCAGAAATTTCTTTTACTAATAATAATAAATTAAACTCCTTCCTGCTATGCTATTGGCTTTAAATCCAAAATAAAAGAAGCATGTTTGGAATAGACTGTTTTTCCCTGTTTGGCCTTTTTTCTAAAATGTGACAAAAAGTCTGGGATTTGATTTTATTCATTTAGAAAAAGTAAAAAATGTCCCAACCGAGTTGGAACCACGCCTTGGGTGTTGTCTTTGGTTTATACTATCAGAAAATCATGGGTTTAGATATCTAAATTGAAGGTTGCTAAGGATTATTGAGGGAAATTTCTTCTGAAAATGTCCCAAAACTTTGAAGTCCGTTTTCTCATTTTGACGTTTTTCCCATTTCGAAACACCCACAAACTTCAAATTATCATAAAATTCTTATCCCTGGTTCTAATTTAAAAAGAGTTACATTTTTGGAAAGCTCAGACTGTAAATGCTATCAACTCATTTTTCATAAAAATGACCAAGAGACTGGTTTTGTGGGAGCAGTTCACATATACCAGAATTAATTATAATTTAATGTTAATATATTTTAGGATTGTAATGACTTCCTTAACAGCGGTGAGATTACAAAAGATGAGGATGGTCTAGATGAACAATGTAGTTGGTGCGGTGAGGGTGGAGAATTACTTGGATGTGATTTCTGCGATCGTGTCTTCTGTCAGGCTTGTATCAAGAGAAATTTTGGCAATGCGAATTTAAAGGCTTTACTAAATGCTGGTGAGTTGTTAATTGTTGTAAGCTTGGTGCCATCAGCATTAAAATAAACTATGAAGATTATGAACGTATAGTGTCTTTATTAGCCCTGTTTCTGGACGAACCCTATTCATTTAAAGAGACATGGTAACAAGAATTTTATAATGCATGCTGTATGCCCCATACTCGTTAATCTGGTTTTATAATAGGATTACAAAGCCCATTTCATTTAGGGAGCCATGGTGGCTCAATGAGTTAAATGCTGGCTTGCTGGCATGGAGGTCTAGGGTTCCTCCTTGTTTGTGATGCAGGATGGAGGGCCTGGCAAGGGATAACGTATATTCATTCGGATGGGACAAAAAAAAAAACAAGGTCCTGTGTACACATTGGCATGCAAAAGGAAAGAAAGAGCCCTTGATAGTTGAAATTCAATTGCTGTCTAGGCAACATTTCCCTCATAGTGCACTGTGTGGCATTTGCCTGCCTTCATTAACCCAGTGGGAGTAGGATGTTAAACCCCATTTTATTTTATTTCATTTATACTTTATGCTGTATGCCCTGTCTTCATTATTTTGGTCAGTAAAATAGGACATTAGACCCAATTTCATTTATTTAAAAATCGTAAAGTTAGCACCATCTGTACAACAAATGTTGACAAAAGATTATATGCATGGAATTTATTGTTTGTATTTCAGATGAGGATGTAAAATGGAAGTGCTATGTGTGTGATACAGCACCTCTTCAGACTTTAGTTGATCAAAGTAAACAACTGTTCGAGAAAATAGCGAGCGCTAACATAGAATCGGCAGCTAAAGGCTCTAAGTCGAAATCTTCTGCGTCACTTACTGTTTTCAGTGTGAAGCCTGCCGGTGTGGCTGATAAAGTCAGCAAAATTCTCGACGCATCGCAATCGTTGCAGTCTCTGCTAGAAACATTAAGAGGAGAAAGTTCAGTGGTTGGCTATAGTGATGAGAAAGATTGCTCTAAAAGGCTAGAGAAAGCATTAAACGTTTTTTTTAAATCTGTTGATGAAATCGTTAAAACTGAACCACCGAAACCCAAATCTCCAAGCAAAAGTAATTTGGTGAAAATGGACACTGATGATGAAATCCAATCTCCGTCGAAGAAAAGTAAATCTAAAAGTGATACAACTCCGGAAAAGAAAGACGAACCATCTAAAATGGTTTTGTCAGATATCAGTGACTTTAGCAATAGCGCTGATGAAGAAGAGAAGGATGACAAAAAAAAGAAAATCGATGATTTCTTAAAGGATGATTCGGCTTGGTGTGAGGTTTTCGGAAATAAAGGCCAGAAAGATGAGAAAGAAAAGGATGAAGAAAAGAAAGAGGTAGAATCTGAAAACGACAAAAGTGAGTCTGGGGACAAGACAAAGACAGGGGATGAACCAGTGGAAAACAGTATTAATTCTGAGGATAAAACAGAGGACAAGGAAGACAAAGAGGAGGGAAATTTGGAAAGCAAAGACGAGCAAGCTGCGGAACCCGTGAAGAGCGAGGAAAAGGTCATTAATAATGCCGGAGATGCTGAAGAGAAATGTGAAGAAAATGGAAATGAAGATATGGAAAAAGATGCTGGAGTTGAAAAAAATGTGGGAGAAGAAAAAGGCAAAGATGAAGAAAAAGATTCCAAAACTGAAGAAGAACAAGAAGGCAAAACCAACGGACTTAGTGTGAAGCGTAATTTGGAGGACTCCACTAGTGACAATGAAAATAAAAAACCCAAATTAAGTGGGGATGATGATTCTGAATTACCTTCATTTGACTGTTAATTAAATTTCAAATTTTTGAAATCATTTTATTATATAATTGACCAGTTGTTGAAAATATTTGTCACACATTTATCCTTAGTTTTCTACGCAAAATACATCTCAGATTTTCATTAAAAAATGATTTTTTTAGGGTGTTGTTAACCAAACTTTTAGGAGTTTTTAGCTTGAAATCTATACATTTTTGATATAGTTTAATTTTAGTAGGAAAGAGTATAATCATTTGTATCTTCAGGATTTTAGGGATTTTAATAGATATTTGAAAATCCCTGCACAACAGCAGTACAAAATCATTGTTAGGTTGAAATGAGAGGTGGTTTATTCATCTTTATAACGTTTTGGCTTAAAGACCCTTTTAAATATCTATTTATGTCTGCTCTCACCGCTGGCATAATCCTTTAAGATCCTATTGTGTTTTTTTACGATATTTGAACAAATTCAGGGTAATTGATTCAAAGTTGTTAGCGTTTCCAGAAGTTGCACATTATCTCATTAAATAAATCTGTCGGATCGTCATGCTTTATTTTACCTCCAAGTCAAGAGACACATCAAAGGGAAGATAATAACTCGTTGAATGACTTGATAATTATATTTTTGTATGCTCGCGTTTAAATTGTTGAACATTGCAGTGTGCCACAGAAGAATCAAGGGTTTACAGCTACTTTTTAGTTACTGAATGTGGCCACCTTTCTGTATTGCTCAGATGACTTGGATGCTTTTGAAAACACATACCCTGCATTTGAATTTAAGATTATTTTCTTTTATGTTGTTTTTATCAAAATTAAAAAAAAGCTTAGGTCCTACCCAAAAAATATTCTGGTTATCAGACAATCCTTCCCAGAAATCTGATACATATGGGAGAATATTATTTTTGTGTTTTTTTGGGTTATTTGTCAAATGATCACTACTTGGCTAAATGAGATTGTTTTTATTCAGCCCTATTAAAGTGTGGAGCCACCGTGTCTCGGTGAGTAAAATGATTGCTCGCTAACCCAGAGGTCCTGCGTTTGATCCCGAAGTTAGTCGTGAAAGTCCATCAGGATTTTCTGGCTTGGTTCGCTATCGTCTGTGGTAAAGGAGAGTGGGCCTGTCAAGGTACAACGTATAGTCGTTTGGATGGGATTGAAACAAAAACAGGTCCCGTGTGCACGTATAAGGACCCTGGCAAAATTCCCCATAAAGCCCACTGTATGGCATGTGCCTGTCTTCATTAACCCTTTCAGGGCAGAATGGGGGGTTGGATGGCCGAATGGTTAGTACGTGCATGCTGTATCATAAGGTCTGGTGTGGTTTCGATTCTCTGGTTATATGTGACCAGGAGTAGGGTCGCCTGTCCAACCTCGTGGGTTTTCTCCGGATTCTCCGGTTTCCTCTCACTGCTAAAGACCCCTACACACAAGCGAATTATTGAAATAAAGTTGAACCATGTGTTAGTTTGTGTCGAGTGGACGTTAAACCCATCTCTCTCTCTCTCTCTAAGGACCTTCAATTTCATTTCATTTCCTTTTAAAATGATACAGGATTATCTGATCAATAGAATATATTTTTTAAATGACCTTATTTTGAATTGTAAATATGTTTTTTCTCTCTCTCTTAACTGATATGCTAATGAACTTGTTAGGAAATAGCAATTTTTACAAAATTTTCCGATATAGAATTATTATTGGGAGAAGATGTTGGGGATTTGAGGGGTAAATAGGCTATCTGAATGGGATTGGGGAACAGGCCTGTCCTACAGTGTATGTAATACCCTTTCCCTTAATATTTATCTACCAGTTGATTTCGTTCCTTGAGCGATTCTAAATTTTTATGTGAAGATTTCATTGATTATTCACTCCCTTCCTTTAATGGTGATTATAATATAGAATACAGGCAGCCTAATGACCATCGAAAAATGTCAACACTTACCTCCAAACAAATAACCCACAGATGGATCTCGATCTGATCATCCGCGCCACAGGAGTAAGAAAAGGTTGACACATTTCCATTCATGATTCAGCATTTAATTTGTCCCTTTCAATCCATGGCATCATTCTACCACCCAGTTCTGTGGGTTATTGCTTTGGACGCAGTGTTGACATTTTGCGACAATCCATAACACACATGATGTAAAGGACACAAGACTTAATATCATTGCATGCAAGTATTTGGTATATATTTCCGCCCTTCCCCCATTATTTGTATATAACATATCGGTGTTGTATTAACATTTATATAAATGTATTAAATCGTTCTCGAGCTGTAAATTGAAAGCTTATTGAAATAACAAATGTTTGTAAACTATATTTGTTATTCTTAAACGTTGTTTTAACTTTAAAAGAAAAAGAACTGAAGAAAATGAAATTCTAAATATTAGGATGATTATGATTGATATTTTTGATTTTTTCTTTGAATAGAATAGAACATTTTAAATTGTACATTAATTTGCTAAATCCTGGTTTCTTTATCCATCTTCATTGGCCTAGTCAGATGTTAAATCATTTTATTTTCCATTAATAAATAACAGTACTTTATTCCTTATATGCTGTCGACTAGGATCTAGAGCTTATAATTTTAAATTGTACTTTGGTATGTTAAAATACTTCCCCATTTTTTTTATGCCGGTCAATCCAGGGCAAAGATTACACAAAACACTCTCAGACTTAAGAATTTACTCAACTTTCAATCACGTTCAATATCTTTGATCCAGAAACACAAAAATTTGCGCTTAGTTTCTTGTTCAAGTATTTGATACATTAAAACAACAAAAGTTTTATTAAGGGCTATATTTGAGTTAAAATAAGGTGAACAAATTGGAGTCAATTTTTTAACTTAAACCTGAGAATGTTTTCTGAAATCGGGGCCAAGACTTATGGTACTTGTACTTAAGGTTACCGGTATTTATCTAATCACAAGTTAATATGTGTGCAGGGAACATTGTATAGTCGTTTGGATGGGACGAAAAACCTAGGTCCCGTGTACACATTGGCGTGCACGTTAAAGATCCCTTGGCAGTTAGAATTTAATATGAGAGTAGGCCGTAGCCACCTGTCTGGGCAAAATTTCGTTCATTGCACACTGTATGGCGTATGCCTGTCTCATTAGCCCAGTCGGAGCAGAACAGTAAGATGTTAAATCCCATTTCATTTCATTTTTATATACGCCCACATGGAAATTTGGTCATATATTGCCATAGCCTTGGTCCGTCGTCCATAATTTCGTGTGAACACGAAGAAGCCTATTTACTTTCATCAATTTCCATTAATTTCTTCTGGTGTTTCGGCCCATGTTACCACTCTGTTTAATGCTGTGAATGCTCTTAACAACAAAAGTTTTCATCCAAGCTGTATAAAATTTATATACATCATTTGAAATTAGTGAAACGAAGAAGCCTATGGCCCTTGTTTCACTTTCTTGAACCTTGTTAACGCTCTAACGACAAGTCGTTATCCAATTAGTGAAACAAAAAAGCCTTTTGAATAACAGCATTTTCCGTTAATTATGTCTAGAGTTATGGCACTTGTTTCACTTTGTTGAAGGTAGTGAGCGCTCTAATGACAAAAGTTGTGCTTAGTGAAACAAAAAAGCCTTTTGAATATCAGCATTTTCCGTTAATTATGTCTAGAGTTATGGCACTTGTTTTACTTTGTTGAAGGTAGTGAGCGCTCTAATGACAAAAGTTGTGCCACCTATATGAGCGCTCTAATGACAAAAGTTGTGCCACCTATTACCAGTGTCCGAAACAAACATTCTCCACGCACAGGCCTGCAGGACCTGTGTGACACATGATCATGTGGGTACCTCAGGTGACACGCAGGCCCAACCAATAATAATATTTATAAGAATAAATATGCGACGACCGCTCGGACGATTTAGCTGCTGTGGGCACATTTTTCGTTGCCCGGTAACCCATCTTTGATTCCAAGATGACAGCGTGAACATTATGCACTGTCTATAGTACACTTATACATGAATAATCGTTTACATTTACATTTTAAAAAACAAATAGCCAGTCTTAACTCGTTAGAAGTCCTAATTCTGAAACTGAATTTGTTAGATATAATGATTACAAATCTTAAATTCATATACTGTTTCCCATTGTCGTAAAAAAAAAAAAAAAAAGGTGTAGACTCGGCCTCATTAGATCATGAATCATTCCTTCAGTATTAATATGCAATAAAGCTTATATATGTGTAACGTGATATATGCTATTTGTTGTAATGTGTTAACCTAGTGATGACAAGGAGATTAAATATTGGTTTTTCGTTAATGTTTGATTATCTTAGGAATTATTTACATAATACCTTAAATCTAAATACAAAACTTGTTATTTAAATAACATTTACTAATTGACAAGCATAAATAAATATTATTAGACCTGCCTACTGCATCAGAGTTTTGATAAGGATTGTCTGAAAACCAGAATACTTTTACTTACTCAGCTTTTCTTAAAGGGATGTTTCCACTAGGTTTCTGTACTGTCTGGATCAATGCCTGATGAAGACTGGACAAGCCTAGTAGAAACATCACTGTATAAATAAAAAGCAAGCTATGTAATTGATGTGTAAAAGTTGTACAATTGTTAAGGTTAATTGACGTAAATTCTGCTTAGGAAGTTAAAGAAAGTCATCTCAAAATTTTATAGTTGTGTAACTTTTAGTGACTTGGAAATTGGAATACCCATGTATAATTTAGGAATTTTTAGATGCTGATTGGTCAATTAACCTGGAAAGTACTATAGTACAGTATTTTTTCAGTGACATTTAGTAATTGAACTGGAATATTCTGGACATAATTCTATGGAATACAATAATTGCTTTTTACTGAGGGATGTTTCGACTAGGTTTCTCTAGTCTCAATCATTGCTTGATAATGTCTAGAGAAGCCTAGTCGAAACGTCGCTCAGTTATAAACGGTTATTGTATTTCAGAGAATTGTGACCAGTGTATAGAAAATAGTATACTTACTTAAAGATGCATTTATTTTGTGGCATTATTAATATTTGTATCCAATTATTGTAGATGTTTCAATTTTTATCATTTTAATCGTGAAGTTTTTATTATAGTAATTTGTTTTGGGGTAATTTTTAAACATTTAAAATTGGAACAAATTAAATGTCTTCAATTTAAAGTAAAATGTGTATATGTTATTGGGATTGTTAATATGAAGTTAAGTTGAGCAATAGTCAGTATTTGTAACGTTTATGTCTATAGAGATTATCGTCTGAAACCAGTGAGTTCGGTGATGGCCGGGGTCAGATTAAGAACAATACAGATTTTGGTGTCCCCATATAGGCTTATATGTAATTCCAAATATAAACAATAATAAAACATGAAATAAATGTGTATTTTTCAAAAATGAGGTTTTATACACGTCATAATTAATTAAGACAAAGCAGGCAACAGTAATAAGGAAGGAGAAAACAATGAAAAACTTATTAAAATTCTTAATTATTTTTTAAATTACATATCTTGATTTTGTCAACTAATAAAGCTGGTGGTGCCCTAAGCATGTGCTTATTTTTCCTTAATTCTGCCCTGGTGAGGCCAGCAGAACAAACTCCTTGATTGTATACCACTCATGTATAGGGCCGAGTAGTAGTACTCAAAAATGTCAGAAAGGTAGATATTTCATTCTTTGATTGATGTCCTGGTTGTCGCCCCTTACGCTCTTAATGCCACTGTCTGAAACACTTTCAGCACATACAGATGATAACTGCTTCGTAAATATATTGTTATGTTATTGTCATTATGGGAAAGATTATAATGTCCGCACTCCATGGAAAACAGTCATGTTTCGCTTTTATTATGAAACTAGAAATTGGTCTATAAATATGAATTTTGCCTCTAGTTTGACAAGATGTTAAACTCCCCTGACAGTTGGAAATGGAAATAAAACAGTTGGGCCAAAATTCACATATCACACTGTATGTCATATGCCTTTTCTTTTAGCTGAATTGGTGCAGGTCAGTAGGATGTTAAACCCCATTTCATTTTATCAATTTTGAAATTATATTTACTTCCGATACATCATACCGGTGCTAAAATTTCTGTTAAATAAAGCTACCAACAGAAAATGACCTTTTTGAAAATTTAACAAATGTGACCTGAAAATGGCATCAAAATGATAAGAGTCTGTAATTAAATGGGATTTAGCATTTCTACTTGTGACTTTCAGGGGATTTTAGAACATTGAGTTCAACTTTTTACACGAGATTTGTGATGTTACGAGTTGACATGAAAGAAATGTAAGACAGTGTTACAAGTTGATACAGAGATATTTGCCGACATTGATATTTGCAAACATCTTAATGTCATCTTGGAGCATGATTTGTATAATGAAAAATGGACTAAAACTTGATTCTGCAACTTTATATCAAATCACATAGTACCATGTATGTTGTTACTTGCATGTCATTTTCATTTTCATTGAAATTTTCATTACTGGTACATAATTTTCCCAGTTGCCATGTTTGATCACTAATCTACAATTCATGTAACTAAATATCCATATTATTATAATGATGTTGATGTTAATATTAACTATAGGTTATATGTGTATTACATATGTTGTTACGTGTTGTCACTCACTGTAAATAAAGCCGAAAATAAAAGTAGAACCATCCACTATCAATCATATCTTCTTATCTGTTTGGAGGGGATTGGGTGGTCAAATGGTCTAACAGGTGCACTTTAGATTAGAAGGGCTGTTAAGGGGTGTGATTTTGACTCCCAGCTTGTATCTGACAAGGAGTAAGGAGGCCTGTGTAACCTCATGGGTTTCCTCTCATTGCTAAAGACCTCTACAAAAAATTATGGAAGGAAATTGAGTGGACAATAAACCCCATTCCTCCTACTCCCGGGGGATTAGCTGAGTGTTATTGAGTCAAGTGGCATGGTTTGGATACCAAGTATGTGTTTGAATTTCAAAATAGTCCGTCATTGAGGTTAGTGGCATAGTTTGGATCCCAAGCATATAAGTATTAGTGACAATATTTTCTTATGTTTCAATTTCAAGTGGGGTGTTTTCGGTCTTGTGCTGACAAGGAGTAGGGTCACCTGGTTCTTTGATTTCCACCCACTGCTAGAGAACCCTACCTGCAAACGATTTATTGAAACCGAAATGTACCTTATTTTAGTTGAAACATGACCTAGTTTAACCCCCTTTTACTCTGTAGTATTTTGTCAAGAGATTGCTTCAAATTCTATACTTGTACTTAAACATGCACTATGCAAGAGCTAAATCTGCCTATTGCAGGTTTTTCTTTAGGCCCGGAATGTTGTCTAATATAAACTATTAGACATTTATTAACAAAACAAGACCATAATCGACTCTCAATGGCATCGGATACTCAAGATTTTAACTAGATTAAAACAGTTCGCCATTTAAAAACTTTATTTAAAAATGGGAAAGCGAGGCTAAGTCCCGATTATACCAGTGCCTTATACCACTGTGCACACATCTTGTCAAAACTACAAACAATGACAACTTGGCTGAGAATGAAGTAATTTGAATGAAATTTTCAATATTTTCTTTTTTATCATCTATTTTTGAATTATTATAGCAAGAATGACCAACTCTTTATTAAACTCTTAACTAATGTATCTTTAAGGATTGGTAAACCACAGGTGGACATTAATGCGAGTTGCCAGACTAATTGTTCAAATTCAGTCTTTTCTGTATTTTTCAAGTTTACGTGGAAAACGTGTCTAGTTATTTGTATGGGATTAAAAATTCAAATGTACAAAGTTCAAGCCATATAATCCTAACTAGTCTATTTTTCTTTGGGGTTGAAACCACAGTCTACCAAACATTTAAGTCCTGTGTGTTCATAAAATACCCCTTTATAAATGAATTAGTAGGAAATTAAATGGAAAGTGGATTAACTATTACTTTTCTGTGTAAGACGGATGTATCCTATGCAGTGAGGTTGAGTGAAATTTTCTTTCTGCCTATTCTTCGATATTCAACTGTCACTGATTCTTTAACTTTGCGTGGCCGAATGGTTAGCGTGTGCCCTTTGGGTCATAAGGCATGTCATTGAGTCGAGTGGCATGATTTCAATTCTCTGCTTGTATGTGACAAGGAGTAAGGACGCCTGGCCAACCTCATGGTTTTTTTCCGGGTCCTCTGGTTTCCTCCCACTGCTAAAGACCCTTTCGTGCAAGCAAATTATTGAAATAAACTTGAACCATGTTAATCCCGAAATAAGTTAGTTTGTGCCGAGTGTGAGTGGATGTTAAACCACATTTCTCTCTCTCTTTTTTTTCTTTCCTATCCGAAAAACTAGACACTGTGCCTTGCCAGGCCCTCCGTCTTGTACCACTGACATACCTCCTTATAGCAAGCCAGTGGCAGTGCCTTACTTGCATCTTGGCTCTATGAAAACAAAAGAAAAAACGATGAAAAAAAACTTTTCTCGCCAAATATATAGGAAGTGTTATTGTTAAGTCCCAGGTTTACATTTTAATAATTTCATAATTAAATTTTATTCAGAATGACGAAGACCTGCGAGTGGTCAGTTATAATAGTCAAAACTTCGACACAGTTTCGGCACTGCCTGCATGAAATACCTTATTTTGGTACCATATTGTGAACATTATATAAATGGTATTTGGGTCATATAAAATTATTTTTTTAATTGTTATTAAAAATTAATGATATGCAAAATTATGCAAATTAGATGACGTCATGAATAAATTATGCTAATGAGGTCCAAAACGAGGTCAATCACGTGACCAATTTATTAGCAGACTTGGCGGCCATATTCTGAATAAGGTCGTACAACGATGGGAATTTATTATCGTTATTAGGCTGATTCAAGATAGGACATATTTGAAGTCGATTCCTTTCGTCGGTTGAATCTACGGTGAGTCGCTAGTTCTTTACAGAAAAGAAAAAAACCCAAACTTCTTCCAAACTTGATCGATCTTTTGTCATTTTCCTAAGTGTGAATCAATTTTCGCGAATACGATGTGATAACCAAAAGTGCAACTAAGGTGTATGAGAAAAAAACCGCGAATTTCTGTCATAATTTTAATGAAAGTGTAGCGACCAGAAAGACTGTATTTTGCTAGTGATATGAAGTCAACCCTCTTTGCATCTGAGACATCTTGATAGATTTTACTGCTAAAAGTATCATTGTTTGCTTTACAATATTTTCGGCAAAATGTTTTATGGCTTCACCACGCATGCGTTGATGGCGGAAGTGACGCATGGGAAACCGAAAGTAGCTTTATACAGTAAAAAAATCCCAACATCTCATAGTCATACTTTGGTATACTATTGATCAAATCTGCGCATGAAATAACTGGTCTAATATATTATTTAATAATTAGGCAATATAACACCTTCTGAAAATAGCACATTGTTAAGTAAATCATAATTCTTTTGACTTTTATCTGAAGATATTAAAATAATGATGTATATGATTCATAGCGGTTGGCTCCACTACTGTTTTGAATGTCCTGCCAATTCTTCGATTCTTACCTGGAGATATGTTCAAGTGTAAGAGAACAATTCGTAATGTTGCGACCGTTGAGAAAAAGTTGATTGAATCATCTATCAATGAATTATGATGAGAACAACCCCAATGATTATATTAGTAGTTATTATGTATTGATATTGATATTTGTAAATTCGTTCGCACTTTACCTCACTGACCATTGGCAGTTTTCCATGACTGGCATTCTTTGATGTCTTGTTATTCAAGTCTACACCGGTAGTATTCTCCTGTAGAATATGTTTAGCATCGTTCATTGAGTCACTTCATTACCAATGTGCCAATTTACACAAAAAGTCCAAATTGTATGGCAGTTTTTGGTGTCTTGTTATTCCAGTCTACACCGGTATTATTTTCCTGTAGGATATATTTAGCCTCGTTCATCGAGTCACTTCATTACCAATGTGCCAATTTTAAAATTTTCATGTTGTCTTAAATATTGGATATCAGAAGCCCATCTTTTCAAGGTAAGATAACATCAATGTTGAGATTTAAATTGACCAATAAGCAGTGTGAAAGACTGTGGAGGATATTGAGTGAGAGACTTTAATTTACCAGTCAACAGTTGAACCAAATTTCTAATACTCTCAAATAATGTGTATTTTTATTTTTCAGAAAAATGCTTATTAATTGAATTTGATTACCTGAGTTTAAATATCATCACAATGTCGGTAAGATTTGTTTTATTTATAAGACAATGTTTATTTTATTGCTGTTAAAAAGGCTCCGTGCCAATTCCATCGACCTATGCTGCTCAGGAGAAGCTAATTGTAGGCCGTTTTGGAATTTCCAGAGTCCACAATGGCTGCTTTATATAAATGAGTATATTGGGGAATACTAACCTTAACCCTTTTTAGAGGGGTAAAAGGTAAATTGGATCCAAGTTCAGTATACTGGATCCAATTTAACTTTTTACCCCTCTATAAAGGGTTAAGGTTGGTATTCCCCAAAGTACTAATTTATACAAAGTGGCCGCTGTGGACTCTGGAAATTCCTGAACTTCCCCAACCGGCCTACAATTAGCATCTCCTATGCTGCTTGCTATGTAACAGGATGGTAATTTGTGTCTGACATTGTCTGTAACTCGTGCCTTGTGTCCAGGCTTGCTCAACAATAGTTTGGTGATTTGAAAAAATTACTAGCGAATAAAGTAGTGATTAGTTGATGGTGTAATCTTTTGTCTTGAATTTGATAAAGATATTGTAATATGAAAAATAAACGCAACAATTCCTATAGAAAACTGTCATTAATAACCTTTCAAATTCTTTCAGAGCACTAAAGAAGAGTCTGCCTCGTAAGTATCATTTCTCTAAATGATTTCATAGTCTAATTAAGGAGTGATATTGTAATGTTCAACAATTTCTTTTAAGCTATATTTACATTTCAGGGCCCTCTCTGGCAGCTCACCAGTTCCCCAATGGCAAAAAATCCCTTTTGCTAAAATTCTGCCAACAAATTTTTATTTTCGTGGAGTAGAGAGTAAGGATGCAGTGATACATCCAAAGGATTCATGATTGCAATTATCACAATAAAAGAAATGTTATTTAGACACATAACTTGTACATACATGTAGCATAGTTGCCGACTGGATAATCAATGGTCAACCGCAATTGGAGTTGGTTTCTATGGTGACTAGAAACTGTTCACACAAGATGTTTTATTATCCTACTATCATTTTGACGAGAATTCAGCCGAAAATAATACAAAATATATTACAAACTTGATTCTCCCAAATCATAATTGCAGTTATTTTTTTAATCAGATATATCGTGATACAGCCATTATTGAGAAAGAAGGTGATTGTTTAATCATTTGACGCAATAATTGCATTATTTTTTGGGCTAACATGCTTGATATTTGGTGAATACTTAGCCCATTTTACTTGAAGTTTGGCTAAGGAAACCTTTTTTCCAGAGCGGACATTAACCTTCATAGCGTTGTATCATAAGATCTGTCAATGAGTCAACTGTATCAGGAGTAGAGTAGCCTGTCCAACCTCATGGGTTTTCCCCGGGTCCTCCGGTTTCCCCCTTCTGATAAAGACCCCTATGCGCAAACAAATTATTGAAAACAAATTTAACCATATGTTAGTCCTGAGCGTGAGTCGAGTGGTCGTTAACCCTCTCCCTCTCTCTGTTTCATTTCTGTATATTTGCAGTAAAAAAACACCATGGAAAATTAAATTTACAAATTCCAAGAAAAAATCAAAAGATGAGAGTGATGTTAGTGAGTCAGAAGAAGAAGAAGAAAAAGTTAAACAAATAAAAGATAAAAAGCGTAAAACAGGTAATACAGATGATTTAATCCTTTCTTTTAAATATACTGAGACACAATGAAGTTTCATCACTTTTATAAATGGATGATTGTAAATTTCATAAGAGAGTTACACTTTAATCTTGCAATTCTCAATGTAGAAATATCAGATAACAATGATAACAGACAAAAATGATATTTTCACAATTGATGAAATGCAAAACAGATCAATTCTATCAAGCACCATTTAAAGTAGCTAAGTCTCTAACTCAGTATCATCCAAAGTCTTCAACATTGAAAACACGAATTATTTGTCAATTTAAATCAACATTGATGTTGTGATCTTACCGGGAAAAGATGGGCTTCCGATATCTAATGTTTAAGACAAAATAAACATTTTACTATTGGTACACGAATCGTGTACCATAATGCGAAACGTTTCGGCACCAGGTGTAACAAAGGACTCGAAGAACGAGGCAGACATATTCCAAAAGTCATGTCAAACGGTGACCCATATTCTTATCCAAAGATAAATACTATCGGTATAGACTGGGATAACCAGATGTGAGAGATGGTCATTCGATTGAGATTTCTGACGTATTTCGCCGAACATAACTGATTTGAAATTAGAGTAAAAACAGAAACAATTGAATGTAAATCAGTTTATATACATTCATAACACATTATTATATGCGTTGCGACCCATTTGTGTGAATTTCTAGATCCCAAATATTAGCGATTTAGCTCCTTTAAAGTAAATTGGACTGTTCAAGTCTATATTGGCTATATATATCCAGTGTGGTGATTGTAATGGTGTTTGTATATATTTCTAGGTCAAGCATCAGATCCCCTGGCGATAGTGAACTGTACTGCTTGCGCTCGACAGATTAACCCAGCCAGAGACTCAGTGCTACGTAAACACCCCGATCTCTCTGTTCTAATATGTAAGGTAAAGATAACATCCTGATCTCTCTGTTCTAATATGTAAGGTATAAATAACATCCTGATCCTCTCTGTTCTAATATGTAAGGTAAAAATAACAGTTGACTAAATTTCTTTTGCATGATTAAGAATAAGGATACACGGTTTCCCTTTGTTAGAAGTGCAGGACAGAGGGCCTGGCAAGAAAGGGTCTAGTCGCTCTGATGGGGCGAAAATGGATGTCTCATGTACAACTTTAAAGAACCCTTGGCAGTTGGAATAGAACTATGAGCAGGTGGAAACCTTGATGTCCAGGCAAAATTTCCCTCATACCACATGTAATGGCATATGCTCGTGTTCATTAGCCAGGTCGGTGCAGAACCGTCATCTATCTATATAATGATGATGAAATTGGGTTTAACGTCCTACTGTTCTGCTCCAACTAGGCTAATGAAGGCGGTCTATCTATATAGATAAGATCAAAGATGTGTGTGTGTGTGTTTAAGGCCATCAAATTTGGGCCCCTGGCAAACTGGGTTTTGGCCACGGGCAAAAAATGATTCATCACTTCTCCCCACCCTCACATATGTGGTATCAAATTAACCAGAATGACCCTGAGAATGTTCCCCGGTTGTACGTGACAAGGAGTAGGGTCGCCTGTCCAACCTCGTGGGTTTTCTCCGGGTCCTCTGGTTTCCTCCCACTGCTAAAGACCCCTATGCGCAAGCGAATTATTGAAATAAAATTAAACCATATGTTAGTCCCAAAATGACCTAGTTTGTGTCGAATGGACGTTAAACCCCATTTCTCTCTCTCTCTCTCCCTGAGAATGTTTTAGGCTACCGAATTTGTGCCCCGGTCTGATTACGTCCCGAGCGAAGTCGGGTATCATGCTAGTTTGTATATAACAATAAATGGAAAGTACAGAGAGCAATAATTATTTCAGAAATGTTGGAGTTTTTACCACAGTGGTGAAGTAACGAAAGACGAGGATGGTTTAGATGAACAATGTCGATGGTGTGGAGAAGGAGGAAAGCTGATTGGCTGTGATTATTGTCATAATGTCTTCTGTAAATCTTGTATATTGCGAAATTTTGGTCGCTCCGAATTATCTGTTATTTTAGATGATAGCGATGGTGAGTTGATCGGGTGGTAATCTTTTCCCGTTTGATGTGAGAGTGGGGTGGCTTTAAAACATCAGGTCTGTCATTGAGTCAAGAGGCGTGGGTTTCGATACCCAGGTTGTTGGTAACAAGGACTAGGGTCACTTGCCAACCTCATGGTTTTTCTCTTGGTCCTTCAGTTTCCTCCCACTGCTAAAGACCCCAATACATGTTAGTCCCGAAATGACATTGTGTCAAGTTGACGTTAAACTCCATATCTGTCTGTCTCTCTCTCTATTTTATGCTAGAAGTATTGAAGCAGTCCCTTCAGGAGTATTTACAGATGGCATGGAGTAAAGTTAGCCAATAATCTTCAATCATATTTGATACATTCAGCTTATAGTATAAGTAGGGGACCACGGTTGTTCAGCGGGTAAGATGTTGGCTCGCTAACCTGGAGGTCGCATGTTCAATCTCTGCGTTGGCCGAGAAAATTCAACGTGATATTAAGGCATGGTTCTTCCTTGTCAGTGGTGCAGGACAGAGGGCCTAGCAAGGGTCAACGTAAAGCGTTTGGATGGGACTAAAAATCTAGGTCCCTTACACAGATTCGCATTCATGTAAGAGATCCCTTGACAATTGAATTCAATATGAGGGTAGGCCGTAGTGCCGCTGTCTTGGCAAAATTTCCCTCATAGTACACTGTATGGCTTGTGCCTGTCTTCATTAACTCAGTCGTAGTAGGACGTTAAACCCCATTTCATTTCATTGTATTTCCAAGTAAAAGTTTCTGACAATGATTGTCAAGTTTTGGAAGTAGAAGTACACACAAACCTGGATATAAGGCACCTGTCACAGACACTGTCTTGTATTTGTCAGGCACTATTCCTCTGCTGTCTGTCTTTTTGTCAGAAACTGAGATCCAACGTACACCTTGGCATGTACCTAAAAGAACTCTTCGCTGTTGGAATTCAGTGGTGAGAAATCTGAGGCTCATATCGGATGGTATGGCGTATGCCCGTCTTCATTAACTCGGAGAGAGCAGAAAGAGAGAGCGTTTGACAACTAATTTCTTGGAAACGCTTTAGGGGGGTTGTGTGGCCGAATGGTTAGCATGTGCGCGCTCTATCATAAGGTCTGTCATTGAGTCAACTGGCATGGTTTCGATGCCCCAGATGTACGTGACAAAAAGTAGGTTCGTCTGTCCAACTTCGTGGGTTTTCTCTGGGTCCTTCCGGTTTCCTCCCACTGCTAAAGACCCCTACACGCAAGCAAATTATTGAAATAAAATTGAACCATGTGTTAGTCCTGAAATGACCTAGTTTGTTTGAGTGGACGTTAAACCCCATTTCTCTCTCTCTCTCTCTCTCTCTCTCTTTAGTGAGTAAGATGTTGGCTCACAAAAATCCATTGTCATTTTCTCACATTGTTCTTCCTTTGTGGACAGATGGCCTGGCAAGGAACAATAGTCATTCAAAAGGGCCACAAATGAGGTCCTGTGTACACATTGGCGTGCATGTAGAAGATCCCTTGGCAAAATTCGATTTAAGATAAGAGTAGGCTGTAGTGCTGCTGTCTGTGCAAAAAAAAATTCGGGGCGCACAGCATTGTGTGTTTATCATCATTAGTCTGTTAGGTGCATTAGTCCCGAAATGACCTAGTTTGTGTCGAGTGGACCTTAAACCCCATTTCTCTCGCTCTCTCTCTCTCTGTTAGGTGCAGAAAAGTAGGACGGATATTAATTCCCGTTTCATTTCATTATTCTTTATTTCAGACTGTGCTAAATGGAAGTGCTATGTTTGTGACAAAGACAAACTCAAGCCATTGGTCAATCATTGTGACGAGCTGTTCAAAAAGGTAGCAGAAGACAGGAAATCCAGGGAGGCAGCAGCAACAAGAGATCAGAAGAAAAGTAACGGGGTCGAGAAAAAGTCAACATCAGCTAATAATGGTAACGAGTTAGAATTTAAAATAAATCCTTCACATATCACAGAAACCGTCACTAGATTAACCTTGACTACAGACTGTTTTCAGAGCGTTTTAAACGCAGTTTCGTTAAATCTTAAACATGAAAATGAGGATTCTGAGGCATCTTCTTCATCGGTGGATATGGAGACCAAATTACGTAACGCAAAAACTTTAGCAAGGGGAATGAAATCCTATCTGAAATCGCTACATGAAATAACAAAGCCCCAAAATAAATCACATTCACAATCAAAAAAAAAAAAATCTAAAATTAAACAATCGAAGGTTAATTTAAGTGATGTTTCGGATAATTCAGATGTGAGTGGTGACTCAAAATTTTCAAAATCATCAGTAAGTAAATTAACTGTTAAATCCAGTAAAACGAATGTGAGTTTGTTGTCCAGTGATGAGGAGTCGAAGACTATAAAGGAGAAAAATAGACCTAAAATAGCAACTGGTGATAACGTTTCCGATGATGAGGGGTCTTCGGTTAAAAAGAAAACTAAAACACCAACGGATGTTTCCGATGATGATGTGTCGTCAATCAAAAAGAAAAGTAAAACATCAACTGATGACAACAAGACCTCAATTAAGACTAAAACTTCAACCAGTGATATGGTTTCTGATTATGTTGAGCCCTTAATTAACAAGAAATCTAAATCATTGATTGATAAAAGAGTTTCCAATGATGACAAGCCCTCAAATGAAACATCAATCTGTGATAACATTTCCGGTGATGAGGAGTCCTTTATTAGAAATAGAACGTCGACCGATTGTGATGAGCCCTTAATAAAAAAGAAAAGTAAATCATCGATTGATGATAATGTTTACGATGACGAGGAACCTTCAGTTAAAAAAAAATCAACCAGCAATCCTGACTCTGTAAATAAATATAAAACAGATATGTCCAAAAAGTGTTCAAAAGAGAAAACATCTAGGGAAGAATTCAGTGATGTTTCAATGGAAGATGATACCGAAATGGACAGAAAACATTCTATGAAAAAATCGCGGAATAAATCAGTTAATAAAAAACTGACTAATGAGATGGAAGATGAAGACCAAGAAGGAAAAGAGTCTGACTTGGATGAAAAAGTTGACAAAAGTAATGACATTGAATTATATTTAAAAACCCAGGAAAGTGATGATGATGATGACGATGACGATGATGATGTTATTAGAATGGGAGGTGATGCGAAAGAACGAAAAAGGAAACGTAGAATAGACGATTCTTCAGATTCGAGTGTGAAAATGTCAAAAAAGAAACAAAAATCCAAAGATATAGAAAAATCAGATAGTAATGAAAATAAAAAACAGAAATCTAATTTCAAAGGTGAAGAGAATTTAGACCCGTCCCCAGAGAAAAAAAAAGATTTTCACATCTCAGACATTTCTTCTGACGATGAAAAAGGTATCACGGAAAATTCAAAGTTAGACACAAAAAATAATGACCGTGCGCTATCTGATAACGATGAAGAAAATAAAGCAGCTCAGTTGGATCTGTTGAAAGAATTAGAAGACGAACTTTGTTTAGAAAAAGATAAAATGTCCGATAGTGCGAGTGAAACAGATTTAAAAGGAAGTGACATGGACTTCTCGTTATTTGATAGAGGTGTGGCTACAGAAGCTTCAAGCGATGACAATAATGACATGGCAAACCTTTCTCCGGAAGAGATTCAAAAAGATGACGATACAGATTCTAGTCTCGCAGATGCCAAAACTAAAAATAAAACAGAAAAGCCAAGTCCTGACAAGAAATTAAAATCAAAATCCACAGATAAACCAAAAGGGAAAAAAGTTGAAAAATTAAAAACAAAGAAGACAGGTGAAAAATATGAGGAAATAGCCGAAACGAGTAAAGGTTATAATGGTTACTATAACGATGATGACATATCAAGTTCGGATCTTATCATGAGCTCAAGTTCGAGTGATGATTTTATCCCGGAGAAATCCAGAAAACGGGTTCGAGTAACTAAGAAAGGTACATGATAGTACTTTGCTGCTTTAATGTATTACATGTACATGAATCTTTATCTCTTGCCTTCGAAAAAAATCTTTCATTTTTATCCTGCCCGTAATTTTTTAACTTTAATCAAGACCTTTCATTTTTATTCCACTCATGTTTTTTTTTTTAACTTTAATCAAGATCTTTAGTTTCCATCCTGCTCATATTTTAAAACTTCTATTGTATTTGAGTAACAGCCAGAATGTTCCTGATCTATAATGCTATGTGCCCAGTAGTTGCAACAGGATTTTCCAGTGGCTTTGTGAACCCTTTTATAAGCCAATGTGTAGTTGTTTAGTGGCCTTGTTTCAAACATTCCTTTTGAATACACAATTTGTATATGAATTAAATCCATAGGATAGTAGGGCAGCAGACAATCTGATTAAAATACAGGTCTATATTTCATTTCGTTTTAGTCGACGAAAGTTAATATCCGAATGACTTTAGATTTATACACAGTGTTTAAGGGCTTGAGACAAAGAAGCCTATTGCTTTTCAACTATGTCCACTAATTACTGCCAGAGTTATGGCCCTTGACCTCATTGAAAAGTCTTGTGGACGCTCTAGAGTCTACAGTTAACATGAAGATCTGATCGGGTGTAGTAGAAGGTCGTGTCGGAGGTCATACGAGCGGCTTTTGCCTCTATGAGGTCAAACATTTGATTAACAAATCAGTGTTGATGTTTCTAGTGGGTTACCCACAGTTCTCTGCACCTCACAGCAACAATTTGCTGTAACTATCATTGCATTGGCTAATCCCTAACATCATCCAAAATCGCGGGTTATATAACAACTCTTCCAGATCCTAGTGTAGTAAAGACAAGTAAAACAAAATTTTGAACTATAAAAAACGAAACGCAATAGGATCTGTATTTTAATCAGATTGCGCAACTAACTGTTTTGATTTTTTTAAAATCTCGTCTGAAGCTTTAGTTCAGATAAATCGGCTTTTAGAGGCACAAAGGCCATTGGAATACAATCACTGGTTTATTATAAAATTAATAATTCTCAATTTATACAGCACAAAAATACTTTATAGCAGTTTCTATTGTGCTTTTGAAGATTGAACAAATCTATTCATGAATAAGCCTGGTTGAAAAGATGAGTTTTAAGCTGAGATTGAAACCTTCAATCGTTGATCTTAAGTTTCTAGTGGGAGAATATCTTTTATGTATTATTATGTATTCTGGAGCTTTATTATGCATACTTTGAGAAATTTCGACAAATATTGTGCTTCAAAAAATATAGAACACTTTTTCAGAATGTCATGCTAGATGTATAATGAACCTTTGATGGTATTCCAGATATAAATAGACCTTGATTCTTTCATGTGCTGAGCCACTATATTATACCTCAAGAGGATTAAAATCAGCTTTTATTTCATTTTGGAGGGTTGAATGGCCGAATGGTTAGCACGTGCGCATTGTATCATAAGATCTGTTGTACGTGACAAGGTGTAGGGTCGTCTGTCCAACCTCGTGGGTTTCCTCTGGTTAACGTGCAAGCAAATTATTGAAATAAAATTGAACCATATGTTAGTCCCAAAGTGACCTAGTTTGTGTCAAGTAGAGTTAAACCTCATTTCTCTCTCTTATTTCATTTGTTCTTTCCCTTTACTCTAATTTGTGTTTCATTTGTTATTGTGTCAGCGGGTAGTCATTCTTTTTAGTTACCGGGGTATTGATTTATTTTTTTCAAGTGCAAATCTTGAGGAATTTTGAAGATAGTCAAAACAATTTTGAAACCAAAATTTATTGATTTGTAATGCGTGAATCTGTTTATTTTATTATTGTTGTCCAGGTTTGAAATAACAGAAGGAGTTGATGAATTCTAACAAAGATATGAAAATAGATAGCAAAATGTATATTTTTAATAATCCAATAAATGGAAAGTCTGTGCAAGCATATGGTTGTAACAGCTTTTGGAATTTACTTGTTAGTATCAATATTTTAAAAATTTGCTGAATGCTTGCAAATTTTGGTCAATAAAATAATGGATGTGTCATCAGGCCTTCTGTATTTCACTTTTTAAAGCCTCCAATTTACTTGAAAACAAAATCCAGGGATTATTGACTTGTAACATCCCTTAAATGACATATAGTTCTCACAATTATAAATTTGTTATCAGGAAGATCTGGTTCTTTAAATTATAAATTTAATATTTTGAAGATCTAGTTCTCCAAATTATAAATCTGTTGTTTTGGAAGAACTAGTTATCACAATTATGAATTCGTTATTTGAAAGAACTAGTTTTCAAAATTATCAATTTGTAATTTGGAAGGAACTAGTTCTCAAGATTATAAACTTGTTATTTTGAAGAACTTGTTCTCTAAATTATAAATTTTGTGTTTGGAAGAAACTGATTCTCTAATTTGATATTTGGAAGGAACTAATTGTCAAGATTATTTTCATGTGATGTGGTATCAATCAGGCTAATGAAGCGAGTTCATTAAGCATAACTTCTCTTTGAAATATATTTAATCCACTGACTGGCAAAGGGATAACCCCATACATTTAATCATATTTTTTTTTGCTGATGGGGAAGTCCGTATTTGAATCACAGGATGAAATAAAATATGAAAATCTATCTGAAATCTGATATAAAAAAAAATGTCAACCTTGAGAGGTAGTTTCTTTATGAATTGTAATTGATCGTTTAGAGTTATAAGTGAATTCAGCATTTCAGAATCTGTTTCTTTATTTTTCAGTGAAAGCAGGCAAGAAATCAAAGACCAATTCTGGTTCCGAATCAGAGTCGGATTCTGATTTTGATTATAAAAAATCCAAGAAAGATCTGAGAAAAGACCTACAAGCAGAGAAGGAAGCTAAGAAGAATGCCAAGGAGCGAAGGAAAGCAAAAGAGGAGGCAGATGATGATTCCGATAGTGACAAATCTCAAAAGGACAAAAGGGGGAAGAAAAAAGCTGCTGAGTCAGATAGTGAGGATTCTCAGAAGTCAAGAAAGGGAAAGGAAAATGGAAAAGATGCCAAACAGAGTAAGAAAAAAGGTGACGAATCTGAAAGTGAAGATTCTGATCTTACGGAAAACGGCAAGAAATTTGCTAGAAACGGCAAAGATAAGAAAAAGAGTGATTTGGATGATAGTGATGATTTAGACAAAGAAATAGATAGATTAGAAAAAGGAAATGAAACATTAGAGAAGAAGGCGAAGAAAAAGAAAAAAGAGGAAGAGAAGGATGACAAAAAGAAAGACAAATCTAATAAGGAAAATGGCAAAAAATCAAAAGAAAAATCCAAATCTAAAGGTTAGTTAACTCTATATTGCCTTACTTATGTTTTATTCCTTTCCCTTCTTTCAAAGGACACCACATGGTGCATCAACACAGTCTTTTGATTTAGCAAGCACTTAAGATGTACCAGAAATTTTTTGAAACGGGAAAAAAATATAGATATACGCATATTTAATAGAGCTTGTGTTTTACAACTACTCTATTTTACATGTACTAATGCGTCTTGTAGTTCTGATGATGGACCATCAGTACAAGTAAAATATAAATTATAACTATAGCACCATCACCTGAACTACTTGAGTCATCAGTACATGTGAAAACAAGCTATATCACTATCATCAGAATTACAAAAGTCATCAGTATGGTACATGTTATAATTACAGCACTATTATCAGAACAACCAGTCATCAGTAGTTGTAAAACACAAGCTCTATTAAATAGGCACCTGTCACTGACAATGTCACTTTATTGTTATGCATAGATTCAGGCTTTATCAGGCACTAAACCTCTGGTGCCTGTCATTTTGTCTGGCACTGATTTGTCTTTTTTATTTATATTATTAATACATGTCCGGCACTAAGTTGAAAATGTCAGGTACTATTTCATTAGTGCCTGACATTTTGTCAGGTAAATGTAAAACCGTTATTTCCAGGCCTGATGATGGTGTTATAGTTATAGCTTGTTTTAACAAGTACTCATTACTCTATTAGTTCTGATGATGATGATACAGTTGTAGCTTGTTTTTATACGCCCACATTTTCATGTGGACGTATTATGCCGTTGCCCCTGTCCGTCCGTCCACAATTTGTTTGTGGACACTCTACAGGTCACAATTCTTATCCGATTTTGACGAAACTTGAAATATAGGTTTATCTCCAAAAGATCTCGTTTCCTTTCGATATTGGCATGTATCGGATCGAAACTTCATGGATTATGGCCCCTGTTGGTTACGAAAAATCACGTTTTTAGCTTGTGGACACTATAGAGTTCACAATTTTTATCCGATTTTGTTGAAACTTGAAATCTAAGTTGATAATCCAAAGATCTCGGTTCCTTTCGATATTCGCGCATATCGGACCGTAACTTCCTGAATTATGGCCCCTGATTGTACCAAAAATTGCGTTTTTAGCTTGTGGATCCTATAGAGGTCATAATTTTTATCCGATTTAAAAAAAAGTTCAAGTATATCACCGTTACACCCTAAGGATGGCTGAGTTCCAATTTCATGAAAATCGGCCCGAAATTGACAGACAAAATGGCCGCCGTTTGTTCTCAAATAGCGTAAAAATATGGTATATCAATGTTGTGGACACTATAGAGGTCGCAATTTTTATCCAATTTTGTTGAAACTTGAAATCTAAGTTGATAATCCAAAGATCTTGGTTCCTTTCGATATTCGTGCACATCGTACCGTAATTTTTTGAATTATGGCCCCTGATTGTACCAAAAATCGTGTTTTTAGCTTGTGGACCCTATAGAGGTCATAATTTTTATCCGATTTAAAAAAACGTATTATTATATCACCGTTACACCCCAAGGACGGCTGAGTTCGAATTTCGTGAAAATCGGCCCAAAATTGACAGACAAAATGGCCGCCGTTCGTTCTCAAATAGCGTAAAAATATGGTATATCAATGTTGTGGACACTATAGAGGTCACAATTTTTATCCGATTTTGTTGAAACTTGAATTGTTAGTTTATAACCCAAAGATCTCGGTTCCTTTCGATATTCACGCAAATTGAATTGTAATTTCCTGAATTATGGCCCTTGATTGTAGGAAAAATCACTTTCTTGTTAGCTTGTTCTTTATCCATCTCTCGAAAATGTGGGCGTATCCTGCCTGGCAGCCGCTGGTTACATGTACTGAGGATAGTGATATAGTTATGACTTTTTTTTTCAGACTCTTGTAGTTCTGATATTGTTATGACTTATGTAATATAGTTATAACTTCTATTTTACAGGTACTAATATCTCTTGTAGTTCTGAGGATGGTGATATAGTTATGACTTGTTTTATAGATACTGATTAGTCTAATATTTTTACAGGTACTGATGAGTCTAGTAGTTCTGATGATGGTAAAGCCGATCGAGATCAATCTGATGAAGATAGTGATGATGAAGTTACCATCAAAAATTGTCTACCGGTACGTCTAACTAAAATCCTAAAGCCTTCAAATCCATTTAAATCTCGGCTAGAGAGTTTATTATTGACTTGTTAAGTGAAGAAATGTTTGAATTATAATTTATATAACATTTGAAACCAAAAGAAAGGCCTGCAACGGGCAGATTTAGCTCTCGCCTTTTAATGCATTTTTAATTAATGGGTTATAGTGTGTCAAGCTAGCGGAGATTGCTAATAAGGGAGACAACTTGTGTACTTAAACATATGGTTCAGATCACAATGATATACAATATACCACAATATGAGTCATGACGTGTGAATATATTGATGATGATATTTTAGATCCCGAAGTTAGAAGAAAGTCAAGATGAGAATGAACAAGCCAAGAAAGATATATTAGCTGATTTAGATGATGATGATGATGAAAGTTCATCAGTTGACGAGGATTCCGGTATGTAATCAGTAATTAACAGAACACTGTTTCTGCAAGTTACCGTCGTCAGTATCAACCACACTGACATTTAGTAATGGAGAAATATCAACAGAAAACAATTTTATGTGGGAAAAAAATCAATGGTTCCATTATATCAACACAGAATTTGTGTATACCCTCATTAATAACAACCACAGTAACTGAGAAATATATTACTGTACAAGTTAATTCTATTAGCACGAAGGTTCGATAAGTATCCTGTCTCTTATCGGTATCAAGCACAATGACATTTAGTAACTTTGAGAAACACATTAACAGCATACAATTTTTATAGGAAGCGATCACTGGTGTGGGTCCGAGGGGAAACCTTTAGGATTTTTTTTAGCCTTGTTCTGAATACAGACATGAAATGTATGGCATGTAAAACTGAAATATGTGCATGCCTATAAAAGAACCCTGGACATTTGGAATTTAATATAAGATTAGAATGTAAGGCCTCATTACAAACTGCATGGCGTATGCTAGTCTTTATTAGCCCAGTGAGGGGGTTGGATGGCTGAATGGTGAGCGTGTGCGCGCTATATCATAAAGTCTGTCATTGAGTCAACTGGCGTGGTTTCGAATCCCCGGTTGTACGTGACAAGGAGAAGGGTCGCCTGTCCAACCATGTGGGTTTTCTCCGGGTCCTCCGGTTTCCTCACACTGCTAAAGACCCATACGTGCAAGCTAATTATTGAATTAAATTAAACCATATGTTAGTCCCGAAATGACCTAGTTTGTGTCGAGTGGACGTTAAACCCCATTTCTCTCTGTCTCTCTCTTTATTAGCCCAGTCAGAGTAGAACAGTAGGATATAAAACTCCTTTTTATTTGTTTTTCCTGTTATTTGATACAGATGATGTGCCAAAGAAGAAATCAGGAAAGAATAACAAATCTAAAGCGAAAGCGGTAAAAGCAGAGGATTGCTCCGATTCTGATTTTGAGCCAGTCAAAAAGAAACGAGTGAGATCAAGTTTATTGGATGAGAAAATATTTGAAAGTGATTCCGATGAAGATAAACCAAAGAAAAAAAGGTAACAAAGAAATATATGAATTGATATCTTCATGCTGGGTTGGGTGGCAGAATGTTTTAACGTGCGCTTTAGATCACAAGATTATTCATTGGCGTGGTTTCGATTCCCAGATTGTATGTGACATGGAGTAGGGTCATCTGTCAGTGTCCAACCTCCGGTTTCCTCCCACTGTCTAAGACCCATATGCGCTACTGTATTATTGTATTTTTTTTTTAACCATATGTTAGTTCCAAAATGACAGTTTGTGTCGAGGGTATGTTAGACCTCATTTCTCTCTCTCTCTAATATTTTCATATAAAAAAAAAAAACAAAACATACTGTGAAATCGGTCCTTCCATTACAGCAGCATTAATTATCAATCGCCGAAAGAAGTTGAAACAATTAAATTTGTTTTGACCTAATTAGAAAATTTTCAGATTTAATTAATTTATTTTTGCATTTCCATGGAAACAAATTTGACTATACAAGTGCGCAGAATGTTGATTACTGGGTCTTGTTAAAATTTCTTTTAATTTTTATTGAAACCCTAGGAAACAGAAAGGAGGCAGTGACGATGATTTTGATCCGGGGGATGACTCTGATGATTCAGGTGTCATTAAAAAAAAGAAGAAGAAGAAGAAATCAAGTAGTAGTGAAGAAGAAAATACAGACACTGATGAAGATAATAAGAAAAAGAAACGTAAACGTATAAAAAGACCGAAGAATTCATCTGATGAAGAGGCAGAAGAAGATGATGATGTAAGTTTTGTAATTTATACCATCTTAGAGGGCCAGTATACTCTTTTGAGAGTAGTGACTCGCCTGGAGGTCTCTTTATCGATCTCTGTGTTGGACGACCCTCTGATATACTGTGGGAGGTGTGGGGCTTGCTGAACTGGAGGTCTTTTATTGAAATCTGTGTTGGACAACCCTCCAATATACTCTGCGAGGTTTTTGGGGACTCACTTGTCTGGAGGTCTCACGTTTGATCTCTGTGTTGGATGACCCTTTTATATACATGTATGCTGGAAGCATGGTGGAGACTCGCTGGTTTTGTGTTCTCAAGTTCGATCTATGTGTTGGACAACCCTCTGATATACTTTGGGAGCATGGTGGGGGCTCGCTTGTTTGGAGGTCTCATGTTCAATCTCTGTGTTGGACGACCCTCCGATATACTCTGGGATCTTCTGGAGGTCCTATGTTCATTACTGGTATTGGCAGAGAAAGTTACTCATGATTTTCCGGCATGGTTTTTCCCTAGTCAGTAGTTCAGGACATGAGGGCCTGTTAAGGACGGTGTCTAATAGGTTGGATGGCATGAAAAACTTGAATCTTTATTTTGGCCTCAAATGTTACATATATTATTATTTAGAAATTTTTTCACATGACAATCTATGCCACATCTTGTCAAAACTTCAAACAGTGATAACTTTACTCAGAATAAAGTAATTTCAATAAAATTTTCAATATATACTTGTTGCATTATCTATTTTTGAACTTTTGACATATTATTAAGAACGACCATCTCTTTCTCTAAATCTCATAATGTATCTTTAATAAAATGTAAAATAATCTTGAGTACATATTTAGCATTATGATTTTATGAACAATATTTGAACACTATTATTTAGGATGAGAAAGATTCTCCGACGAAAGGTGGACGTAAGAAGATTCGTAAAGTTATGTCTGATAAAAAAGTTACAGATGAAACCAAGGCAGCAGCAAAAGCTGAGGAAGACAGACGTAAAAGAGTTTCTGAATTACAGAAGAAGGTATGTTTTAATTATGTACTCGAGCTGGCTGATATCCCTGGAATCAAATATTATAAGTATATCGCCATATTTGATAAAATATCAATAATTTTAGTTCATCACCTTATGAATAAACATGAGGGAGTTGGTGGTCTAGTGGTTTAACTCGTGCACGTGAAATAATAGTCAGTCACTGAGTCATGCAAGTGGTGTGGTTTTTATTCCCCTCTAGTATGTGACAAAGAGTAAAGGTTGACTGTCTACCCTTGTGGGTTTTCTCTGGGTTCTCAGGTTTCCTCCCACTCTAATTATTGAAATAAAATTGAACCATATGTTAGTCCTGAAATGACCTAGTTTGTGTCAAGTGGACATTAAACCCTATATCTCTCTCTCCATAAATAAATATGCATCAAAAGTTGAACATGCCCTAAGAGTTTTCATTTGACACATTGTAGTCAATATATAGGATATCATATCTGCTACAATCTGTAGTGTATTGTTCAGGCAAAACTTATCACAATTTTTCTGTAAATTGTTACAGGCCCCATTTACACATAGGCATGCACATAAAAGTTCCTTGGGCAGTGGGAAGTCGATTTAAGAGTAGGCCGTAGCTAGTGTTGTGAGGTTTTTAAAATTTCTTTCGGTTTCGGTTTTTCTGGGGCAAAAAACCTCGGTTTCGGTTTTCGGTTTTTTTTATTCATTTAAAAACTGTATTATGAATGTACTGATTTATGGTTATCTTATATGAATACTTGGAAGCTAGAAAAAATATAAAACATATTGATGTAAATTGTAAACAAGTTTTTTTTACTGTGATATGACTTTAATTATGACTAGTTAAAACAAAGTTACTGTAAAAAAAAAAGATCTGACAAACTTTGTCAAACAAGTTACACAACACCATAATAATAAATTAACATAACAATAATAAATTAACATAACGACATAATACCAATGTCCAGAAACAATAAAGTTACTGTAAGCTTATAAAAGATCCGAAGAACTTATCCAACAAATCAAAACAATCAGTGACTCAGTGTCTTAAATTATGGTTCAGAAAAACAAGCATTTCTGCATGGTTTGGTTTCAGTCGGCATCGTCTGTCACTTAACATTTTGTATTGTCATCCAATCTTTCGTAGTGAGAGAGCCATGGACTCGAAGTCGAAGACATTTTACTTCTTGAGGAAGCCATCGTGCGTAACTATTGACAACCGGCTAAGGCTTGCATAAAATTTTGGATTATAAACCGAACCGAATTGAGAAAATAAATAGTCTAGGCCGTCCAGACTTATTAAACTATTAAACACTCTATACATAGGGGGCCTGGTTGATCGAAAATAAAAACGAAAGTGGCTACATTGAAATTTTGGAATTTCTCAAACATTTCCGAAATGAAAAAAGGGTAAATTAAAATTTAGGAATTTGGAAAAAATAACCGAAATGCACAGTTATTTTTTGTTTTATCGGTTCGGTTTTCGGTTTATATGTAAAAACCGCGGTTATTCGGTTATACCGAAAAAACGCACATCACTAGCCGTAGCGCCACTCTCCGAGCCAAAACGTCCGTCATCGCACAGTGTATGGCATATGCATGTCTTCATTGGCCCAGTATATGCAGAACAGTAGGACACTAATCCCCATTTCATTTTATTTCATGTTTGTTTTTTCTACTTTCAGTTTAATATTGTACAACAATGTGATATTTGATTGTTCTACTTTCAGTTTAATATTGTGACAATTGAAGATGAATCATCGCTAACTAAATGTCCTATAACAACTAAATTAGTACTAGAATCAGATAAAGATGGCAATCCATTGGTGGAAGTCGTTAAATATCTCATTAAAAAATTAAAACCACATCAAGTTGAAGGTTCGAATTACATTTTTAGATTCATTTCTTGGCTATTGATGGCTGAGTGAGTAAGATGGTCCTGTGTATGATCCTGCAGTTGGCCGTGAACATTCATCCTGATTTTCTGCAGTAGTTCCTCACTATCAATGATGCAGGACAAGATGGCTGGCAAGGAATAGTGTCTATTTGCTTGGATGGGACAAAAAACTGCATTCACAACTGCATCACTGAAATCCAAATGTGCATGAACTATTTCGGGGTTCATGAGGGGTTGTGCAGGAAGGAGGATAAAAAAAAAAACCTTGGCAGTTGAACTTCGATATATGAGTAGGCTGTAGCGCCACTCTCCGGGCAATATTTCCCTCATAGCACACCATTTGCGTATGCCTGTCTTTATTAGAAAAAGAGGATGTTAAACCCCATTTAATTTCGCTTTATTCAGAAAATATCCTGCACCACACCAGAAATTTAAACTATTCTTTTTCAAAAACTATCAAACATTGTGACATAATAAGCAGGACAGGCCTTATTAAACAATTGACAAAATTATCCAAAATTGTGTTTTATTTTCTATAAGGGTTTATTTCATTTTATTTATTTAATAAATTTTCTAGCTATACAGTTTATGTGGAGTTGTTGTATAGAGTCATTGAAACGGTTAAAGAAAGAGGAAGGCTCCGGTTGTATTCTAGCTCACTGTATGGGGCTTGGAAAAACCTTATCTGTAAGTAAGCCTTAATCTGTGAAAAAAAATGTGACTTATTCAATGCTTTATTTGCACTAATTTAACACTAATTGATGCATGAAACCTTTAATAGATTAAATGAGATATATGGTATAATAATGTAGATTAATATCTAATAATAGATGAAACTATAACTGCCACGTTACCCTTTAACTGACACCATTGAACAGTTAAACAGATTTCCACATGAGCATTGCACAGATGTTATAAAATGGACGCAGAATTAGCCAATAAATCCAGCAATATCAGTTCCATTTATGCATTTGTTACATATGTCATAATATAAAATGCACCAAACAAAGACTTGACAAATTAACTTCACTTCGGTTATCAACAAAATATTTAAATCGAATTGCAGAAATAACCTGTTCAATTGTCCTTTGAATGGCAGAAAAATTGATTAAAAATAGAACAGAATTAACACTTTATTATAAAGCCTTACTAAAAATCTTAAAAAGTGATCCTGACAAAATTGGTTATATTTTGGCAAGGGAAGATATTAAAAATACTTTTCTGATATCTATATGATTGCATTGATTCATTTTATTTGTCCATTGGAATCAAATATCTTAATTATATATGAATAATGAATATCACATACCACATAAAAATATTTGTTTTGGAGGCTAAAAATACAGTTTTTGCCAAAATGACATTACTTCCAGTGATAATGAAAATGTTAAATTCATTTTATGAAACCATCAATGGCATTAGGCTTCACATGGTGAAAATTTTATGAAGATCAAAATATAATTGACACTTTTATGGACCAAAAACCTTGAAAAGTGACCTGTAGAAAATAGCCTATTTCTCCACAACTGAACAAGTTAGAAACCATTTTGTGATATCTATACTATATGATTGCATGGGTTCATTCTGTTTGTTGATTGAAATCAAATAATAAATACGACTCAGTTGAATAAAATATTTCTTTTGAAGGCTAAACATACAGTTTTTGCCCAAATGACATCATTTCTGGTGTCAGTGAAAATTTTAAATTGGTTTGACCTAGTCATAATTGTCATTAGGCATCAAAATATTTAAAAATATGAAGACACTGAATGGGTTGTAAATAGCTTAATTTTACACTTTTTTTTTTTCACCTTTTCATCGAATGACCCAAAAATGAAATCGAAATTAAAAAAAAAATTAGAGAGAGATTTTGAGCACCTTTGCAGGGTACACCCTTTACCGAACTGTCAAAATTGTAGTTTTTGGTAAAATTACGCCACGTCTGGTGCCGACAGGAAACGTTATCGGTAAAATAAAAAGATAGACACATGGAACAATGGAGCATGTGAACTTGGTTTTATACAAATCGAACAATAAATAAATAAAAACTGAATTAGCCTATGGCGGCTAATTCAAATTACCGAGACATAAATTGTTCAGATTTTTGTTCAGTCAGATGACTCTTTAACCCTTGGTTAAATGACATAAAAAAATATTCATAAATCTTTTGTAAAACTTTAAATTTTTTAAAATTTGGCGCCTAATAACTAGGACTATTTGCCGAAAATCAAAATTTACATAGCCACGTGCCATGTCTCCGGCTATGCCAAAATGTGTCAAAAGTTGAAATCAGATGATTATTGTTAAAATTACGGCAATATTTTTAAAAACGACAAATTTGGTGATTTAGGACATTTCGTATTGTCACAGAACATTCAAAATAGCTTCATCCTCTAAGTCAGACCCACTTTCCCAGTAAAAACCGTAGACATCGTAACGATGGACAAGCAGTTGCTGAGATCTAATAAAAATGGAAACGGAGAAATATTAAGAATAATAATCCGAACAAAAACAATAGTGGTTCACATAGGCTACGCAGTGTGAAACCCAAATGAGATATGATATAATATCAATTGATATCTAATATTAGATGTAATGAGATATATGATATAATAATACCAATTGATATCTAATATTAGATGAAATGAGATATATGGTATAATGATATCAATTGATATCTAATATTAGATGAAATGAGAGATATTGTATGATAATATCAATTGATATCTAATTTTAGATATAATGAGATATATGGTATAATAATATCATTAGATGAAATGAGATATATGGTATGATAATATCAATTGATATCTAATATTGGATCAAATGAGAGATACCGTATGATAATGTTGATGATTTTATTGTGTTTTATTTTTAAGGTTGTATCATTTGTTCATACTGTTTTATCAGCAAGTGAATACACGAACATGCATACATGTCTTATTGTCTCCCCTTTAAACACCGTACTCAACTGGAGGAACGAATGTTCTATGTGGTTACGAGAAAAAGATCGTATGGATGTAAGTTAACTCTTCTGTTTGTAATACCCACAATTGAATTAAATATAGAAAATCCATTCAGTAAATTTTCACAAGGATATTCTACTGGTTACTTCAGACCATTTAAGGGATTTTTTTGGGCGCTGAATAGTTGAATGCATGTACTTTAGATCATAACGTTTGTCATTGTATTGTACGTGTAGGGCCGGCCGCCTGTCCAATTTTGTGATTTAGCTCCAGTTTCCTCCGACTGCTGAAGACCGCTATGTACAACCAAATTATTGAAATAAAATTGAAATGAGCTAGTTGGTGTCAAGTGGATGTTAAACCCCAACTCTCTCTCTACTACAGATATATAATAATAATAATAGTTTTATTCTCAACTACATGTACAAGCTTAGTATCAAATGAATTGTTTCTATTACAGATTTATGAGTTATCTAGTGTTAAAGACAACCATGCTAGATCAAGATATTTACGAGAGTGGCAGCGTGATGGCGGTATATTAATTATAGGCTACGAAATGTACAGAAATCTCACGAATACTGGAAGAGTTAGAAATAAAAAATTACGCAAAGTTTTCGAGGAAACACTTGTGAACCCTGGTAATTATTATTTTATTATTATTTAGTTTCATTATGTTTTTAAAATCTTGTTTGTTCTTTGAAAGATCATGGCTGATGGTTGATGGCAATGAAATTATTCAGGCAAGGAGATGTCATGAAAATGTATTTTGTGAAGTTTAGTATATATTCTAACAAGTTTGCTTTAGATCATAAGATCTGTCATTGACTCAAGTGTCGGAGGGTTTCAATACCAATATTCTATGTTACAACTAGTATGATCGCCTTCTTTTTGTTGAGTGGACATTAATTTATTTATTTATTGTATTTTGCAAGGGATTATGATTTATGGCATTATTAACTGGTATATGATTTGAATTGTGAGCAACTGGTATATGATTTATGGCATGATCAACCGGTATACGATTTGAATTGTGAGCAACTAGTATATGATTTATGATATCACATCCTGTTTAGAGTAATTATGTTAAATAAAGTTCTTGACATAAGTTCGGATCTTTTTCAGGTCCAGATTTAGTTGTCTGTGATGAAGGACATATTTTAAAAAATGAACAGTCAGCCATTTCCCAAGCCATGAACAAAATTAAAACCAAGAGACGAATAGTTTTAACTGGTACTCCCTTACAGAATAATCTCAATGAATGTAAGTACTCCCTTATAGAATAACCTCAATGAGTCTAAGTACAGTGGACTCTGTCACTTCCGACATCTGATAGGGTGACCCATGCAGCTACAGAAATACAGTCAACCGCTGATAGTTCGAGACTACCACTGAAGCGTGCACATTCGCCGTGTCGAGGCCAACTTTCTGACAGTATGATACTATAAATAGCCATGGCACGTGCAATTCTCTACAAATCTATTGTTGACGATTTTGAATAGCAGTAAAATTAAGCTTCTTGGTTATTACAGCAGATTTAGAAATTACGTTCGTTTCATTTTTTAAATCGCTTTATCATTAACTGTACCGTTAAGAGCGGCATCTTTTGGTTTAGTACAAATACTATCTCTGAAACACTCGGGTTAGACAGGAACATGATACTAGCAGTAGTTTTATTTTACTTTTACAAGCTTCTTAAAACAATTGTTGAGCTAGCTAACGTGCTCATTTCTAAATTCAATTTCTTGTTCTAGCTTTCTGTTATGTTTCGTAAAAAAGTAGTCTTGATTATCCCGACCTGTCAATCAGCCTTAGAATGGTCGATAGACTGGTTAAGCGAGACTAATTTCAAAACAAGGGCACGTAACCTATCTTTTACTCAAAAGTGTCTGGATGTTATGGATGACACATGGAACCAGTTTTCAGTCTATTATTTATAGATGATTATTGGTCATAGCTTATTAAGTACAACATGATCGTTTATTTAGTGAATATAATTGTGTGAAACTGATTTGAGGCTTGGCATATATATAAATATTGTGGCGAAATTGTCGAGATATATGGAGATATTTATTTATGGTGGGTCACCCTACATCTGAATACTATGGCATTCTGTGAAATCCGTCGTCATTTTTATGTCTCGATTTATTTTCTTATTACTTCAACCAAAAAAGTTTTGAGTGATCTGCATTCTGAATATTTTGAATTACGACATTAATCAGGGGTCCCGTCACAAGATTTGCGTTGAATTAACATTTGATAATTTGTCTCTCAATCAGTGGGTGTTAACCTATAAGCAATCACCAAACAATTATCGGTGAGCTTAGGACACATTTCGGTCTTTATTGATTACCTTGAAAATTTTATAATCTCTCGATAGAGAACACTTTGTATTTCATTTGATTTTCTCACGTCAAATACAGTGACATTATTATAAATTGCTGAGATGAAGAATCACTATCTTATAATATTGTGTTCATAATATGTGATCGTCCTGCAAAGCGTGCCCATACGGATTTGACATTAGATGTCAAGCAGCAAATTATAGCAGATTTTGAGAAAGTTCCACGACCAACACAGAAGGAATCAGCTGTTAAGTATTCAATAGATGGTTCCGTGTAGACAGAAATTACCCATAATTGTTTGTGCTGTCGCCATCTTATATGGCAACTAGTGGTAACTATGTACGCTGTCCTTGTATTAGTGCAGCACCATACAGCACAAATTACTTTGTTAAAGCAAAAAAAACCTCGTTAAACCGCTAAAAAAATATAAGAAACCCTTGGGCCATATGGTCCAACCTCGTGGGTTTCCTTTTTCTCTCCAAATTGTGTTATGCGTGTATGATACATAAGGTCTGTCATGGAGTCAAGTGGCGGGGGTTTTATTCCCTACATGTATGTGACAAGGAGTAGGGTCGCCTGATCCAACCCATGGGTTTTATCTCTCCCTTCCTCACTTCATTGGTGGTTTCCAAATGGTTTAATGCGTGTATTTGATCGTAAGGTCTGTCTTTGAGTCAGGTGGCATGGTTCCGATTCCCACTTAAGCGTGACAAGCAGTAGGATCACCTGTCCAACCTCCTGGGTTTCCTTCAGGTCCTCTGGCTTCTTCCTACAGCTTAATCCTTGGTATGTGCAAGTACATTATAGAAATACTCTCTCTCTTTCTCTCTCTCTCTCTCTCTCTCTCACTTCACATCCCAACCACATAATTGATCTCTTCTATCTATATAATTTACAGACCATTGTATGTTGAGTTTTGTGAAGCCAAAATTATTAGGAACGAGAAAGGAATTTTTAAATAGATTTGTAAATCCTATAACTAATGGTCAGTGTTCTGATTCTACTCAACATGATGTCCGTGTCATGAAGAGAAGAGCCCATGTTTTACATGAAATGTTAGCCGGTTGTGTCCAGGTAAGTAACATCAAATGTCTCTGGTCGAGAAGAACCGTTAAGATTCAGGTTCTGGTCTCAGTTCTCATAGATGGCTGCGAGTCACAGTGACTCAGGGAGTAAGACGCTGTCTCGCTAGCTTAGAGGTACTGTGTTCGTTCCCTGTGTTAACTGAGAAACTTCATCAGGATTTTCTGATGTGGTTTCCCATGTCACTGGTGCAGGTCAGTGGACCTATTGGACGAAATTAAAAGTGGATAAGATAAAAGACTATTGGGAATGAATATTAGTCCAGTAATGGGTAAATCTCATTCAGTATTTACAAAGATGTGAAGATTTAGATATTTATGAGCATTTGACATCCTCTGTAGACAATATTATATAGCCAATGTCACCTTAAATGTTCAATAATCAGTTTGAGTACATTTTAGTGTGGTTTAAGCCATCAGATATTCTCTGAAAATGCAAATGTCGAACAGCGACTTTAGATTATTAAAATGTACATTATATATCCAATATAATTATATATCTATGGAATTCTTTGTCCCTAACACTAAAGTCTGCTGAAACATTAACTTCATTTAAATCAATCCTCAAGACCTATCTTTTCAAACGTTACCTTTAAATAGAACATGATCATGTGTGTTTTGTGTTAATAGTTTGCTGGGTGTGATGTAGATTATTAGTATTAATTACTAAATGCCATTATATTTAATATAATCTATATTTTATTATATTTTTAAATAGAGAAAGGATTATTCAGCTTTAACCAAGTTTCTTCCACCCAAACTAGAATATGTGATATCCGTGCGTTTGGCACCTGTACAAATGACTCTGTATGAAAAATACTTAGAAACCAGTGGTCAGGGGGTTGGTGGTACCATTATTACCAGGGGTGGAAGGCTGTTTCAGGATTATCAGGCTCTATCAAAGATATGGACCCATCCGTGGGTTCTTAAACTCTCTGAAATTAGACAGGAAGCCAAGGTGAGTAAAAAAAAAAATGAATTAGTTTAGATCAGAGAGGAATTAACAAAGAAATTATTAATCACTAGCAAACTGCAGTAGTGTGAAAATGAAAATGAAAATGGTTCAACAATAGACATTCACTGCAGACACTATAGTCAACACAAGCCAGTACGATCCTTAAACATACATTATGCAAGAGCTAAATCAACCTATTGCAGATCTTTCTTTAGGCCTGAAATGTTAAATAAATTAATTAGACCTTAATTAACTTATCCAGACCATAATCAATTCCCAGCTTGTACGTGACAAGGAGTAGGGAGGGATGTCTGTCTTACTTGATGGGGCTTCCCTGTGTCCCCCAGTTTCCTTCCACTTCTATGACCCCCAAGGTTGCAAGCAAATTATTGAAATAAAATTGACCCATATGTTAGTGCTGAAATGGCTTAGTTTGTGTCGAGTGGAAGTTAATCCAAATTTTTCTCTGTAGGCGAAGTACGATGATGAAGAGGACGAAGAAGATGAATTATCCAACGATTCTTTTATTGATGACAGTACGTCTGATGAAGGCTCTATGTCAACAGATGACAAGAGTGATGACAGTATCATCATGAAGGGTGACAGTGATAGTGATGCCCCAAGGACAAGGCGTACAAGGGGGGCGGCCAAAAAAGACTCCAAAAATAAAAAAGCCAAGGAAGAACAGTAAGTAAAAATCTAAAATCTTTAGCTTTTGTATTCAGTTTTAAATCTCAATCTTAAACATTCCTGTTTCAAAACCCTTGTCTATAAACAGTGCATGATTTACCTATAGGCTTGGCAGACTGAAGTCTAGGGCGTCAAAATCCCTGAATAGGCCGAGAAAGTTCCCCCTTTTCAGATGTGTATATAGTCATTCGGATGGGACAAGATCCCGTGTACACTTGGGTGTGCATATAACAGATCGCTTGCCAGTTGGAATTTGAAATAATAGTAGTCCATGGTGCTGTTGTTCGGGCAAAATTTCCCTCATAGCCTGTCTTCGTTAGCCCGGTCAGAGCAGAACAGTGGGACGTTAAACCCCATTTTCATCTTCCTCTATATGGTGTGGGATTGGGAGACATGGCCTAGGGCTTCTCTTTATCTAAATTTGGCACTGTCTGTAAATTAACAGTGAATATAAAAACTGGCAGCCACTTAGAAACTGTTCTTCAGTATTAAACCGTTTTCTGAATGACAGTATTATCTGACAGTCTTGACGGACAGTGAAATTTACAGACCTACTGAACTTAAATTGTTATTTATGGACAAGTATAAAATATTTGTTGTTATTTATCGACAAAGTATGTCTAAGTATGATATATTTGTTGTTATTTATAGACCGAGTACATCGAAGGGTAAGACAGAAGAAAAAGATGAAGTGGTGAATACATGGAAAACACGATCGCGAGGTGGAGGGGGTGACAGTAAGTTATAAAATATTTTTATTTAGATATCTTTAATACATCTTGTTTTACACAGATCTTTATGAAATGAAGCTATACATAATTGGGTCTTTTTGCTCTCCTATCCGTTCGGGGGGTTGCGTGGCCGAATTGTTTAACACATGCACATTAGATCATGAAGTCTGTTATTGAGTGAAGTGGCATGGTTTTGATTCCCACATTGTATGTGACAAGGAGTAGGATCGCCTTTCCAACCATGTGAGTTTTCTTCAGGTCCTCCAGTGTTCCCCCCCCCCCCACTTCTAAAGACCCCTATGTGCAAGCAAATCATTGAAATAAATTTGGGCCACATGTTAGTCCCAAAATGACCTAGCTTGTGTCAGATTATATATGTGATATAGACAAAACATTATTATAATGTCTCTGCAGTGTTGTGCAATAAGAATGATTTATTTATCAGATGATCGACTACTGCCTGGGTTAAATGAACCTGATACACCAGGACCTATAAGTAATGAATGGTGGGCCGAGTATCTGAAAGAAGAAGATAAATACAGATTAGAACTGAGTGGAAAGTTGACTCTCTTGTTTAAAATTCTACAGATGTGTGAAGAAATCGGTGATAAAGTGTAAGTTATAATCTAAAATGTAACAATTTTTGTGATTTAAGAAACGGTTTCCTATTACCTAGTGGGAGCCAGAAAAGTTCTTTTAAGATTTTCTGCGTGGTTGCCCCTTTTCAGCGGTGTAGGATGATGTATAGTCGTTCAGATGGGAAGAAAAACCAAGCTCTTGTATAATGCCTGTTTTAAGATTGGTTTAAATAAGTTAATGACTAATTGATGGTTTACTGTGTTATCTTTCAGACTGGTATTCAGTCAGTCGTTGCTATCGTTAGATATTATAGAAGATTTTTTAGATAGTATCGACAGAAAGTTTCAAGAAGAAGCTGAGAATAAAACAGAAGAGGAAAAGGTAAGTAAACTGTAGTTAAAATGTAAATAATGCAGCCAGAAATCGATGATAAAAGTACACATTGAAAGAAGAGGAGGAGAAATAGATTAAAACATCCACTCGACACTAATTATGTCATTTCTTAACTAACACGGCACTAATTATGTCATTTCAGGACTAGCACAACACTAATTATGCCATTTTCTAACTATCACAACACTTACTAGGTCATTTTCTGACTAACACAACACTATCTAGGTCATTTTCTGACTCACACAGTTTTATTTCAATAATTCATTCATGTGTTTGGTCTGTGGCAGTCGGAAAATATGGAGTAAAACCATGTAATATGTGTTAGTGACCTAGTTTGAATGGAATGGATGTTGATGTCTCTGCAATCCCTCTCTCTCTCTCTGGCCATTGCTTCCTGTTATAGTATTTTATATTATCTTATATGAACAGGTGAATACATTTGGTAAATGTTGGACAAAAGGAGCAGATTATTTCCGTATGGATGGTTCAACAAGTGTATCATTACGTCAGTCATGGGCAGAACATTTCAACAACCCAGAAAACTACAGGTATGCATTTCTTTTTTTGTATATGCTTTTTTTTAACAATACACTTAGTAATCTTGGGGGAACAGTATAATTGCCCAGCTCGTGGGGAGTTTGGTGGTAGAATAGTTAACGTGTGTGTTAGATCAGAAGGTCTGTCATTGAGTCAAGTGGCATGTTTTTTTCCGTGACAAGGTGTAGGGTCGCCTGTCCAACCTCATTGGTTTTCTTCAGGTCCTCCAGTTTCCTCCCAACGCTAAAATTGAACCATATGTTAGTCCCAAAATAACCTAGTTTGTGTCAAACCCCATTTGTTTTTCTCTCTTTCAGAGCTCGTTTATTTGTGATATCAACTAAAGCTGGTGGTTTAGGTATTAATCTTGTTGGAGCTAATCGTGCTATTATATTTGATGCATCGTGGAACCCGTCACATGACATCCAGTCTATATTCAGGGTGTATCGATTTGGTCAGGTGAAACCAGTTTATATCTACAGATTCTTAGCACAGGTACGTTTAAATATCATTCTATAGTAGTAGATAAAGGTTCTGTAGGATGTAGACTGTGATATATGATAAATATATATCTTTTATTATTGGCACATATATATATATTATATCTTTTATTATTAGCACAAGAGCAGGTATTGGCCAAGAAAGTTCTTATTTGTACTTATTTTCAAGCTTGCCCAAGACTTTGCATTAGAAAAACTTTAAGAATTTGTAACATTTGATTTATGTTGACAGGGCACAATGGAAGAGAAGATATATGAAAGACAGGTCACCAAACAATCTTTATCACAACGAGTGGTGGATGAACATCAAATAGAACGCCATTTTACATCCAGTGATTTACAAGCTCTGTATGCTTTTACTCCAGATAGACTAGATGATCCGAACCATGTGGAAAAAACACCTGTTTTACCCAAGGTAAATACCAATATAAACACTTGTTTTATCCAAGGTAAATACTGATATTAACATCTCTGTTATACTCAAGGTAAATATTCATATAAACACCTGTTTTACCCAAGGTGAATACTGATATAAACACCTGTTTTGCCCATGGTATAAATAGATAATACACCTGTTTTACCCAGGGTATATATAGATAAAACACCTGTTTTACCCAGGGTATAGATAGATAAAACACTGTTTCACCCAAGATACAATGAATTTTTTGTTTCCATGAAATTACATGGTTGTTTTTTTTGTGGAAAATTATAGTCTAAGTACAGCATATTAATCTTATATTATCCAAGATTACATGGTTTTTTTTTGTGGAAAACTATAGTGTAAGTACAGCATGCTAATCTTATTACCTGGTCACAAGAGGATAATTGCAATTATTGTCACCAAAAACAATCTATTATAAAACTCCTAAGTTGCCAGCCCACCCTTATAGGTTTTTTCCGGGAAACTGGTTTCCTCTCCCATGCCTAAAGACCCCTACTCGCAAGCGAACCATTGAAATAAAATTGAACCATGTGTTAGTCCCGAAATGACCTAGTTTGTTTGTGTGTGTGTCTCTCTCTCTCTTAACAAACGATATACTGCTTCACATTTTTCATCCTGAAATTTGTTTTTGTAACAGGATACTCTATTGGCTGAATTATTAAAGAATCAGAAAGATTGGATTGTGTTTTACCATGAACACGATTCGTTACTTGAGAACAAGGTTGATGAAAGTTTAACGGAGGAAGAGAGAAAGTCTGCCTGGGAAGAATATGAAGTAGATAAAGATCGTCAACCCGTTGTTAATAGAGGTGTGTTGATTTATGATAGTTATTCATATAACATCATTTAAAGGAGAGTTGTGTGACCCATCAGGTTATGTCAGAAAACATATTTTTCTGTTGTTAATTTTTAAAGCCAGTAATTATTAAACTATGTTTTTTTCTCAGCTCCTATGATGAATCCGATGTATAACAATATGATGGGAGGAGCCTCGTATAATCCACAGATGAACTCTATTCAACAGAGAGCTTTTAGTGCTGAAAATGTTTCACAAGTTGTTCAACTAGTCAGAAGCAAGGTTCGTATTATTACTTTCATCCTATATGAAAAGGGAACCGCGTTGGCTCAGACGCTGACTCCCTAAATTGGTGGTTTTCATTCGAATTACAACTGTCAAGGGTTCTTTTATGTGTACGTCCCATCCAAATGGTCCTTTCTGCCAGGGAAGCCACGGTGGCTAAGTGGGTAAGACACTGACATGCTAGCCTGGAGGTCGGGTGTTCAATCCCTGCATTGGCCGAGAAAGTTCATCGTGATTTCCCGATGAGGATTCCCCTTGCCAGTGGTGCAGAACGGAGGGTCTGACAAGGACAGCTGTCTAGTCCTTCGGATGAGACAAAAAACCGAGGTCCTGTGTATACATTGGAATGCACGTAAAAGATCCCTTAGCAGTTGAAATTCGATATAAGACTAAGAGTAGGTGATAGTGCAGCTGCCCGGGCAAGATTTCTCTCATAGCACACTGTATGGCGTATGCCCGTGTTAATTAGCCAAGTATAGGAGTAGGACGTTAAACCCCATTTCATTTCATTTCCTCTCTGCCAACATCGGGGTTGAACCTGAGACCTCCTGGTTAGCAAGCAATCACAACAAGTCACTTCGACTCATAAACTGATAGGACAAACACTTTTTATATCGTTGACTATTGTAATCAAATTTAAACAGAAAATATAACGTTATAAATACAATGTTATTCAAGTGGCTATTTATTTATTAAAAATTGCAAGAAGAGAAAATCAAATTGGTTTGGACTCGGTGAAATCATTTATAATAGTTAATCTTTGTTTTGTATAAAAAAAGCCAACGTGAATATTGTTTAAAAAAAAAATATAAGTTAAATTAATCTCTATTTTACAAGTGTCGGTAGATTCAAATGTTGCCGGCTTGCCGCTACAATGATTTGTGCTGTAGATACTAGAAAAGTTGGATTATGGAGCCCTCAGGGAAATCTAATATTGTACAAATTATCTGAAATGTTCGAATGTTTTTATTTTTAGTTCCCACAGTTAACAGGTGATATGTTCCAAGCCCAGGTACAGAATATAATCATGCAGCAGATTATACAATATCAACAACAACAAGAACAAGAGGTAGGTCATCTTATACTACTTTTACTTGTATCATTACATAGAGAACTAGACAGATGGTATATACTACTTTCACTTTTCTCCCACAGCTAAAGACCTCTACTTTCTTTGATTGCAGGAAATTATTAACTTTGTTTTTATTCTTATTTTTTAAAAAATTAAAAGTTATGATGTGGCCCATTTTTGAGACGTGGTATCTGAGATCCAGAGGTTTTTTTTTCTGTGACCTTATTATTTTTTCTATGGTTGCGTGTATTGTATCATGAGATATATATATATCTATCAGGAGAGCAGGGCTTGTTATTGTGCTTCATATACATATCATATCATGGCCATTATTGTTAGATATGCATGTATCGTAAGGGTTATCATGGTCAATCATATAGTTCAGTGGTTCCCAACCTTCTGTTGGTTGCAACCCGATTCTAGAAACCAGCATCAGATCGCGATTCCTCAAGTTACCTTTTACTATGAAACATCATCATTATTTACATTTATTATTGTTTTACTTAATTGACAACTTATTAAAATGAGAGGCCGAGGAAACAAATCATGGGTTTTAGAGGAATCTGCCACGACATTCTGTGAATTTTTATCATTTGTTATTTAATGTTTATATTTAAATTGTTTCAGATTGCAGCCAGACAAAGACAAGAGATGGAAAGATTACGAATGATACAGAGTCAAGTTGCGTCTCGTGAGAAACAGTACAACCAAGCTAACGCGTTCGGGGGACAACCGTGGGCAGGAGCTGGCAATAAACTTAATTACAGCAGTTTACTAGGTCAACCAGCCAGATCCACGATGGCTTCATCAAACATGGAGAATATAATACGCGACAGCCTGACGACAAAGCCTACAGAAAAGACGCCCAGTAAAAATCCTCCAACAGTCGTAGATCTATCGAAGTCTTGATGCGGGAATAATAGGAAGTGTAATTATTATGGGAGTATGGTTAAGTTAAATCGTGTTTTACCTAGTGGATTGAATACTGTATATATTAGACATTAGCGATAGACAGAAGAGGGAATAAAAGGACAAAGTGATGGAAGGCAAAATAAATAAATTAGAAACAAGCTGTTCATGAAAAATGTATCCAAAGAATCTTGTTTTTGAACATTTTTACAGCAAATTTCTGTGTATTTGATGTATACCTTCTTGTAAAGAGGAGAGCTTAGCTCTATAGTAAGCGGCCATGGTTCATTTGCGATCAAACAAAACGAAACTGATATCGTATGTGAACTGGTGTTAAATACATATTTTTGACTGGATTTAAGTTTCATTGACTAATTCATGGGTGTCATACTTCAATCATTTTCATCACTTTATGTTAAAAATAGACAGAATTGGTTAATTGAAGGTGGGAAAGACACCCTCCCATCCCCCCTAATAATTTTAGTCGGTGTTGTATCTAGTCATACAATACACTATCTGAGACATTTTTTAACAGTGATAGGTCAAGATAATCTGTATATTTACATCATTTTGTATGTCGTAATTAGTCATACATACATATGGTGTATGATCTTTTCTTGGTAATTACATAAATTTAGTCAGTAATAGTTATTACCCACAGTAAAAGAATTATTTGGGAATTTTGAATATGATTCACCAATATCCAATTAGGTAATTCCTGATTGGACGTTTGCCAACTTGCGTAGGACATATCTGGAATATCCGAGCGAAACAGCATCCATGATGCAAACATAATTCTGATGTTAATTTAAATATTTTAAGAAATAAATAGAAATAATTTTTTTTAAGTGGGTACTTATCCCTTACAGACATTTAGTAACAGGATAGAGCAATAAACTAGAACATATGAAAAACAGCTACTGATATAATTGGGCAATGTTTCCAAGAGTATTCTCTAATTGTGCTATGGAGTTACTACTATTAACGAGATAGAGCAATACACTATAACACATAGTTATTGAAAACAGCTACTATTACATTTGGGTATTCTCTCAATGTAGTAACTGTAAGTATGTGTTTTAGTCTTTGTTAATTGTGCCATCCAATTACTAAATGTCTCTAAGTTTAACATTCTCTAACAGAGAACTATCTACTTTCAGAATAGATCTCTGCACTGAATGACCGCCATATTCAAAAATTAATATACTATTTTGTTATGCAGTTCTAATCTGTTGAACATTTTTCATCTGCACACAGACTAAATAAACATGTTTGATTTTATTAAATGGAAGCAGAATAGATAGTTTTCACAATTCTCGAAGGATACATGTACTTAGTGTTTCGACAAGATTTGTTCTCAAATGGAGCTAATTTTAACAGACAGCATAAGTTTCATATGTATGTTTAGTTTCATGTGGATATTTCCAAAGATTGCGGAAGTAGTCAACATGTTTCTTTTTTAAAATAGAAAGCAATATTTTGTTATTATTCGATTGTATGTGAATAAGTGAATATGTAAATTTTAAATCTTTAGAATCAATAATTGTAATTTAGAGAATAATGTTTTTATTTTTATCATTTTGTATCATTTCATCCTGGAGGTCCAATCTCATTATTTCCTGATGGTTTATTTGTTGATAAAGAATTCATTTATACATTATTACCGGAAAATTTTCCTAAATATACGTAAATTATTGTGGGGAACTAAATATACACTATTCCCCGCGAATTTTCCTAAATATAGGTAAATTATTGTTGGAAATTATTCTAAATATACATTATTCCCGGAGAATTTTCCTAAATGTAATTAAATTATTGTTGGAAATTAATCTAAATATACATTATTCCTGGAGAATTTTCCTAAATATAAGTAAATTATTGTGGGGAATCAATCTAAATATACATTATTACAAGGGAATTTTCCTTAATGTAAGTAAATTATTGTGGGGAATTAATATACATTAATACAGGGAATTTTTCCTAAATATACGTAAACTATTGAAATAAAATTGAACCATGTGTTAGTCCTGAAATGACCTAGTTTGTGTGGAGTGGAGGTTAAACCCCATTTCTCTCTCTATCTCTCTCTCTCTCTCTCTCTCCAATAATTGGGAAAAATTACAGAATATGTCCACCAATTGAAATTGTTATTAAATATTTAATTTAACACAAATAATGGGCCAATATTAATTAAATATTTAATTTAACACAAATAATTGAAGGAGATAACAGAATATATCGACTAATTGTTTCGAGCACAATACCAAACCTGAGGTAAAATTCAGTCTGAGCAGTGGACAGATCCTAAAGTCTAACCAATTATATCAAAATTGTAGAGCTGAATCATTTATGGGGTAAATTTATTTAGTTTCGATTTAAGGTCATCATCGTTTTTTAACAAATGTATATTATTTTTGCCATTAAATGGTTGGTTGTGACGATGTTGTGTCAAGTGAATTTGTTGGTGTGAACCCTGCAGCACCTGGTACCCTGCCCAGTTCCATGAAAAAATTAATGTAAAAAAATGATTTCTTTACATTTAGTAACACATTTTCAAAGCCCCAGTTTAGTTGCTCTTTTTCTGAACCACCAGAAACTATTGCTCCCCAGACTACCTCAAACCATTCGAGTTACAGAGCTAGTATACTGTTGTCAAATAGTTCACAGCTGTTCATGTGATTCAGATGGTTTAGAAGCCGTAGCGAGACTGTCCGGGTAAAATTTCATTAGCCCAGTCTGAGTAGGACGTTAAGACTCCATTTCATGTGATTCAGATGGGTTATGGCAATAGTTTCGGGGGGGGGGGGGGGGGCAAGTGCTAAAGGGTTGATGTAGGGAGCTTTCCAAAATTTATCCTAATTGAAGGTTAATTGTTCCAGTCCAAATCTGTCTTTTATTGTCCATATGTGATAATTGATGCTACAATATGGTGTGCTGTGGGTAAACAAATGGTGCTGTAATTCAAGAAGGGTGGCTATCACTGTGGACTGTTTGTATGTTCGCTATAATCGTACCAGTGGAGCACTGGTATATGTTCTTTAACATTGTAAGGTTGACAGGATGCATTATGTAAAAACTAAATCTGCCTATTGCAGGTCTTTATTTTGGCTATAATCAACTCTCTGTAACATCGGATAGTTGCAATTTTTTAAAGGATTGAAACCCGTTTAATAATTTAATTGAAGATGTCTATTGACCAGCCTTTCAGATTTGTTATATTTTGAAAGATAGTTTTGAATGTATGTATACATCCATGCTGATTAGTTGAATTGTGATATATTTTTGCTGCTAAATAATGTGAACATTGTTTTTTATTCAGATATAAGCTTCTTGTACCAGTATATAGTATGATCAAAACCTAAAAAACCAAAGTCTTTAATTATGGAGAATTCTATTTTCTTAGATTGTTTTCTTTTAAGGTGTGGTATATGCTACGCATTTTTCCCCTAAAGAGTGTTACCAACTAGAAATTGAGCTGTCAACGTCAAATAACCTTGGTTGGCACTTGGAAAAATCTCTTTTAAGTGAAAGTTTATCCTGGAAATGTTTACTGTTCTTGGTCATCGTTTTGCTTTAGACAAGTTTTGCACACAATTTCTACAATAACGGGTATTAATAAGTAAAATATTTAGACTATTGCACCAATACCTGCTTTCATTTCTGAAACAACTCGCATTAATTATTGTATTTAATTATTTTTAGAAATTGTTGTTTGTGATGCCTTATTCAAACATTTTTGACTAAAATCATGTTGAATATTTTATAAAAGGTTAATAATTTCAACTGTCCACTAATATTGTGGTGAGTTCTCACTAGTTGGTTGAGATTCATCCTTCAATTCTAATTTATTAAGCCCTGGGTCCATTCACAGGGTTTTCACAAGTTCAAATTATCAGCCCTTGATCATAGGTTTACATACCAGTCTAAACGTCATTGGTTATGTTCACCACAATAATTTTCATTGCAATACTTCCCTTAGCCAACTCGATTGGTCAATAAAAATAGCACAAGTATCAAGGGCGGATAATTTGACTTTCTCCCCCGTGAATGGACCCACACATTGGTACTATGGCCTACTCTTATATTGAATTCCAACTGTCAAATGTTCTCTTATGTACATAGGACCTTGGGTTTTAGTTCATACAATGAATTGTATCAGTAGAGTTATACTATATTTTCGGTGAAACGTTCTGTGAATGTTTTCATCCCAATCTTCCAATACTGTTTCCACCTCTTGTAAAGATCTGACAGAAAATATGCCTTACAGATAATTATAGACATTTCTCTTGCTTGTGTTCAATTCTGTTTCCAACTTGTGAGAATTTTAGAACTAGGTTTACGCAAATTTTATTATTGTAATTAAGAGTAACAATGTCCAATTTTCAACTGCTAAAAGTATATTTAAAGTTTATTAAATTTCGTTGTTTGTATTGATGTCATATTCCACCAATCAATCGATCAATCAATATTGTCATCTATCAATCAGTCACCATGGTGTTTTGTATCTTGTTTGTTTGTTTGTTGATCGTGTTGTGAATTAAAGCTGCTTCCATAGACAAAGGCATCTCTTGTTGTTATATTAAATTGTTTCAAAGTCTTATAGTAATTGTTGGAGTAGGACATTAAACCCATTTCATTTCATATAGTAATTGAACAGGAATATACAGGACACAATTCTATGGAATACAATTAAAGGAGTCAAGTCTCAAACTCAATAACATCCACAGTCTTCGACATAGCAAAAACGACTTATTGCTCAATTTAAACCAACATTGATGTTGTTATCTTACTGTGAAAAGATGGGCTTCTTACATCCAATATTTAAGACAAAATTAAAATTTGCAATGTAGCAACTCGACGAATGAAGATTACATTATTATAGGCGTTGCTACCCAGTTGTGTCTATTTCTGGGTGCTAAACAATAGAGATTTAGCTCCTTTAATTACTGTTTCTGTATACTCCCCGCAGTGTTTCGTTTGATTAGAGCTAATCCCACTAAACATTGCTTTAATGGAAGCAAATACGTAACAATTTGATTACGCTTTAAACATAGCTCCACATTGGACCAAATGTGGTTACATCGGGATTTTATTATGCCCAATTAACCAGTGGATAAAAGAATATTGTAGAAAAACTAATTGCGTGATAAACGAGGCAATCAACATTGATACAATGTAAACAATACTATATGGAGACGAACAAGACTTTCACCGTTTTTAATACCTTAAATCACTGTCCAAATTAAACGAAGGGCTGTCATGTTGCTGTACTTTGGATAGATTTGATTGAACGGGAAGAATAGACACATTCCCTCAAAAGCTCAAGTATCAGAATCTTCAATAGAACTTAATAGAAGGCTTGATCTCGCCTTAACTACGTACATCTTATCAAGCAAAACTCGCGGTCGTTGCTTCAGGAACATGAAATATCAGAAGCCATCCCAGCAATGGGCAGAGAGGGATTTCTCGGGCCATTGCTTCAGGAATATGCTGTTTCTGTAGTCTTGCGAAGTCTAGTGAAAATGTCCCTCAATAATAAACAGTAATTGTATGCCATAGAACCATAAATGACAGAAACAATTGTCGGGTGACAGACTATGTTATATTTATAGCACGGCTTTCATGAGTTAACAGGTTTAACCAGAGGCCGAAGGCCGAGGGGTTAAACCTGTTAACCAATGAAACGTGCTATAAATGACTTGTAACATTGACAACTGGTCAACATGCTTATTGTTATTGCACAGAAAACCAACTCCACTTCTCTATATGATTTCTACTAAAACTAGTGTAAACCAGCAAAAGTGTGCAATAACATTGAACATGTCTAGTTATTGCACGGTTAAGCTCCATCCGATATACTAGAGGGAAGACAATCTGCTTATTCAATGAAAAGAACAAAGGAAGATTTCTCATCCATGTTACAATTCTTATTATTATATTGTCGGGCTGCGGTGAAACGAGGACGACACACCTTCACGTGTTAGTATATTGGTAGGAAGTGGAGAAATGTATTTTTCACGACCTACTCTTCAGCACCAACTGTGATAATGGAGACAAATGGTATACTCGATTGAACTTTCCGGATTGAATTCTCTTAATTCCTAAAACAGGTGACAATCGAGTGATTTTGGGCTACGGCTCATGCAGCAAAGCGTCTCTTGTTATTATATAGGTGGGTAGGATAAGAAACCTTATCTCTTAACCCTCCGTGTTTCGAGATAAGTTTCGATCCCTACATTGGCCGAGAAAGTTCATCCAGATTTTCCGGCGTGGTTCCCCCTTGTCAGTGATGCAGGACGGAGGGCCTGACAAGGACAGCTGTCTAGTCGTTCGGATGAGACGAAAAACCGAGGTCCCGTGTATACATTGGAATGCACGTAAAAGATCCCTTGGCAGTTGGAATTCGATATAAGATTAGGCGATAGTGCCGCTGCCCGGGCAAAATTTCCCTCATAACACACTGTATGGCGTATGCCCGTCTTCATTAGCCCAGCATAGGAGTAGGACGTTAAACCCCATTTCATTTCAATTCATTTTGTTTCGAGATAAGAGATGGTATAATCACATTGGGATTTCAATAAGCAAACCTGACAAATTTTATACTCCCACATTTTCATGTGGACGTATGTTGTCGTCGCCCCTGTCTGTCCGTCCGTCCTCAATTTGTTTGTGGACACTCTACAGGTCACAGTTTTTATCCAATTTTGACGAAACTTGAAATATAGGTTTATCTCCAAGTCCAAAGGATCTCGACTCCTTTCGATATTGGCATGTACCGGACTGTAACTGTATGGATTATGGCCCCTGATTGTAGGGAAGAGCGGGGATGGTTCGGACGGTGGGATGGTCCGGACACCCCCATAGCTTTAATCTTTACAATGCTATCCGTTTTCTGATTGGTTATTATAATACTAAAGATCTCATCTTGTAACATGGAAAACACATGGCAGAGATAAACATTCAAATGTAGATGCAGATAAGCTTTTTTCTATTTTTGACAAAGTTGATGTAAAAAATTTCTAAAGTTAAATGGTTAAATTTATTCGGTGTTTAACAAGTTTCTTTTAGGAGTAGACTGTCACCTCTTTCTTCCTTCGCTAATTAATAGAAATACATTGAAAATTTATCATATTTTCATTGTAAATAAACATAATGGCGGCTTATATCAGAATTATGGGTTTAGGGTACATCCGGACACTGTCCGGAATTATCCCAGAAGTGTTCGGATCAAACCATTCAGTATTTCCAAGAGTCAGATTTGATAAAAAAAAAAAAGAATGATGACTGGCAGTTGCGGGGTATAATAGGTTTACTAAAATTATGGGTACTGCTTTACTTCCATTAAATGAAATTCTGTCAATTCTTCCGAAACCCTTATCCAGTAGCAAAAAGGGGATGAGTTATTACTACAAATTTGGTCCGTCATACCTAGAGAATAGTAAGAAGCTTTAAAGCTTTAGAATTATCAGTTAATTCCTTTTTGAATACATTCATTTATTTCGTCCAGCTATGTTAAAAATTTGTCTCAGATGACATTCAGCTTTAAATTTATCACTACTGTATTAACTTTATTGTTAAAGGAACTTTTTGAAGAAATAGAACTAAGCTGCGAAGGAAATCTTTTCGATTTGCTTTTGTCCAATCGTCCTCCACTTGTCCAAAGTATCCCCCAGGTGACATTTTACTAACCCAACAAAAATAGGTCCAACACAAAGACTTTTATAGCTAAACAGCTGTATCACTGACTGAATATAGTCAATAAGTTAATGTCTATTTTCCATTCTTAAGCTCGGCTCGGAGACAAATGCATTAGTAGTTGCACAAAAGTGAAAAAAAAACCCAAAGTGTCCGAACCATCCCCGCTAATCACGTTTTTAGCTTGTGGACTCTTGGTATATGTACGCTCGTATTTTTATAACCCAAAGATCTCGGTTCCTTTCAATATTTGCGCAAATATATGGTCGTATATTGCTGTCGCCTCTGCCCGTCGTCCACACTTTCATGTGAACACACTACAGACCATAGGCGTACGGGGAAATTTTTGACTGGGGGGGGGGGGGGCGGTGGTGGTTGGTGCCCCAAAAATGTAGTTAGGTTCTTAGTATGTTACATAATAATAATAAATTCGCTGTTAAATTGGACACATTCAAGAACACAATATCTTTTTTTATACAACTTTCACAAAATACAATTGTGTGCCCAAATTTTCCCAGCATTTGGTGCCCAAAATAGGGGGGGGGGGGCGGTCGCCCCCCCCCCCCAGCCCCCCAGCTCGTACGCCTATGCTACAGACTACATTTATGATCTAATTATTTTGAAATTGATATTATGTTGTTACATTACTGAGATGAAGAATCCTTTGTAAATTCAAAAAGTTCTGTTAATTTCTTCTCGAGTTATAGACCTTATTTCACTTTATTGCACCTTGTAAACTAGTGAAACGAAGAAGCCCATTGAATTTCAGCAATTTCCGTTAATTAGGTTTACAGTTATATCCCTTGTTTTACTTTGTCGAACACCGTTAACTCCAATGATGTCTATACTAACGCCATTGGTGAACTTTAACAACAAAAGTTACCACCCAATCTGTATGGAATTTATATGCGTTAATTAAATTAGTGAAACGAATGTCCCTCTTGGATTTCTGCAATTACCGTTAATTAAGTCTAGAGTTATGGCCTATGTTTCACAACAAAAGTTTTCACTCGAGCTGTATCAAAGTTATATGAATCATTTCAGTAAGTGAGACAAAGAAGTCTAGTGTTATGACCCTTGTTTTACTTTGTTGAACATTGTGAACACTCGAACGAGAAAGCCATCATCCGATTTGTATAAATTTATATGCATTATTTAAATTAGTAAAACACTGCATGTGAACGCTCGAACGACCAAGTCATCATCCGATTTGTATAAATTTATATGCATTATTTAAAATAGTAAAACAAAAAAGGCGGTCGAATTTCAACAATTGTTGTATATTACTTTCAGAGTTAAGGCCCTTGTTACAGTTTGTAGCATCTTGTGAACCCTTTAATTATAATCTGATCTGTATGAAATTGTCTTGTAAATTTCCCCCATTACCTTCAAAAGATTAAATATGCGACAACCCTTGTTGACCACCCGGACGATTTAGCTGCTGTGGGCGTATGTTTCGTTGCCTGGCAACCTATCTTTACCTTGTTTTCCCTCTAGAGGTCACATTTTCTTCATCCGATTGAAAAACCCCATCGAATATATCACCGTTACACCATCATGATGGTCGAGTTCGTGAAAATCGGACCGAAACTGTCGGACAAAATGGCCACTCCCTGAACGCAGATAGTGTTAAAGTATGTAATATCAGTAACAGAGGCCCGGCGGAGTAGGGGGGGGGGGCTTTAGCCTCCCCAATATTTTGGCCGCAAGTACCCTTTTCTCCAGGTTGTTGCACGCAAGTAACTATTCTATTAAAAACAAAAAGGCTTGAATTTAACATAGAAGCGAGTAGAAGTGAGACTTCTAGAACGTAGACTTTCAGAAGAAGAAAACCCTGCTATGCTCTATACTATTCCTAGGGTTAA